CAGGTTCAGGGCCTGTTGGAGCACCAGGACTTCTTGGCTCAGGAGGTGATGCGGATGAAGATGGCCGTGGAGGCCGCCGGTGGCGTCGCTCCATCCACGAAGGACAAGGAGGAGCCGGCTGAGACGGCGAGGGTGGCCTGTTTAGCAGTGATGATTGGTGGTGGATTGGTGTATCTTGTGGAGGCCTGAAATCAGGGTTTCCAATTTGAGACATATGTGTGAGATCGAAAGCGTGGAACTCCAGAGAATCTCAGTCTTCCACAAGAGATCCAAAAAATCAGGTATCAACTCTTGAGCCTTTTCAGAGACCTTCCCTTTAAACTTGTTGAAACACTTTCAGAGACCCTCCTGCCATCTCCGGCCGTCGATCCGCTGGAATCGGCCAGACCATCAAGATGCCCACGCGGCTCACCGATTGTCTCATGGAGCCTGAGAACCTGGCGAAGCTCTTAGCGAAGACGGGTCTTCTTTCAGCCGCCTTGAACCAGGCAAGTGGGTGGGAAGGGTGAGGCTGTTGTGGTTAGTGACGGTGGCGAGTGGTTAGCCCCAACAGCGGAGGGATTCCATTTTAGTGTACCAGTATAGGCTAATTCCGCTTTGCAGCATGTGTGAGTTCGCCTGGCCAGTCACATGACTCCACAGTATGAAGCATTGCGCCTCCTCCAATCCACTCATTCATGCCCACTCATGTGCATCAAGACTGGCTTCAAAGCCGGGAGGGCCCCATTCATCAAAGAGATTTATTCTCGCTCCTTATTTGGGGATGGGTTCTGTTTGGGTACCCAATTTCCGCAGTTGCAGTTACATGTGTGTCTATATAATTTCAGAGAACTGTGGAATCACCGTTCAACTGTTTCTCTTGGTGACACCTGTTGTTGTTATGCCCATGACCAGGAGAAGCACCTTATTTTGCGGTCTGCTTCCCGGAAGCAGCTACAGAAGACCCTGGCACAGCTCCGGCGAATTGCGCCCGGTTGCCCAGGTGACAGGGTGGTCAATTCACATGAGCCTTCGGAGCCTTGATCTTTTAGGTTCAAAAACAACGTACTGGAGACCGGCGCAAATCCCTTTTTCCTGACACGGATGAATATTGGGGGATATGCGAGAGCTCAAAACCCACAGAGCTGAGACCCATGGTCATGGACTCCTCTTTGGGCGTCACAAAACCTGACGACCTGCGCTCCTTCTTTGTAAGCTGCCTCCGTCCTTCTCTTGGTATATAGTGAGCTGCATGCGAATCGTGTCGCTCCGCTCCCCATGCCGACCCAGCCCTAGAAAGTCAGGTTCCCAGTTTCGTTGCAAGAGTTGACTTGCCATGGTAACCCAGACCTGCTTCATTTCTGGGCCAGCATGTCAGGTGGGCATGCCAGTGGGGCTGTAGTTCTTCCAAGGCTGCGTCTTGCGACAAGTCTTGCGGCACTTGAAGATTGTCATGCGAGCTGGACTGTCCATTTTGCACCAAGCGTCTTAAGCTGTATCCTTCTTTTCGGGGAGAATTCCATGACAAGTGTGACTGTTGTGAGAGGTCTTGAATTGAGAACCACTTTTGAGAACCACTAGTCACTAGAGGCTTTACCCACCAGTGACCTAAAAAAGGAAGCATAAAGCTCGGTGTTCTTTGGATTGGAGTAAGAGCCTGCTCAAGGTACCCGCAAGACTCCTCCGGTTGGGAGCTTCGCGAGAAACGCAAGACTCGACAGGTTGGTGCTTTGCTGGCAGAGAAGCCGGCAGTGGCCCAAGCGCTGGATACACACAATTCCTCCGTTTAAAGTCCCGTCCTCCCTACTAGAAGAGGCATCAAGAGACTTCGAAAGCTACTACCAGCAGCGGCAGTATGATCGGCATTCTTCGACCGCTCCTCACCCGCCGCTCTGTTGCTTCGGTCGAAGGCTTCGCCGCTGGTTTCCGGAGCCGGAGGAACTCAAGAAAGACCGACCCGCTGAGCCGTCTCGCTGAGCCGCCGGCGAACGACCGGGGCGAACGACCGGAGGCGAAGGCCTTGAATTCCATGGTCCTTCGCCTGGCGGCGACCTCCAGTCGACTCTCGTCTCACGACGTGCGGGATGCCCGGAACGGACGTCGGACGCCCGGAGGAGGGGAGGGATTCCAAGGGCGGACTGGAGGGTCTGGAGGAACTTCATTGGAATTCATTGGAATGTTTCTTTTTGGTTGGATTCTATATATATATATATTTATAAATACCAGCAAAAAGATTGGCTTGCTTGATTGTGTCAACTCTTGAGATACTTTTTGTGACAGTGGTGGTTTAGATTGCTTGCGAAGCTTCGGGATTTGTGTTCATGCTGAGAATATGGATGTCAGGTGTATGTGTGTTCGTCAAGTACCTCCCCACCAAGCGTAGACTCTTCAGCTGGTCCAGCTGGCCCAGCCTCGCCCTTTTGTTCGAGGCAAAGCTGAACGCCAAGATGCGCAAGATTCGACTGGGCACACAGGCTGCTCTCCGGACATTTGAGTAGTCTTCTTTGATTTGAGTGGGTCGCTCTCAAACCATTTTCTGCAGAAAAGGACTTTTTTCAGCTGCTTGCAAACATCCCCCCAGAAGCATTGTAGAGAGGGTGACACCTTTCTTGTTGGCTCGACTTGAAACGGAGGCCGGTCCTGGGATGCTGCAACTCGAAGGCATTCCGGGGCTGTCTCGGAAGCATTGCCCGATGCTGAGCATGCGATCTTCGATCTTCCCGTTGATTCACGGTTTGAGTCGTGATGACTTGAGACTCAGGCACCGTCACATTCGAGCCCGAGAAGGGTGCTTGCTATGTTCAGGTGGGAGCCATCTCCGCCAGCTTGGGAGCTTTTTAGGGTGCAGATACAAACGATTTGGCCCTTATTCAGTTGGATGAGCTGCTACCATGCCACTGCGACCGGCTTCGCGATGCTTCGCGATGCTTCACGTCCCGCGCAGGATGTCTCCACCAATGGGACCTACCTCAATGGGAAGCGTCTGCCAAGACCACCCTTCAAGAACCCCGCGGACCGACTGATGCGACTGCGGAGCTTGTTTTTGGTTGGGGAACAGATGTAGGTCATATATAGGTGGGGAAATGACAGACAGCAAGTGAAGAGGAGGGCCCGAAAGAAGGGCGCCCCCTTAGAAAAAAGGACGCATTATGTTGGTCTATATACTTCAGTGAGCTTTTCCCCAAACAATTTCTGATAACAACACCCGACTTCGCCTCCTGGCCTAGCTTCTGCCAACAAAATCCAAGAAGTGAACTTCACTTTGCTGACGCTGACTTGAGTCAGCTCATGTGCCGTTCATGAGTTGCTGACTTACGGCGAAGGCCGACTCGCCTTCGCCGTCGCAGGATGCCAGAGTGCGTCTCTTCCATGGGGACGAGCTGCTCTTCAAGTCGATGTCCTGGAGAAACGCCTCGTCTTTTCGGCTTTGGATGTTGATTTCGCCTAGTCAACAGCCAGGACGCTTCAAGATTCCACGAACGTCCACGATGATCGTGCATCTGATTTTTCTTGGCACGTCATCGTGTTCCCAAAGAACGTGGTGAAACAGACCCTTTCCTTTGAAGCCCGGGATGGAAGCAAGTGAGTGGTTGAGGGCCGTTTCAGAAGCGGAGCTGCAACTAGAGATTTTCCTCCTTCTTTGCCTCCTGCAGCCTTTTAGATATGATCAGCATAATGGGATTTTCTGCATCATAAACTTGGGCAGGCCTCACACCTCTAAGATGTTTTCAGGCAATGGCCATATTGTGTTGCTTTGATCAGCTTCCTGTAGGTGTCGCATGAAAGAAGCAAAGGCTTCTCAGAGCTCACAGGGGTTTTCCAAAAAAGTTGTTTTTACTTCATCTACTTCATCCTTCTTTTTCCTCGAGCCTTCTTGGAAGCATTCACCGGTCACGGGAGAGCCAAACATTTCTTCATCAGGCTGCGGACTGATGACGCAGAGGAGTTGGGATATGCGCGCGGCCCGTGCAATCAAACTCCTTTTTTTCCACACAAGTACTTTGCTGTAGTGAGAAGTCATTTATATCGAAAGGATAAGAACAGGTTGGAGAAGGATTCTCGTCAGTCTTTGTTGAGCAGCTGACGTTGGCAGCAATCACAGGATGCGCATCACAACCAGCGCCAACTGACTCAGGTGATCAATTTGGTGGAGCTCAGCTGAAGAGCGCACGACGTTGCGACGTGGAAAAGAAAGATGATGTGCAACGATGTGTGACGATGTCGGGTGGATGGGTTTCAGACATCAAAACGGCCACAAGAATGCTTGGCTGGCAGAACATGTCTTCTGGAAGATGTTTGTTCCTGCGTATGTTTATGATGTTTCAGCTTTTGTGATCATAATTAGAGGGAATATCACAAGTTCACCTCTGCCAAACCCTTGAGCTTTGTTGTGGACCGCAGCCAAGTGCTTTATCATAGTGTCATACAACAAGTCAAGAATCGAGGGTTATTGCAGCAGCCGCTGGACAGAACAGGCCAGCCGACCAGAACAAGACGAAGCGAGCCACTCCGAGTGCAACCTCGCAAGTAGGCAACCAAACGGATGCAATGGCAAAAGTTCGTCCCACACCTTTCAAGTCCAAGCTCAGAACCCGTCCTTTTCCATATCTCTCCACATTTAGCATGACTGCCTTGCCACCAGTCCGGCCGCCTGTGAAAGGGCGGAAGGGCAAGTATGCTCAGCGGACGTTGCCGGGGCCCCATGGACAGCGGTTGGGGCAGGAGTTTCCTACACACTGATAGTGGCCCCCACAAACAGGGATTTTATGATATATTATATTATCTATGTGTGCATCTTATAACTATATATATATATATAGATATACACACTTATATATATATATACATGTACACATGAGTAAAGCAATACTTTAAAACTTTAAGATAAAGCACACATCAACAAAACGGAACAACTTTGTGGTCACTCAATTGTGTGATCAACAAATTACCAAGCGCTCAGTTGACCAGTTGAGCACCAAGAAATCCGACCATATCCGACCTGTAGCTCCATGTCTTCCCCCATGTCTGCGTGCGTCTGGAAACGCATCGATCGGCTGATCGAGCCAACGACATCCCAGCGCAGGCTGGATGCCACGGACATCCCAGCGCCGGGCTTCGTCCAGGCGTTCTGTGCCTCTCAGCAGCTGTCGCAGCAGCTCGCGCAGGAGCGGCACTTCAATGCCAATGGCCAGGCGGCGTTGTTTGGGGACGGGACGACGGGCTTTGTTTGGCGGGCCTGAGAAAGGGTAGGTGGAATGGTGCTTTTTTTTTTGCATGATTTTAGATGAGTTTTGAAGAGTTATTGAGAAATTTATGAGCAAAGGAATCATATGAATCTGGTTGATGGCATGGCCGCTTTTCCACCAACGATGCATCCCTTCGCATTTTCTTCAAAGCAACAGGCTTTGGTTTGATGTTCGATGCCATCGATTCTTGCCGAGCCCATGCAGAGGCCGCATACCTGAAGAAGAAGTCGGCTTCCGGCCCGTTTGGAGTCGCACACCGCTGTGGTTTTGGCGGGGTCGGTGCTGGGGTCGGTGGCTCCCCTTTCAGCGGCCAGGCAACAGCAGCTTGCATACGTGGAGGAAGCGCATAGGCGAGATGGAGTTCCCAGTTGCTGGGTGATTGGGGGGTGTACAGTAGGCCGTTGTTGGTGAGTCTCTTGGGAGATGTGGGAGTGAGGCCGGATGTTGGAGTCACTTTCATTCTCGCCGAGTGTTGAACAACCAAGCAGGGAGGCATGGCATGGTGTATGTGTGGCGGGGTTAGAATCACAGCAGTTGATGGTTGAGACAGGGTTTTACTTGCATTCCTTAGTATGCCTCCGTGTGCGAACAACTCCACAGTCTTCCGAACGAGGGAGAAGCTTGGAATGAACAGTTCGAGCCGCAAAAGCTTGGAAGACCATGCTGAAGTTTCCATGATATCGAAACGACGCTTTCCGCGAGAAGAAACCACACTGAGCTACAGAAGGCGTCCGCTCTCAGCGGTTGAACCATTGAACCCGCAAAACCGCCGCAACCGCGCAGGCGCGAGCAGCCTCCCTTAGAGACCGTGGCGGCACCGGAGATCATGCGCGGCGAGCTGCGGCGAGCTTAGCGCAACCTTCAGTGCCCACCTTCGGCCAAGTTGAACTGGCGAAGCCTCCAAGCCTCCAAGTGTGCGAGGGAAATAACCCACCAACCCCACGGATTGGACCGACAAACCTCAATTGGACATATGAAATAACTACACTCCTTGGAATCATGGAGTGGATGGCATGACCCTGATTTGGGACGACCATCTGAAATACCAAACAGCTGGTGATGTTTTTTCACCTCCACCATGATTCTTCCAGGGAGTGTACCTCCAGAAGGCTTTGAATCTGTTGTCATTTCTCGAGGGTGTCCCCTTACCCAAACCATCTTCCCTTCCTCAGGCGCCGGGACGCTGTTTTCCATCACGGTGCCGCAGGGGTCCCGGCACCCTTGACCGGGCCTGCAGCCTTGGACCTCACCGACTTGCGCGGTGGCGGTGTGCCCATCGTGAAGGTGGGGGAGGTTTGGAGGTTGGGAGGAGGTCCTGAAAGGGGAATGAAGGAGGTCTGGAGGAGGGAGTGGGGGAGAATGTCCATGTTGATTCCTTTGGTTCTTTGGCCCGACTGGAGCGACCTGTAGTCTGATGTGACCTTCTGGCCCGACTCTCCTCCCATCTCCTTCCCTTGGAAGAGAAGCTTCCTGTTCCCACCGGGTGGATTTTGATATCCGATATCCGTCGTCCTTCTCATCTTCAGGTGGGGAACGAGGCCTTGGCATGCCGCGAGAAGCGCCTGGAGCGGCAGAAGGACTTCTTAGCCTCACGGAAGGTCCGCCATGACCAGGCGCTCGAAGAGTTCCAGCGGGCGCTGGACGTGCTCTCTGAGGCCGCCTGGGGGACGGAGATGTCGCGACGGTTGCGTCCAGTAGACCGACGACATGTCTTGTTTTCTTCCCGTAATTTGTTGCCCTGGCGGTGCGTGGTGCGGCGTGTGCCTTCCTTCCGCTCTAGCAGGCTAATGGACCCGAATTGCTAGGTGATCCTCTGGCTTATGTGATCCTTTTCCCTTCTCTTCTTGACAGATCCACCTGATCAGGAGTGCCAGCAAGAGGTCTTCGCGGCAACAGAGCGGGTGAAGAAGGATTTGGAAGAGAAGATCGCAGAAAGCAATGCGATCTTAAAACCTTTAGAACCACCTCCACTGCCGGAGAGACCGGAGGGTGAAGAACCTTTGGTCTTAGACGAGACCACCTTGCTGCTTTTCTGCAAATGGTGGGCAAACCAGTCGATTGAGCAGCGGTCCACGGCGGGTAGCTTGAGCAGTGGTCCCAAGAAGATTGCCTGTTGATTCCTAGAAGTCAGCAAGATGAAACCATCTGACAGAATTCAACATGCTAGTATCATCGTTGGAATCGGGGCATCTTCGAGGTTGTGACGTTGGCTTATGTATTGATCCACTTGAAGATGATGTTTTCCCCTTGAAAGCTCTTCTGCCTAAACCGGGTTGTCCAGGCTTTAGATTCCTTGGACCAGTCCACCAGTTTGGGGATTTTGCTTTGAGCCGTGCAATTTGCCAACTCCACACAATTTGTACCAACTTGTTTGAGATGTAAATTCCATCACTGCCATTGCTCATCACCTGAGCTGTTTTCCAACGTGACTTCCGACACCCCTCAACAAATGGGACGAAATCGAGCTGACCTCGCCGGCGAAATCACCTTCCAGGCTGGACGAGCTTCACGACTTACCACTCGATGGCACCATCGACCCGGCAAAGGCCAAGGCGGTGGCCGCGGAGAACGCGGCATTGAAGGCCTTAAGAAGTCTGGGCGAACGCACGGAGGGTGAAGTGCGAGGCATCCTAGCGGCAGTCGAGGCCTGGGGGAGGCAGATGGGGGGTGGAATAACATATTATAACGTTATTTAAAAAAAAACATATAACTATAAATATATATATATATATATGCACTACCATTTTTTTCAGTTGTATAGACTGTTTGCAGCGAGATCTCCACAGGTTCTATTTTCCTCACTCCAGCCTGCTCTGGAAGTCCAAGACTATCACACAAATCACTAATTTGAGGCACCTAGCGGCATGGGCCGCCACCAAAAATACCCAGCAGGGCACTGTGCTGGGGCCACTGCCATCGGTAGAAACGATCCGCCGGGCCAACAGCTTTCGGTTGTGGACATGAAAGGTGCAATGTAGGCAATGATTCATACGTCCAAAAAAAGGACGCTAGAAGATCATCTGCAGATCGACGAGGAGAATGCAGAGAAGAGATCGAAGCCACTCGCGAAGAATATCTCATCATCAGGATGTGTGGGTTGCGGCCACTGCAAGATCACTGATCCCAAAAAAGGTCCAACACCCGGTCCCAACTGTCTCCGGTCTCGCCAGTTCAAAGGTTCGACCAACGGGTTCGCGTCGGAGGCCTCGACCGAGAGCCGGAAGCAGCGGATCTCGGCCTTCGCGGGCGCGGATGGGGAACTGGCGCGCATCGATGGGCTTCGGAAGTCGAAGATGGAGGAGACGCGCTTCTTTTTTTTGGAAGATGAGGGGATACGAGAGGGGGATAGAATTTTGGATAGTCTGGTAAAAGAGAAGGGAGTGGATATAAATGGAATGAATGGCAGGGAGGGGAAGTGCAAGTCCAGTCCGGGGAAGCAGATGTGCAAGCCCAGGTGTTTGGGAGTTCATGGAGGTTCTGTGATTCTGTGTCATATGAACTCCAAGCTTTGATGTGTTTTGATATTGGTGCGAGTTGCTCATGCAAGGCTCCTCAAGGTTGCACTTGGGAGGATTTGTAAGTGTTTTTCTTGTGGGAAAGATCGGGATTATCAGATTGAAGGACCAATTGCAGACTGCATCGTTTCGAAGCCCATGAGTCCAATGTGCCTGGTTCTCAAAGTCGGGGGAATCTTGGATGCTTGAGACCGGATTTTGGTATGGACTGGAAGTTTGCACAAGTGTTTGAAATCAGGCATACACACATACACCCCCTTTGTTTAAAGATTGGACTCCAACGGCGCGATCTAGAGGTGTGCACGATTCTGATCGCAGGAGCTTCTGAAGACCTTAGTTGAGGCACTGGAGAAGACGTTTCACTTTGGTGTCTACTTTGTTTCATGACCTGTGGGAAGCTCATGTATAATATCTTTCTCCACTATAAAGTGTTCTCAGTCATTTTTAAATCCCAGGTTCTGAGTGTTCTCAGTGCGACTGTTTCAAGGAACTCACGCGGAAGCCGCTTCCGAAACGACCGAGCGGAAGCCGCTTCCGCCCCTCGTCGGTGAGGCACTCACCGCTGCCGCACATGTGGTGCACGGCGAAGCCGAGCGGATCGTGGAAGGGCACGCCCGGGAGCTCAGGCGCGCGTTTGCGGATTTGCAGCGGACGGTTGTGCAGCACATTTCCGCTGTTGCTCCTTGGAGTCTGCGGACCCCCACACGACTTTGACTGAAACCAAGACACATACAATGCATGACCATGTGACCCGGCACACAATATCCACAGCGACGGGACCGCGTGCTGCAGAAAGTGCAGGAAATTCACAGGTTTCCGCCCAGAGGTAGGAGACAGAAAGGATTGATGACAAGATCATGAAGTTGCAGAAAGCATATCTTGGATTGGGCGGAGCCCTAGATTGGACCTGCGTCTGCCTTTGTGGAGCCCTGGTGATGTTGGGGACAGGATACTGCTGTGCCAAGAACGCCTCCGGCGTTTTGACGAAGAATTTGGTGAATGTCTGCTGTGGAACCCTTGCATGCATGCTTGGTTGGGGAACTTCCAAAGGTTCCAGATGGAGGATGATGGCCCACCACCGCGAACCATGCAACAGTTTGTGGCAAATTGGCCTCTCAGGACGTCTGAAACCGGGGCTCGACCAGTTCCGTATGAATTGGACAGGCGGCACGGTGGTCCAAACTCGGCTTGGCCAAGGCCCTCTCCTTTGACGAAGTGCTTCTTGACAATGGGTGCCCTCCTCAGTTGGGAATGGTCTCGGTTGGTTGGAGATGGTCTGATCCACTTGAAGAGTCTGTCTCATACGGCACCACCCGAACGCTCAATCGATGGTCTGTGGAGGTCGGTCGTTTCGCGGTTTCGGGTTCAGCGAGGTTCCCACCGTTTGGTCCAAGAACCGTCAGTCCAAACCTGGATCCCGGGAACCCCCGTGCCCAAATCCAGTTGTGAGATCCAGAAGCTCCTGCAACAGGGGAAGTTGATAAAAGGGTGTGTTTGTACATAGATGCTTGCCAAACATGAGGGAGTGAATGAGGAAATGAGCCATGGAAGTGGATTATTGGATCAACAAGTATCAAACACACCAAATAATCTATCCATGATGTTGGTGGTTCAAATTCCAATCAGATCTTGGAAGATCTCGGTGTCTATCCGAGTCTATCCATTGTTCATCATTGTGAACATGCACCTGGAATATTGTTCTGTCTGCTGTGGGATTTCTTCCAAACAATGGCTACTTACCTGGGAACACCACCTAACACGTTACGGTGTGGGCAGAGATTGGTCGCCACGATTGTTACATAAAGGCCCTCCGAATCATGACTGACAAGAAATCTAGGGCAGGGAGGCCACACCGTCGTGATCCACCATGATCCATGATCCACGTGGCTGAGGAAAGCTATGAACCAATTGGAAGCCAAGCTGACGGTATAGGGCTCAGCCATGGCAAATCTGATTGCGATTGCTTTTTTGGGGGAGTGATGCTTCGCAATCCTTCTCGCAGGTGTTTGTCAGGCAACAATTTCCTTTCGAATTCTATTGATAGTTGATTTGTTCAATAATATTGGGCAGAGATGACGGATAAAAGCAATAACGCGTGGTGTTGATGACCCAGAAAAGCAGATTCAAAAAGCTCAAGCTGAGAGGTTCAGGCCTTGGAGGACAACAAAGACTACAAGGCCAGGTTCGGGCCGCTCCAGGTGGCGTCCCCCACATGGATTGAAGACAGGTTCAAGCTTGGTAGGTCACTCTCGTGAAACTTCTAGGGAATCCTTCTTGTGACCTACAGAACTTGCACTAGAACGCCAGGTACGTTGGCACAAGGGTCTCCTGCTCTGGAAGCAGCAGCGGTCCAGGGCTTGGCATTCCAACACATCGCACGCGAAGTCAGCGAGACCGCCGAAGTCCAAGGCACCGACACAGCATGGCGGTGGTGATGCGGCGGATACGCAGTGGGGAAGCAAAGAACGACCTTTTGAACGACGCGTGTCAAAAGGACCATGCTTCGGGTTGTCTATAACTAGCTGTTGCTCAGGAGGGAGCGACAGGAGCCTCGGGAGCTATGGGGAAACAGGGAGCCATTCGGAGCCGCTCGGAGAGTTCCCCTGGCCCAACCCCGACTGCTGGATCAGGGGTCTACAGTCCAGGGTTCCTTCATGTTGTTCGGACTTCGGGTCGGCTGGCGCTCTCTGCGCGCCATGGAAGCTGTGTCGGCCCCACTGGAGCCTTGTTGCCCCACTGGGTCTTCTCGACTTTCCTGGTTCGAGAGGTAAGACTCTCACGAGTTTCGCTTGAGTTGGGGTGAACATCTTAAAGTACATTTTGATTTGATTTTAGCCCCAAGGCGGAGTTCTCCCCTCATTTCGGAAGATGTGGGGCCAACATCCCAGGCTTCCAATCGTCACCGTGCCTCCCACTTCCCTCCGCCCACCGCGTGATACCCGGTGTCATTGTTCTTCAGTTCCTTGTCTGACAACAGAACACCACACACCAAGTCTTCCACTCGAACCATTTACACTCTGACGAACACATCACCTGGAAGTGGACGACTTAGTCCCGAAAGGAAGACTATACTTCTCCTTTACGAACAGAGGGTGCCATCCCAAAAACCCATGTGTTCGTCGCTTCGTGTCACCATCCCACAAACCCACCCACGTTGGTTCGGTCCGGCCTCCTGGAGGTCCGTGGTCCCGGCCCGGCCGGAACCGAGGCAATGAGTTCCGGCAACCGGACTCGCTGGTCGAGGCGGTGGCCAAGGTCCGAGAACATCAGGTCCGCGCGGGGTTTTGGTCGACAGCGTGTGCTGGTTCCTTTGAAAAAACTCCATTTTTCCTTTTGATTTTGACACCGGTCTGTGTTTATAGTGGTGTTTCGAAGAGTATGTATTTTCACCCTTAGTGCTTCATTTTTTTTGCACCAGTCCTTCTTTTACCAGCAATCTCAACTCTGGAAATTCCCCAAACAATTTTGGATCATCCACTTCATGCCAATCCTGCGTGTTGCACCACTTGCTGCGGCTGGCAACGTGGCCTCTGCACGAGAACGTGTTTGACGCAGCGCTTCAGCGTTGTGGCGCAGCTGACGCAGCTTGCAGTGCTTTTCATGCCGAGAACATTTGTATGTGGAACTCTTCCGCATTTGTCCCATGCCGGGCCAGTGGGATGGGGCGAAAACTCTCTGGAGCAAGATTTGGTGGCTTTTGCAGTGCTGAGAGATCCCAATTCCGCACTGTTTGTGTACTACGAGCCTGGCTTGGACCATGTGAAAAAGAGACGCCAAGACCAGCAAGTGGATGAAGAACGAAGCCTTGTTGGATTTTGGGCCTCCAGGTCATGTGCACTTTGCATGAGCCGCACCCACAGGAGTCCACTGAAGGACAAAATTCTTCGAATCAGTGGTTTTCACACAACAGTTCATCCAAGGATGCCACGCTGAGAGATATGCTGCCGCAGGCATTCCTCTGAGGCAAAGTGTTTAGGTGGTCACGCCAACACCCGAAGCTGTCAAAGGCCCAGTTCGGCAGAGAAGCTCACAGAGCGGCCTTGAGGGATGGTGCATCTTTGATTGGACAATCCGTGCAAACTGTGCTGCAATGGCTGCTTGACATTGCGCTCAGCAAGGCTCAAGTTGTGAAGGCAACAATAAGGTGTCCTGTTCTTCTTGGCTGCAGCATTGAGGACAACATGAACCCAACATTTCAGTGGCTCTTAAACACTAGGCTGACCAAGGCTCAAGTTGCAACGGTCATTGCCCATTGTCCTCAAATTCTTGGTTTGAGTATTGAGCCACGTTCAAGTTGCGAAGGCAGTAGCAAGGCATCCAGGATGGTGCATCCTGAATATCCTGAGCTGCAGCATTGATCAGAACTTAGAGCCAACAGTGGCTGTTGGACATTGGGCAGAACCACGATCAAGTTGTGAAGGCAACAGCAATTTACCCCCAAGTCCTTGCCCTGCATCCAGAAAAACTTGAAGCCGACCGTTCAGTGGCCTTTCGGACAAAAGGACATAACCAAGAAAGCAAGTTGTGAAGGCTAAGAAAAGTTATGACATGAAACTGGCGACGGCTTCCAAGCCGAAAAAGAACATGAGTAAGACTATAGAACGTCGACATGCCAGGTACCGTTCTGTTGATATTTGCTGATGGGCCAGATCTTGCTCCATTTACACCAGCAGGATAATATGCTTGTCATCCACAAACTTGAAGTACATTTGGCCAGAAATCGCCCGCTCGTTTCAAAGAACTTCAACTTCATAGGATGTCGGCTCCACATCCTGTGCTTCGGACCCGAGGCTTTGTATGCACAGCCACACCGGTGGATCTTCCCAACGCCATGTGCTAACGCCCAATGCCTCTTCTTCTGCTTCTTCTTCTTCCTCTTCTTCTTCTTGGCCATTCCATCGGGCTTCAAGCTGTGCATTCGGAAGTCTTCCCACATTCTCTCGCACAAAAAGACAGGGTGCGACAAGAAAGAAGGGCCAAATAGAGTCCTGATCCTGGTCGATTCGGCAAAGTATTTGATCCTCTTTGACCCACTTTGATCCATTTTGTTAATCTTTTTTGGCATCAGACCAAGGTACTTCAAAAAAACAGGAGGACAGCCTTTTGCAGGTTGATGCGAAGATGCAACTAGGTAGATTGTTACTGTTTTCTCATCAATTTGTCCAAAAATACTGTATGACCATAGTTGATCAACACCTGCATGAAGACCATAGTTGATAAACTACAACACTTGCTTCTTGGTTGCTGGCATTTTCGGGCACCGCGACATCTCCCGCAACGACCTTTGTAATCTTTGGTCCACGATGCACATCATCACGTCTGTCAGGCCTTTGTGTTTCTGCAGCGCAGAGACCTCATGGAAGAGACGGGGGTCCCAGAAGGAAGATATTTTCAGGCATAAAAGAAACAGAAAAACTGGAATAAACAGAGAACACCGAACAGCTGCAAGATGCTTTACCCCAAAGCCGCTTGCTGGGAGATCTGACGACTTCTTTGGTAGTTTGGTTCTACCCTTTTGACCTGCTTCGCTGGGTACGCTCCACCCATCAACCGGGTCACGTGAAAAAGGCAAGACGATCGTCCGCCAAGGAAGGTGTTGCCCATGTCATTCTATGTCTTTGTTTGTTAGATCAGAAACCCACTAGATGGGCTGGCTACTATGGCCAAGCATAGCTGGGGATGCTTGGGACTATCTCGGACTCAGGGAGAGGTAAATGCATTCATTATTTTGCGGTAGGCTGCGTTTGGCCATGGCTACCAATACACAGGTACCCAAGGGGTCATCACCGCCATCAAGCTGATAGCAGAGCTTGGGCATTTCACCAGGAGCTCACTGGCTTTGTCCCAGAACATGCTGCAGAAGGATCCCTTTATGAGGGTACCTCCTCTATTGAGACACACTCCTGTGTATACAGTTTGCTGAGACAGGGTTGCCTTCATCCGCATCATGACACAGTCAGCGGCTGAGGCTCTTCTGCATACCTCAGAATCGTCTCACTGTAGTCCAGCACTCAGATCGGGAAATGTTTTTTGAAACCTGTCGTGTGAAAGGGGCGCAGCCAATGATGTTAGCAACAGCAGAAGGCCTGCGTAAACGAAGGTGGTACAGCAAGCATGCACTCAAGACCCTTTGTAGGCTCTCCATGTACCGGTTGTTTGTCCTCACGAGGGGACACCAGGTGATGGTGTAGGCGACAAGACTGAGATCATCCGCCCGCCTCAGGCAGCCGTGCGGCAGTTGGAAGAGCAGAACACACAGCTCAATGTGAACGCCTCGGTTCTGCACCGACTTCTTCGATGCCGGAAGCCGACTGACATGTCCCATGTTCTTTCTTAGGATGCTAGGGCATGCTCAGGAACGCGGCCAGTTGTGTTGTTCCTTCTGGAGGGCACCACAGACATCCACTGTGGAGACATCCACTGAACCCACTGAACCCTGGCGATCTCGACCGATCCGGAGGCGTCTCCCGTCCGATCTGAGGACCGCGCGCAGGAGACCTTCGACACGTTGCTGGTGGAGCTCCGCGAGCTGCGAGAAGCCTTGAACGTGACCCGGTGCACTGGCGTCGTTCCTTGGGAGGGGGGCGGAGCTTCCGAGGTGTGGCATGAGTCGGGGCGAAGTAGATGGTGTGAGTGTTTTTGGTGAGGTGGTCTTGCCAGACTTGGGTAACTCTCTTTCTAAGCCTGGTTGGATCTTGGACATGGTCGGTGTTTGGTGCGGTGGGCCTTACCTTGATTTTGCTTGGACATCTCTATGACTCTTTTTTAGGGTAGATCTTATGTGACGTCCTGTTCAACATCATCTCGACGTGGACATCCAACAATGACCAAACCGGAATCCGCTAGAAACGGAGGCTTCCACGGGCTGGTCGTGTGGGTGAGGCACACGGTCCGGTCGATCGACCGGATTTGGTGTCGCTTGGCGTACGGTGGAAACCGAGGTCTCAGCCGAGCAGATGCTTGGTGAGCTGGGATTGGAGCTGGAAGTACATGATGCTCGCCAGGACCGGTTTTCTCATGTACATGGTTCGCAACCGCGCGCGAAGCATGTGTATGCACGCGCATCAGTATGTAAGCGTTCCCCACTGGTCGTGGAAACGGACCTTTTTTGGTCCAAGAGATCTTGTGTGAGGGCGGCTAGGTGGAAGATTCAGCTTGGGCCCATGGAGAGCGCTTGAACAACTTGGAAAATGAATGATTGGAGATCCCCAAGACTACAAAAAAGGATCAAACCAAGCAACTCAAATGTTTACAAGTTTATACAACTTTGCTGGGCACCATTTTCTCAAGATTTCTCAAACCATTTTGCTTTGGAATGAACCACAAACCTCTTTCTCCACACCCCCAGTGGAGCGAACCGACGGCTTTGCAGGAGTGGAAGGGCCATGATTCGGTCGCGAACCTCATCGACGCAGAGGCGGGGAGTGAAGTGAACCGGCGAACGCGTCGAACGCGAAGCGAAGCGAAGCGAAGCGCCTGGGTGACGGGAATGAACTGGAATGAACTGGAATGAAATGGAATGAATTTGTTATTTAATGTATTTAATGTTCAGACACATGTCCGAGAAACCTCCTTCTGGTGGCCTCTCGCCTGTTTTGGATCCTGAGTGGTTTTCAGCTCGAATCCGTATGTCTCCAAAATGTGCGGTTGATTAGAGCCCGCCAAATCTCCAGGGGAACTGGCTCAACGTCTTGTGTTTGCACTGGGAAGTTTCAGGTTTCTGGTGGATGTGCCATACCACGAATGGGAATGACGTGTTCTTTTTTGAACATTCTTTTTTATTGGAGTGGGTCACAAGGAACAAGATGTGATGAGGAAGATGAGGCAGGCGTCACTTTCCAGGTTCTTCAAGGCGACCTTTTGATATATATATATATACATAGGTCACATCATTCGGATTGAATCCGCCCAACATGCGGGAGTGGAAGCTGCCCAACCGCCCAGTTGGGAACCCTTGGATGGCAGTCACGTGCTTGGTATCTAAAGACTTTGGAGCAGGAGCAGGTTAGGTTCCAGGGCACAGGTTCTGGAGGAAGTTCCGGGACTTCCGAACCAGAAAACGGTGCAACGTTCCGGAATTCTGGAGGAAGGCTGTGCCAAGTTGTGCAGAGATGGCGTAGTGCTTGCATTGTGTCAAGATAAACATGTTGGCATTCCGTGGTACCATGCGAGCTGCGGTGCAAGCTGTCATGTCGACATGAAAACCACTTTGCCGCTCTGTCATGCTAACTTGCACACATGCTGTCATGCTGACGTGCTAACATGTTTTCATGCTGACATGCTTTGGTGTTGTCGCCGATATGCCGACATGGTGATGGCGTGTTGTACATGGCGCTTTCATGGGGACGTGTAGATGTGCTCACTGGCTGTCATGCTGACGTGTTCTTAGGCTGTCGCGCTGACATGTTTTCATGCTGGCACACTGACAAGGGTCACGCTAACATCCTAACACTGGCAGGCTCCAGAGCGGGTTCGGGAGCGGGTTCGGGAGCAGACACCATCGTTCTTGCTTGCTGCAGGGCTGTCATGCTTGCACATATATATATATATATATTATGTGGACGCACATATTCATTTTGCCATGTGTTGATGCGGACCACAGCGCACTGAAAAGGACCACTTCCAAAACAACATGGTCTGGCAAAGACACAGCGCGCTGGCAAAGTGGATATGCGATGTTGCCATTGCCTAATATGCGATTTCACGCCCGACTGTTGTTTTCTTCTTTTTGGGGTTTCTCTGTGCGGCTTCGGTGACCACCTTCCGCCGTTGCGGTCGCGTCCCAGGTGCGACCACCGCTGCGAGAGTGTTTGGATCCAGTGGCAGAGATGCTGCAATTGCTCTCCAACAAGCTGACTCATCAAGAGGAGGTCAGGAGTTTTGCTAGGAACAAGAAGCTACTAGGGGCTCCTGGCATCGCTACTATGGCCTTACTACCAGGAGCGTTCGGACGCTACGAACGGAACATACTTTTCCTGAAAGATTTCGATTGGACACGAGAGGATGGCCATTGCCATGGCCCCTCAAAGGGGACAAACAAAGAGCCTTGACACGGATACCGGTGCTTCACAGCTTTCCAGCCAGAGACACCTGCATGGCAGTGGTCCATTGATGCTGTCAGGTCTTTGTGATCATGTGCATTCAAACAGATTGGAAGGAAGACAGACTTCGGCTCGCCCCCAGAATGTACTCATTCGATCTCATTCTCCAATCCAGCATCCCCCAAGCCCAAAAGGACCGGTCCTGACTTCAGGCGTTGCATTTGGCGGTCACCGGCGTGATCACCTTCTTTTCCAACCTGGCGAAGCGACAAGAACTCTTGAAGAAGCGCGTCGAGGAGTTCGAGGTCGGACGAGGGAGGTCGTTGGTCGTGTCGTTGCTGGGCGGCGTTGCTGGTCGTCGCACTTGGAGGAAGACGAATGGTCTGTTTGGAGTGCAATGGTCTGTTTCCAGCTCAGTGAAGTGGTCCTCCACCTCAGCTCTGTCTTTTTAAGTGGTCCTCCACCTTTCAACCGCTGTGACTTTGGGTCAGATGCTGAAAGAAAGGCCGATGCGGCGACTTGGGGTTTCGATTAGACGCATGGCTTGCTGAAAAAAAACGGATGTTGATTGGAGTGCTGCAGGTGAATTACAATGGTGAAGTGGAAGACTGTGAAAAGGATTTTGAAGATACCTGCGAGAGGAACGAGAACAAGATGAAGGAACTGCATACCGCGATCGATGATGCAGCGCATCATGAAACTTTGGAAGAGCTGAAGCAGGAAACCTTTGATCACTTAGATCAAATGGCTGTGGGCTATCGGGACTATGCGGATCAGCTCCTGGGAATACATCAGCGATATCCAGGAGACGCACAGGCTCTCATCCGCAAGGAAACGCGTGGATATTGCCAGGACTGAAAAGGGTGGAATGAAAAGGGTGACAATGTGAACATGCATGCTCTCTACACTGGTGGTATACGTTTACATACATTTTACAGAAGATCTGGGTTGGATGTTTTGTATATCTATATCGACTATCACGAAGGACTAGCTCTCTCAACCTCCTCTCAAAAGGAGAGCAACAGATTGACCGAGATTCATGTCTAAAAAGCCATCTACTATGTCAGACATGACCTGCCTCTGCTCGGCGCTGGAACAGCGTTCTTGGACGTTTGGCTTGGTGTCGACTGCGAGGACTTGGGCTTGGCCTTGGATCCCGCCGAGGAAACGGTGGCGCTGAAAGCCGAACGTGCGGCGCACGCCGCGCAGCTGGAGGCGGACGCCATCGCAGCGGCAGAGGCGCGGACGTGTGGAACTGGATACCAAATTGGTGTAATGCGAACATATACCATCCAGTCTGTTTTTTTGGGATGGGCTCAGCTTGTCTTAGAACTCCAAGTTGATTCTCTCAGTCTCAACCTGACCCAGTGCTCATCCGAGCATCTTCGGACGACTGACCACACTTCATAAGCCAGGCAGCCCACGCTGCGCCGGATGGTGAGGATGAGGCGGCCAAGGAAGCGCGGCTACAGGCGTTGGCCGCAGCCATCGAGACTGCCAAGACACAACTCCGGCAGGCACCCTCTTCGAGTGTTCACGGAGAAGTTGTGTTCGGCCAAAATTCGCGGTCTTTGTGGTGTAGTCAACTTGAAACGAAGTCTGGTGTTGGCCAAAGATATACTTTCCAACTCCCCCCCAATAACCCACACAGTAGGTGCTAACCCAGTTCAAAAAGAGGCAACTGGATGGGGAGGATCAACATACTTGCGTGTGTCGAGGCATCCACATTTGGAGGGCTATAGACTATAGACATTCTTTTTTTTCAGATTTCTTCGCCCTTGAAAGTTTTGTGGCGAGGACGCAGAGGCGCGGGAAGCGGAGGCAGTGGAAGCAGAAGCAGCGGCCTTTGAGGGTCTGGAGGAGAAGAGCCTTTGGGTCTCTGCGGAAGATGTGCCGCTAGGACGGGGGTTGGAATGGGGAAAACGGGGTGAACAAGTAGACTGGAGTCCCAATCAGTTTGAGCCAAGACAGAAAGATGTTGTTTGAGTCTTAGAAGGTGAACCATCACCAGAGTCTACGGAAGTTCTCGATGCATCACACTCGATGTGTAAGTATGGCCGATGCATGTAACGCCTATCGTATCCGACGCATCTCCGATGCATCTCCTCTATGGATCATCCACCAGCACTCATTGGTTGCCCTTGTGTCTAGACACCTGGACAACTCCCTGAGGCCAACACCCCTAACAACAACTCTCTCACCACCTCACCTCCTCCGTACTGCGCCAGGTGAGGGTACTGGTTGCAAAGTCTTAGAGAAGAAGTCCCTCCCCGAGCTGCGCGGCACCGTGCTCCAAGAGCATCCCATCGACGGCCCCAGCGACGCAGACGGAGCGCCCGACGGCACGGCCGCGGCCGCCGACGGAGCCGACGACGGAGCGACCGACGGAAGCGACGCAGAGCCAGTCTTCGCAGATGGGACGCGGGCGCTGGAGACCTTGAGCTTTGACCATTCTTGGTTTGAAGAGAACTTGTATGGCTTGAGAGAGGCCATGCGGTCTTTGGGGTAGTTCCTTCCTTCCTTCCTTCCTTCCGAGCATTGTGGGTAGTTTCGACCTTCTATCCCTCTGAAGAGCCTCTGAAGTCGAGCCTTCGCCTTTGTTTGAACCTTCGTCCAAAATGCCGTCCAGGCGATCTTCCAAAACCTCCAGACTCAGAAACGCTACTTGGACCGTGTGGACATCCCTGCGGCCTGCGAAGAAGTGCGACGGGATTTGGATCAGCGCCTGCGGCGGCACACCAACCGCAAGGGAGAAGTCCAGGCGAGTTCGGTCGAACGAAGTCCAGTCGCTTCAGAGAAACGCCGGGGAAACGGACACTTTGGGAAGGCCGGAGTTTTGGACACATTTTTCAGTCACCGAGTGAGTTTGGGGGGCTCGGAGCTCCTGGACTCAACATGTTTCAATGTGTTTTGGACACATTTTTCAGTCATGTTTCCGTTCGAGTTCCTTTCCAGTGTGCTCCTCTTCCACCCGGGGCGCTTTGCGATGACCTGCTGCGACCTTCCATGACCAACTGACACCGGTGATCCACAAAATCCAGGGACTCGGTGGGAACTGCACCTGGTATCACCTGGTAGGCGTTTCGCACCGGGTCGAGGAAAAGCACTGAGTCACTTAGTCAAGGTCGGTGCAGCCCCCAGGTCGGAACTTCAAGTGGTGGCCAAGTAGCGAATCCTTTCCTGTTGGATCTTGAGATGTGGGGGACATGAGGAATCACCAAATACGACGGCTTGGCTGAGTCGGCCATCGTTCTATTGTCTGCTGTGCACTGCGAGGTGGAGTGGTATGTGCCACGCTACGGAACCGTATCCAAACACAAGGACAGGGTGTATGGCCTGGCACACATGAGGTAACCTGATAGTGATGCCGCAGTGCCATTGGTTCTCATTGATGTTCGAACATCGATTGCACATTGACCAAGCCCATAGCTCAGCATAGCCCCTCAATGGAGAAAGACTCGTAGACTTGCCAAATGTGGCACCTGGCGTGCTGGAATCGCCGTTTTTCCGAACGGCATGGTGGAACGACCCCCGCAGCTCCTCAGGACAAGTTCGAGCGACACTTGATCAGTGTGGCACACAAGTGTCAAGACCAAGACGATGCTGTGGAGAAGGCCCTGGAAGAAGTGGAAAAAGCAGAAGAAGAGTGAGATCCTCAGAGATGACAGTTCTTTGGACCATTTGCAACTCGCCAAGACCTACTGTACAAAGTCGTAAAAGTGTTCCGCAAACAAGAACTCTTGTACATTGTGGTCGTGGTTGGAACTGAAGAGACTAAAAAGAACCGCCCATGTTGATGCTGATTCTGCATCAGGTTCAAGCAGCGGCTTGTTAGTTTGCAGGATCGTCTCAGCGAAGCGCGGAACTCAGAAGCGTGTCGTTGGAGCTCGTGTCGTTGGGGTCGATAGACGATTTCCAGGTATTGTTGTAGTAGACTCGGTGAGACAAGCAGGACCCAGCTGTTCATTTTGATTTCGAACTCACGCTGAGGCGGAGACGCTACCTGTCCTCACCTCCTTTGAACGACAGGCCCAGATATGCCTCATAAATCCTCAGAAGTTATTTCAGAATTATATTCCAGGCCAATTGGATGTCTATCTAGTGTATTCAGATACTGATGACTACTTGGTGTAATTGTATGTACTACTTTCTTCCGTCCAAAGTAGATGATTCCTCCGATTGCGACCTTTTGAGATCGTCTGAGTCCTTCGTTTCACCGTGTTGTTTGGGGTCCACCCTGTTTGGACTGGGGAGCCCGGACGAAGGCTTCTGATCTGCTTCTGGGCTTCAAAGACTTCTGCAAGAGTGCGGTGAAGACGCTTTTGGAGTTGAGCAGCAAAGCACCACAGGCTGCAGCGTTTTCTCCATTGCTCCGCGTACGACATAAAGTTTCCTCGAGATGAAACGCCTCAGACTGCGCTTATACGTTTGCCAGTGATCTTTTTTGCCTTTCATCTGAACACAGATCTACGGAACATGTTCAAGTGGAGCACTACAATGCGGGATTTTGCCTGTGTTGACCGTTTTTAACTTAGACGCCTGGCAAAACCACCTCCATGGCAAAACGCGGCCAGGGCAACCCCCGGCATGGCGGCATGGAATTACACGGACTCGGTCAACCCCGCCCGGCCTGCAGGCCTTGCAGAAGGACAACCAAGCCTTCCTGATGATGTGCAAGAAAGGAGAGGGCGCGGCACGGGCGCTGGCGCTTGGATGATCACCTAGACCAGAAGGCCTACCCTTTCTTGACCAGATATTTTTCTTGTGTGAACATAAAAATTGGATGATCACCTTCCTGAAAGGATAGTTATTTGAGGACGCTTCATGTCTAGTTGAGGGCAGTTGCTTCTATTTCAAGCTGCAAGGAGAGGAGCAGTATAGCGAGCCCGAGATCGTGTATTATGGTGGTGAGGCCAGGGGGGGAAGCAACCAGGTTACTATACTTCCATCCACATATATATATATATATGCAGTATAATATATATGGATATACATATGTATCTATCCCCATGGGAAATCCTGAAATCACTTAAAACCAGCCAACAACCTCGTCACCTTCGCCACCAAAGTTGCTTGGGAGCTTCCCTTCGGCGTGAGGCCCTCTTGTGAAACCATCTGTAAAGCTTGCTTCGGTGGGCGTAGCACGAAGGATTCACGTGGCTCGCACGTCGCCAGATTCAAGAGTTGAACTCAACGTTGGATGAACGGATGCAAGAAAGAGCGCAGAAGGTGCGGCTGGCCCAGCATGGAGAAACAGAAGGTGAGTTCTTAATGTATGTTTGGACGTAGGAAGTGATGGAACATAGCAAACAAGCTCAGACTTGGTAGATTGCTTCTGACTTCAGCCAGCATGCCCTCGCTCAGGCTCATGATCTGGAGGCCGCCGTCGACGAGAAATGCAAAGTCGACGTCTGAGTCACCACAAAAACCGATCGTTCGCCATGGATCGGTCCCGAACGGAAGGGCCCTTCTTCGTTGGGCTTCCAAAGGCCTTTGAATTGAAGGGTTGTCTGCTTGAACCACCCTGATGTCCGGTCCCTTTCGCGCACTCAGGCGCCGATGCACACCTTCTCTGAAGCCTATGCTGCTGCGGTGGAATCCCTTTGTGCGAGCCACTGGACATGTGCGGAGCATCCACCGTTTCGGAGACGGAGGTCTCCGGTTTGTTCGGAGCCTCCCACTCTGCGGTGGTGCGGGCGGTGTGCGAGCAATCCCAGTTTGTAGTGTTTCAAGTGCAAGTCACGAAGAAACTGCTTCCCCTTTTGGAGCTCGTGTCTTTGGTCCAAAACTCTCCATCCACGCCGATCCCATCTGTCGGCTGGCGACCTCGACCACCTCGACCCCACCCTCCATCACCCTGAGGCAAAGGCTATGGCCGGAAGTATGGCGAGCCAAGGCGCAAGGCGCAAGAACGTGTGCGTGCGCCCGGCGTGGTCCATGGAGCTTTGAACGGGGGAAGACCGGGGCCGTCGTTTTCGGCCAGGTACGTTGATCGCGAGGGCGAAGACGGTGGGCTCCAACGTCGAGTTGCTCTTGGACTATGCTTGGACCCAATGACCATCTATATTGACTATGGGGTGGTCTGTATTCGGCAGGTTTGAGCAGCTTTTGGATGCCCAGCTTAGGCTTCTCCGGGTCAAAGAAAAAGGGGGTTAAAGACCGATGAAGTTTGGGTCAGTTGAGGAATTCTCAGGATCTGACTTGCATGTTCGCATCACACCTGTCACCGTCGCTGAGGTCAAGAAGCTCTTGGCTTTGCCCCTGGAAGATGGTGGAGACTGGGGCTACATAGATCGAAATGCAGATCGCAGAAGTTTCTCTTGTAAAGCATTGCATACTAGTTAGCTTTTTGTTACTAGTAGCGATGGCTTCCAACCTAATAGCGATGGCCTCCACCTAATTGCGTACGAACGCTACTAGTAGCTTAAGGACTTCCCGTATCCTACAAGAATCTGCAGGGGATTCTCTTTTCCATATCATTGATTCGGAAGCCAGTGCTGGGCAGTGCTGGGCATCCTGTTCACCAGGCTTGGAGATGAGTGCCATGCCACCGCCGCCGCGGATCATGAGCATCAGGTGCTCGTCCCCCGTCCGCGCTGCTCGCCGCTCTCCCGACAGTAGAGACGAAGCCAGGAAGCCACAGGTGGTGTGTCATGTGCGGTCGCTGGAACGCAGATGTTCTCATCTGATTGGCAAGAGAAGAGACCTCTATCCACCCTTCCTTATCCATTCGCATTCATATCTTTCGCAGGTCAGGTACTTCAGGTGCATGTATTCATAGTTTGCTGGTATACTTTGGATGAACCCTCCTAATTCTTTCAAGTGACTTCCCAGATTTGGGGGCACTTCTCACGCCCCCCAACACACATCGCCCCTCCAGGCACTTCTTCGAGCGTGGGGGAGAGCCTGCGACTCGGGTCCGTCGGCGCTCAGCGGGTCCGTCCGTCCGACGGATCCGGGGGCCACCGAGGACGTGGAGCTTCCCATCCGAAGCCTTGGGCGTTCTGTATGTGGCCGCCGCGTCCTTGGAAGGACTGGCGGTTGCCCTTGGGATTTGGTGATGTTTTTGAGGCGCATGGTTTTGTGCGGTTTTGGGGGCTGGTCTCTTTTTCAAAAATCTTCTAACACATTTCTGGTGAGGGATCCAAGGAGTTTCCTGAGTCAGTCTTGGTTCCTGCTCAAGTCTTGAGAACGTTGTGGTGACCTGAGGTTTGCACCATGGCAGAGCTTGGAACACATTTGGGCGCCTTCAAAGAAGCTTATGTTTGCAGCTCAGTTTTGGTCACAGAAGCCAGGAGGAGCAAAGCGCTTCAAGCTTGCGTCTGTCTGCAATGAAAAGCAGCAAAGCTTTCAATGCGAGGATGTGGCAAACTGGGGTGACCTTTTGCTGGGGCAGTGGATCATGCATGGATGAAGAAACTGATGGTGCCTAGATTGCCCAGATATAGAATTGCAACTGCTCAAAGCCATGGCAGGTGAACAGTCCTACAACCTTTCAGATTCTCTACTGTTTGAGGTGACATGCGACCCTTCTTTGGCCTTTCCGGGCCAATTAACATCAATGACCCCCACGCCGTTCACGCCGGGGCCGTTCACGCCGGGCGTTGACGTCGAAGGAACACCTCCAGATCGGCCGAGGTCTCCAAGTACGAGCTGGCCGCGGTGCCTTGGCTCCGCATCCTACGGGAGGATGCCTGCCTCATGCCGCCCGCTGAGCAGCAGCAAGAGGAGTGGAACGTGTTGATCCTGGAAGGAACGAATAGATTGGTTGCGTTGATTCTGGTCGCTGTGAATTGTTCTTTCAAACTTTCTTGTTGGGACTGCAGCATGTAGTGTCAGATATATATATATATATAGTCCATATATACTTAATAAACGGCGCATTACTTTGGAATTTGATAGGCGACAACCTGCATTGCAGCTTTGGACGGTTTTCCTCGTGGCGGCAGGCACATCGAAAGGCTGAAGCTGCCAAGAAAGCATTGAGCTTCCGACCTGTTTGGTTGACTCTGGAGTTCTCTCGGCTGCCTAGCATGGCTAGTGCATTCCACGGCGGAGAATCCTGCCATGCAAGGAGTGAGAATTCTGCGGAGAACGAAGCAGAAGCTGAATCTGCCATTCAGCTATCACGATCGTTGGAGGCCGTGAGAGAGATGTGTGTTTATATGGCTTGATTGGTTTGATTTGACGCATTCCGTTTTTTTCATTTGCCGTCATCGATTCTTGACATGAAGCAAAACATGCACCCATCCCATATCAACCCATCCCAACTTCTTGCGCCTCGGAGGCCTCCAGTGCTTTGAGGGACGACTCTCTGCTCCGCGTGTGGACGCTGAGAGGGTCGGTCCGCCGGTCCATCACACCGTGGGGAGTGTGGCAGTCAGAACACTCCGCACCTCACACGAGTGTTAGCGTGGAATGGCGTCCTGAAAGGAAGACGTGACGAAAGACGTTCCAAACAGGTGGTGGTCTTCCACTTCGAAACGGTGAGTCCGAGTCAAATGATGCCATTGGTCACTTGGGACCTTAACTCTCAATGTGATCCTTCGCGCGTTTGACGTTCCGTTGGACACCACCAACCGACCGGGTCACTGGATTTCTCCACCTCAGGTGCTGGGCCCTTTGATGAAAAGCGAGAAGTTCAACGATGAGATTCAGCTGGTCATCAAAGCTTCACATGAAGCCTATGCTGGGCAGGCCAGCTTTGTCGCCACTGGCCTATCACGAGTTTGCGCCGGATTTTTGTTTGTTGGTCAAGCAGCTACAAAGCTGGCCAAAGTAGAAAACAGGCTTTTGCACTAATTGCACAATTATGACACCTGTGCGAAACGCTTTCGCCTGGTATTCCAAACGAGTCGATGGTGGAACTCAAACACTTTCGTCTGAGTTCCTTCCTCTCTGTGGCACATGGTCGTTGATTCCTTTTGGAACGGAAATCCGCCACGCAGTCGTTGATTGAGGATCCAACTCATCTGCTCGCAACGACCGCAGCCCGTGTCGGACCCACCTTTGCTCCGGTCGCGACGTGGTCGCGGTCTTTGTCGCCATGGGTCGCAGGCCTGGTTGCACGGTGTGTGGGTTGAATGTCATTTGGTTGAGCAGTGTTAAGTCAGCTCTCGGCTGTTCTCGGCTTCGGGTTCGTGGAGTTTTTTTCTTCTTTTTTCATTGTTTTTTCCTTTTCTCCACTGCACAGCATTCTGACACACTCAGAGGTCTTTTGATTGAAGCAATGGGCTAAAAAGGTTCACACCATGAGCACCCTACACCCTGTCAGTCCCAAGAGACCTCAAAAAGACCCTCCAGAATCTTCCCTGACTAAGAACCTCTGACACAGTGTGAAGTCTCTTCGTCAGAGCACCCTGTCGTTCCATGCGAGGCCTGGTAGAAGTTGGGAGCCCAAGAGCATCCTCGTGCTCTTGCTGGCCTCTCTCGCATGCCACCTTTCCTTCGTGTCCTTTATCGGACGCGGCAGAACCTCAAGTGTCCTTTTAAGGGCCACTGCAGAGGGTGGATCTTCCAAGACTGGTGCAGTGGTTGATGATTCAGATCTCGACGGAGAGGGCACGGATGCCCCTGACAAGAAGAAGGCCAAGTTTGACGACATCCTCACCGAAGCAGACAATTTTGCAACGTCCATCGAACGAAAAAGTCGGAGATCCACCGCCGTGGCCCGCGTTTCTTTAGAAGATGAACTCCGTGGAGAGCTGAGTGGATCTTTTTTTCGGGTTACTTCTTTCGTGTGTGCTTTGTGAGAGCTATTCCATTCAGGTGCTGAGGGTGCTTAGCCAGTAATAAATGCCACCAAGTCCGATAGAAGAGACCATATATGTGATGATTGGACGATCATGTGTAAAGACTTATTTGAGATGTGTAAGTCTCCCAGGGCTGAAGTTCAGGTGGTTTGTCTTTGGAGGATGACACGGACCTCGACATGATGATGATGAGCCGTGCTCGAGGAGGTCGTGCCAAAGAGACCTCCTTGTCCTATCGGATCAACAAATGGTTTGAAGAGACCAAGGAGATGATCGTGAATCCCACGCGAATCCAGGTGTGAACACACAAACATCTAAGACCGCTGTTTTTATGGTCGCTGTTTAGACCCTAACCATGTAAACCTACAACCTGGGACCCCCTGCCTATATCAGCGGTTTGTTTCAGTTTCCTTTTTTTAATTCAATAGCCCGAGTGTCGAGTCAGTCATGAGAAAGAGATCGCCAGGTGACCTATGGCATGATCTTCTTCGCAACCTTTCTGGTTTTGATCCTTGTGGGGGTCATCACCTTTTCATTAGGCGCAGTTCGATTGCAAGGAGATGGAGTCGAGACTGCCATGAGACGCCCGGAAAGCTCAGCCATTCGACTTTTCCGTTTGGACATCCATGATCATCCATGGAGATCCCCTGGTAATCTCTTGAAACACTTGGTTCATCCCATCTATCATCATTTATCTATGTTCATGAAGCAAATCCAAGGACAGAAGATCGACGATGAGAGCATCTTCATGCAGAAGTACAAGCAGATCAGGGAGAACAAGCGAAGGTTCGCGGAGATGGACGACATTCGAAAATACACCAGCGATCTCTACACTCTCAGTCCGGACAGTAAAATCAACTACACTCCAAGATCACTCGATGAGATTACTCCAGAGGATGTGATCGGTGAGTACTGAGAGGACTCCTCAGCATTTTCAGGTCCTGTGGCCTAGCTCGATCAGACGTCTTGCTGTCCAAAGTGTGGACGCACCGACGCACGTGTCACGACGCGTCTCCCGCGTGCAAACCTCGTGGTGTGCAACAAGGAAAAAGCCACAGAAAAAGCATGAAAAAGCACATGGGTGTGTCCCATGAGCATCGTTTGGCTTCTTCGGGTGTGTAGGGATCGAAGTCGGTTTTTCGTCGGCAGTGGCGTGCCTCGCGTGGCCGTCAGGCTGGAGGAACCCCTGAGTTCATGCAGAAGTTCCTGTCTGACATGCAAGTTTCTTGCGAGTGAGCTTCTCAGCATGCCACACACACACACACACCGCACCACGTGACTTGTGTGACTTGTGTGACTCACAAAGTGTTTTTTTGAGGAACACGCGGCATCACAAATAGGCTCATGCCTCGCAGGTTCTGCTGCAGACAATCCACAAAGCAAGTGAAAAAGTGCTGCGGGACATACGTTGAAAAGTCTGCCAGATCAGGTGGTGGGACCAAGTCAATTCCACACATGTCCCTGTGGTACATTCTCCAACACGCGGAGTCAAATTCAAACCGGTTTTCACTGTAAGACCGCTTTTCCGGCTGAGCGCGCCTCGGGAGCACTCTCAGCTGCCTCGGGTCCTGTGTTCAGCAGCCTCTCCTCCTTTGAGGCATGCTCGCCAGGAAGATTGTCGCGCACTGCGCGACTGGGGTGATCAGCTGCGGGAAGAGACGCACCTCGTCGAGTTCTGCGACGCAGGGGGCGACACAGGGGGGTAACAGGTGGGGGAGCGATGGTGTGCAAAGCAGAGCATCGGCAGCCAGGTGTGCTGGGTGTGGGGAGGAAGGATGGCCAAGGTCCTTCAAGTGGAAGACACCGCATGTCTTAGTGAATCCAGGAATGCGACTGATGACAAACAAGCGGGTGCTAGATTCGCTAGATCATGGATGGGATTTGGCGAAGCAGTTCCGTGACCCACATCATTGGTGGAGTCATTGGCACGCTGGCATGCTTCCAGAACTGCAGCGTAGTGCGTAGTTTGCTTCCAAGCTTCTGGTTCGCTGGAATTCGTTGGGCGGGCTGAACATAGTTTGACCCAGCGACACAGCGGGGTTACCGGACAACTTCTTGGAACATAAGAACCATCCTCCAAATCCTATTTTTTCCCGAAAGCATTGCGAAGGGTTCTTCCGGAAAATCCCTTGAACACTGACACTTCGACACTTACACTTACACACTGACACTTCCACACTTGCACTTGAACACTGACATTTCTACACTTACACTTGAACACTGACGCTTCCACACTGACACTTGAATAAAAGTATCCAAGGGTAAGTATGCAAGTGTAAGTATCCAAGTGCAAAACAAAAGTATGCAAGTATCCCAGTCCAGTGCAAATATGCACAAGTATGCAAGTATGAGTATGGAAAACTTGCATGGGAGATGTCCTAATGAAAAACATTTCCCCACTTTATAAATTCTCTCTTAAAGGCGGAGGGTGGGACGAGCAGCGTCAACCGAAAATGCAACCCTCTGCGGAGATCGTGCGTGTCGAGTGCGCGAAATGCAGGCGAGAGCGCGATTTGTGAAATTACCGCGCAACCCTCTGCGGAGATCGTGCGTGTCGAGGGCGCGAAATGAAGGCGAGAGTGACGATTTGTCCGGTGTGCGCGCAACCCTCTGTGGAGATCGTGCGTGTCGAGTGCGCGAAATGTAGGGGAGAGCGCGATTGACCCTGGATGCAGGGAACCCTCTGCGGAGATCGTGCCTTTGTAGTACAACTGTAGTACTCGGAGTGTCTGGCGAGCTGGAAGATGAGAACTGGCGACTTTGTAGTACAACTTTAGTACGTGGAGTATCTGGGGAGCTGGAAGATGAGAACTGGCGACTTGGTAGTACAACTGTAGTACGTGGAGTAGCTGGCGAGCTGGAAGATGAGAACTGGTGACTTGGTAGTACAACTTTAGTACGCGGAGTAGCTGGGGAGCTGGAAGATGAGAACTGGCGACTTTGTAGTACAACTGTAGTGCGCGGAGTATCTGGGGAGCTGGAAGATGAGAACTGGCGACATGGTAGTACAACTTCGGTACGCGGAATATCTGGGGAGCTGGAAGACACATGATAACCAACTGCATGTCTCATAGTCAATGACAAGCATAGTGGTTGGTGAACTACATCCTAGAAAAGCTGTGTCCTGGAGTGAAGGAAATGTTACCTCTGATCGTATATCGATGGACGCATCTCCTCTGACAGGTCACTGCTTCGAGACACTTCTTGCGTGGCTGCCTCAGCATTTTCTGTGTTCATTCCAGCTCGCTTTTTTCAGTGAGATTTCCTGCAGCCGTGCACGCTGCTTCTCCCTTTACCAGCAGCTTAAATGCTCACAACGATGAGCTGGGCTGTCGCCGCTTGGCCGCCGGTGGGGGGTTTGGGAGGCCTGCGCGCCACTTCGTTCACTCTAATACTGGTCGCGAGCTGAACAGCGAGAGTACGCTAAACATCTACAGTGCCTGCTGTGTGTCACCTCATGCTACTTTGTCACGTTTTTCTTTGAGACAGTCATTTAGTCAATGACAAGCATAGTGGTTGGTCAACTACATCCTAGAAAAGCTATGTCCTGGAGTGAAGGAAACGTTACCTCTGATCGTATATCGCTGGACGCATCTCCTCTGACAGGTCACTGCTTTGACACACTTGTTGCGTACCTGCCTCGGCACTTTTCTGTCTTCATTCGGGCTCGTTTTTTTCAGTGAGCTTTCCTGGAGGCGTGCACGCTGCTTCTCCCCTTACCAGCAGCTCAAATGCTCATGACGATGAGCTGGGCTGTCACCGCTTGGCCGCCGGTGGGGGGTTTGGGAGGCCGCATCACACACAGAGACCCACGCACTGCCTCAACTTACCCGAACACACACACATACACAGACTCATATACACACGGACATAGATACACACACAGAGACCCTCACACTACCTCAACTCACTCGACTTAAACACTTCACACAGAACACTTAACAGATAACTCACACTCTGACTTCCTACGTGATGAAAAATGCTTTCGGGCCACTCGTCGTCTAGCTTCTACAAATATCAGACTTCCTCCCTCCCTGAAACCCACGGAAGCCTTTTTTTGACATCACGCTTGTTGTTATCTAAATTCCTTTTTGGATCGAGCCGTTTCAAGCCTTGATCCTGCCATGCCTCCATGCCTGCCAATTCTATCAATCCACATGTTTCTCCTGCACACCAGTGGAGCGTTGGGAGGTCCCCCACGTGTCACCTGACGCACTGCTGCAGTGCGGTGCGAGGCTCATGCAGCTGGGCGAACAGCTCTTTAGCGAGCTCACTGCCAGAGCCTTGGTGGCGCTGGCCAAATCGGCCCAGGAGGCGCAGCAGCAGCCGGGGGACCTGGGCAAGGCGCAAACCCGCGTAGACCGGCGTGTGAGAGAGTCTGGAGTGGATGCCCATGGGAAGAAGCTATCGACAATTGAAACGAGCGTGAGATGTTTCTTGAGATTTGCTTGAGAGACCACCTGGCGAACCAAACACGGAGAACTGCCAAGCCAAACGGAGACCTGCGCGGACGAAACAGCACTCTCCTTTTCGTCCGACCCACCTCACGTTGATGCGAAAATAACCTTCATGCCATGATGGCATGGGCACATTTTCTTGCGGTCCATGCGCGACGAAACTTCACCGCTTTGGACGCGTTGGAGCAGTCGTGGGGCTCCCCGACACGGGACGATGCTGAGGACGGTTCAGCTGTGGATCGAAAGTGACAAGAAGAGAGCGCTCCATGAACAGCGCTGGGGCCCCATTCACAGGGTTCACCTGCTTGGTACACTCCAACGAACAGATTGGAAGATTTGCAAGTGGATGACATGAACTCGGTTCGTAAATTAAGGAAAGTCAACAGTTCTAATTAGGAGACCATCCCATCCACTTCAAGATCTGTTCGTCCGAGTGGTACACCTTCCGGGTGTCCCGGGAGAGTTGGAGAACACCGTCGCGGTCGTGCAAAGAACACCGACGACTTGAACACTTGCGTAGGTTGCCGTAGGTTGTCCATGAACGTCGAGCCAGCCTCCGTAGACATGGTGTGGACAGGAGTTGACATATCCAGATTAAGATTATTAATTGAATTCCATCGCTGAAAATTCCTTTTCTCTTTTTGTTCTCCTTATCAGATGGACGCCCCTGCAACCTGTTTCCAGGCGCTGTCTTCTTGTCTTGTCGCTTTTCAAACCTCGCGCCGTCAAACCTCTTGTGAGGTTTGAGCCCGCGCTTGGCGGACGCCAACAAGAGCGCTGAGCTGGAAGCGTTGGTCCAAGCTGAAGAGCAACGGCATCAAGAGGCGACTCAAACCTGCCAGCAGGACCCGAGAGTTGGTTGGGGTGGACGTGGTGGATGGGGACAGAGTGCCTCAAGGGCAAATCTCAAGCTCCTTCTGAATCTCAAGCTCCCTGGCACTGCCAAATTCTTGGAACACTTAATTACTTGAATTGTTCAACCTGAGGTAGCCCTTTCCGGAACTATATAGGTGAATTCCATACCCAAATTGTCGGACTTCATTTAGAGGACCGGGAGCGCATGGCTTTGGTCTTGCGTAGATCCTGTGAGAGCTTCGTCTGCCGGGAGACCCAGCCAACCAGACACGTACTGGATGGCAAGACCCCACGATACACTGTCTCAACATGTTTCAACGACATAACTAGAACTCGATATAACTGTAGATAACTGTAGTATATTACAATCATCCTGGACCGATGGAACACGAGAATATGGGGAAAGTCAACAACAACCATAGGCACTGGTCATTTGATTGGGGTAAAGAACAACTTTTTCGCTCGGTTGAACTCCTTTGTAGGTCTTTCCAAGTGGGAGATATCTATGCTTTGGTCGCCAGCGTGTGGCTTCCTCGCCGCACCCACCGAGGCCGTTTGACCACGGTGGCAGAGGTCTCCATTCGGCTGTTGGATCTTCTTCCGCTGCACAGCCATTTTGGAAGCCTTCCGGGTGATGAGAAGGTGCGGCAGATGAGCCCAGAAACTGCAAATGGACTGGAAGGAGTCCAGTCCATTGCGCGCCACTAGTGCACCAATAAGTCAAAAGCTCTATAGCAGATTCATCTACCTTTGGCTCCGAAGACTCCTGATCTTGCCATCGAAGCGCCTGTCAACACCTTCGCCTGACTCCATAGACTCCATCAAACACCTCCTCAACAGACCCCACTAAAACGTTGCAGCAGAACCCTGATCCCCGTTCTGCGTTTGGCTTTGGCGAATCCTTGGTTCGGAGGGACTGCGCCAGGTGGAGCCCCCCCGGATGTCCATCAAGCGCCGCATGCGGCGGCTGAACCGCGAGGACGAGGCGCCGGAGCCGGTGCCCAAGGCGGCAGCCAAAGGCAAGGCGGCAGCCAAGCCGCCCCCGGAGGAGCCAAAGGAGAAGGATGCCGGACTCCCGGAACGTCAGTGGACAGGCCGGTGGGTGTGTTTTTTTTTGTTTTGTTTCTTTTGGATAGATCATGTGGGATGATTTAAGGCAGGCAGTTTGGGGGTGGGGAGACTGCAAGATGTTTTGATTGTTGGGAGTTTGATGGTGTCAATGCTTCCAAAAGCCTCTGGTCGTGGTTCAACCGGATCAGCTTTGTTCATGCCCTGTTGATCTTGCTTGCATGACAGGCGTCCCCAAGTACGAGCTCCGTGCCATGCTCGTGGGCTCCAAGTGGCCGGAGGATGAAATGCTTCCGGAAGAGGAGTTCGATCAGAAGAAGCTCGAGCTGACTGAGACCCTGAAGTCCTTCCGATCGCCCCTTCGGCTCGCATTCGCTGCGAGTCCGTCCGCGTCCGTCGAGGGATGGCGGCGGCGTGGTGCATCCGGGTCGTTGGACGTCTGAGGCCGGTCCACAGGAAGATTATCAAAGGACCGGGGGGGGTGCACAGCTGTGGGGAGGATGGAGGTGGACGATCCATTTCGGCAGAGGCATTATAGCCTTATAGGATCTTATAGGATGGACATGGACAAGAAGCTTCATCGAGGGAAGACTAAAGCGAGATGCTTTTGAGAACCCGAGAAGCCTCATCTCTTTCACACGGACAGTGTGATTGTTCCAGGACGACTGGAGTGCTACGAAAGGTACAAGCAAAGCTTCATCGCTGAAGTGCAACGTCGAAGCACGGAAATGTCCTTGCGAGAGGCCAAGGAGGAGGCTGTCTCGGCTGTGTCAGACAAAACACACTATATGGCTGTGGGTCAAAACCAGGATATCTTGGTAGATCTACCGACGAGACTCGCCCTCCATGTCTTCCCACAGCCCTTCACCATAGGGTGGGTGCTGGGGAGTTGAAGAGAATATCCACAAGTTGGTTGATCTACCTGGAATGCTCCAAGTTTTGACCCCTCCCCATATAGGTTGAAGGTGAAGGTCAGCGAAACAACATGTGAAGGCTGACGGGTGAAAGAATGTAATTGTATGGACCACTCTTAGATGGAGCATTGCGAAACATCGTCTGCGCTTGAAGGCCGGCGAGAGAAAGTGGCAGTCGATGATTCGACAGCTGAGTGGAGAGTGATCCCATGCGGCGTCAATGTACAACAGAAACACATGCACACATCTTCACATGCACACAGATGCCCTCACAGATGATGCATAGATTCATAGGCCCCATGGGGTCTCCAATGTGTTGATTTTTTTTTGATGCATTCATGCAGTTGGGAAGTTGACAATGTTGGTCTCACCATCGCAGCGAACGATGCTGTGACATGTACAGATGATGCACGTCTTGGCCTCCGCCCTGATGGGCCCTTGAGGCCAGCCAGGTCTCACTTAGTCTCAGCTTTCTCCGCAGTTGCTGTGAGAAGATGCAGTCGTGTGCGTGTCATCGATCCGCACTATGAACACCGCAGCTCATGGTGTGTTCTTGGGGACACTTTGAGAGGTGGCATTTGTTTTCGAGCTCAAGCAATCTTCAGAAGACAGTATCAAGCAACACGGGACTTGCCAAAAACCGCCTTGCAAGACTTGTCATCTGCACTTTCGCCGAAGTTGAAATGGAACCAGACCTTGGTTCAGTGGTGTGTGGACCTGGAATTATCCAAACACAGCAACTCTGAAACTCGTCACCCAAACCCTCTCCCCAAAGCGCCGCCCGTCGCCGGTCGCCCAAAAAGACGCCGGCCATCGCTGCGCTCGCTGGGAGCGGACGGACGTACATTCGTCGTGCCATGGGACGCCTGCGGGCCTCGCTCCTTTGCTTCCTCTCAAGGATACTCTCCACCGATGCGGACTACCATCCGCCGCTCTACAAGATCGTCGACGCGAAGGCGCGCATTTTTTCGGAGTGGGAAGCAACTGGGCGTCTGAAGATCGATGGAGTCCTACCGTCCAGCTGATTGGTGTTGATCATGTATGCGTGTTGCTGTTTGACTGTATAGCTTTCTTGTTTCTAATAGCTTTTTGCTCCTAGTAGTAAGGCCAGGAGCCCCTAGTAGCGTCCTTGCTCCTAGTAGCGATGCCCTTTGTTGCTAGTAGCTTCTTTTGCCTTCGACAATCACATTGTACGGCTCTCTCATCATCTCCGAGGCAGACATCCGTGACTTAGACGTTGGGGACGTCGATGACATGGAGGCGTCGTGGAGGCTCCATCGTGGGCGCTTAGGGTGTGTGGTGCCTGCCGCAGGCTGACGTGCCGATGCCCTTCCTTGAGCACCTGAAAGATTTCCGGACCAAGAAGAATCAGCCAAAGTGGGACTTAAACTCAAAGGATGGATGGATTTCGAATGATACGCGATGCGAGTGCTCTCAACTCTCTGAAGTCATTTTGTCTTTTGTCAGTCGGATTACTGATCTTGCGGTGACTGTTGCGAGTGCAGGAGTTCCAAGCAGACCCAATGTCATTCATGAGTGGCTCTGGGTCGGGTGTCACGATGGCTTTTGTGAACCTGGATATCAAATGGGCACATGCCTCAGTGTAGTGTATATCCCATTACCAGTAACAGCCGGTAAATATTAGCACTTTCTTTTAGATATCGGCCTGCAACCCAACCATCCTCATCCACTTGGCCCTGGTAATGGGATATACCCAACCTCAGAGAGTGTAAGAGTATCTTGAGCTGGTTGAAGCACACGCTGTTGGTCCTCCCCAGATTACAGGCCGAAGAGAACGGCAAACATGGCACGACGGCCCTCGCTCGAAGCTGGTCGAGCCTTTTAGAAAATGGAGGAGCTGGTCGTGGTCGGGCCTCAAAACATGACATACCAAGGCATCACTCATGGTTTCGCGGTGTTTTCATGGTGTGTTTCAATGTGGCAGAAGCCTTCAAAGATTCCACAAAGTCATTCTGGAATCCAAACGGCACCCAGATAGGAGGACGTTTGGTGCTTCAAGAAGCACACTTTGAGTGGGTAACCAGGTAACTCCTGCATTTTGTGTCTTCCTCCAAAGCTTTTGGCAGTTTGTTTAGAGTCGATTTGTTGGCAAGTGAAGGATTCACCAGAACCAGTACTGCAGGGTGCCGTGAAAAAGACATACTTTCCATCACTTGCCCAAGCTTCCACGTGACAGGAGTGAAGGTGCAAGTCTATGACACAGACCCTGGCAGCATCCTCATCGTGTCTGGCGCCCATCTGTTTCTTGTTCCTTTCTTGCAAAGAGCACCGTAGCAACGCCTAGCAACGGAGCCCCAGGAATCAGAACCCGATGAACAATCTGAAGATCAAAGAGTTTGTCATGGCACAGCCTCATGTGGACTACTATGCTCCTTGGCCGAAGAGGGTTTAGGGACCGAAGCGGTGAAGTGAGCGGCTCGCTCTCCACGGTGAGCAGCTCTCGGAGATCCTTGAACCTCGTGGAAGAAGAGGTGAATTGAAGTGAACTAAAGGTGCATTGAAGACGAAGACCTCGTGAAATCCCCAGAGACACACACATCAATCCCCAGCACGAGTGAAAGATATACTGAAGAGAGACGTCAGCCTCTACCGTAGAGAGACCAGTAAACCTGAAGAGAAGTCAATGGCCCGGGGTTTTGAACCTACCAGCGCCAGGAGCTGAACCAGCGCCGCTCCTACCCTGACGGGCGGACGGCTCCGTACCTTGGTGTTCTCGTGCACGATGGGGGACAAAAGCGGCTCAACGAATCCAGTAGGCTGTTGAATTGGCATCCCTCAACTGATGTATAGTGCTGTTGTGAGAATCATATCTTCCTGAGACACATAGATCATGGATTTCAACAAGCTCGCAAAGCGCTCCATTCGAGTCTGGAGGCTGACCCATTCCCATCACACGTTGGTCTCCATGGATCCAGAAACGTTCAGGGGCCGCCACAGCAACAAGGTACAACGCTAAGGGTTTTGTCAGGGCAATTCTCCCAAGCCTTCAAAAACACCGGATCCTGAAGGCACTGGACGTTTTCACGTTAAACACATCGGGTCGAAATCCACCAATCTTTGCCACGAGCTGCCTCCGACCTCTTCTGCCACGGTGGCTGACCCGAGGATTGTGCCCGACGCCGAGCGCAAGGAGCGCATCGCCCAGATCCCCGGGCGGCTTGGCGACCGGCGGCCGGAGCCGGTGCGGAAGCCGGCGCCAACGGCCAAGACAGGCGCGGGAAGTGGGTGGGTGTGGTCCGGGGGGAGGGTGGAAGAGGGGAGAGATGGTGTGGAAGTGAAGGGTTTTGCTGCATGACCCATCTGTTGAATGTAATGGTCTGAACTTGGGGAGAGATGGCAGGAGATCTGGCCGGTTTGGGTTCAGGACTTGCAGATAGTTCCTCCGGTTCACATTTTGGTTTGTCGCGTGGCTCAAGTTTCGCAGATGCAAAATGGCCTGAGCCAGTCGAAGGACTGGAGACACTTCACCGGCTGTCCATCGCCAGGAAAAGGTGCCAAAGCTGAGTAAGGTATGAGGAGTGGACAAAACCAGACCCCAACAGCAGGTTGAACAAGGCTTATAAGGTGGGTCATGGCAACCCGGAAGCCTTGTTTGCGAATTCTGCTGTTTGGTCTACCAAGGCATGGTTTGATGCATCAGGATGGTTTGATGGTTTTGCCATTCCTCATGCACCGAATCCTGTCAAGTCCTGTGCCCCGATGCCAAATTTGGCGCGGAAGCATCGAAAGACCACCAAAGAAAGAAGCTCCAAAGAAAGAGGCGAGTCGTTTTCAGCCAATGCCAATCCCAGTCCTGTCACTTTGAACATGTGCGCAACCTTCGCCAGTTGTATACGTCCGACCGACTTGAGATCGGGGGCCACAACAATAAGCTACTAGGAACAAGTGCATCGCTTCTAGTAACAAGTGCCTTACTAGTAGTAACAAGAATTAGTACTGTAATTAGAATTAAACTAGAATCTACAATATCGACTCGGTGACCTTCGGCTCCAGCCACCGACGGGTGGCCGTGCCCGGTCTTGCCATGACGGACGAGACCTGCGCGTTGCAGGCGAGACGGTGGAGCGATGGGAGAGACCTGGTGACGGTGTTTTGGAGGGCTGGTGGAAATCCTCTTTCCTCTTGCTTGTGCCAAAAGATGGTGGACAAATCCAAAGAAACAAACCTGGACGAATCCCTTTGAGGAATTCACCACCTGTTTGGTATTGATAATGCTCATCACAAGAGAATCACATTCATGCGCGCAGCGGATCGTGTCTCGGTGTTCGCATGGGGGGAGTTCGTTTCTGATGGAACGAGCGCCTTCGGCCTCAGCGTTCGATCCTCACATCAAGGAACTCTGTTGAACTTGTTGACCTCAAGTTGGATGAGTTCTGGAAGATGAACTCGGAGATGAGATTCGAGATCCGAAAGACTGCGAAAGTGAGTATTCGAGCCCACAGCATAGGAGTTAGGAAGGAAGGTATTTCAATGCAGACGCCTTCCAACGATGTCTTTGTGTGCTTGGGATATCAGCTTGGATTGAACCAATTTAGTAGCTGCCCTTTTTGGGTGGAAGAATTAGAATTTGTTTCTAGCATCGTAGCTGGACATGGTAGGAATGTCACTCATGACCAGGTTGTTTCTGTTGAATTGATGGACTTGAAAGGATGGCAAAGATACAGTTTGCTGGGTCCGCTTGCTGCTTCAAGCACCATTTGCCATGATGACTCACTTCCCAACCTTTCCCTTCACCTTAGCGTCTCCCCCCGATTTTTGGCTCGACCTTTTTTCTCTTCGGTTTCTGTGCCAGGCGCAGGTGGAGCAGTTGGAGCTCCGAGTGCAAGAGCTGCAGGCCGAGCTTTTGGCTTCGCGCACGGAACGCTCGGAGGAGCTACAGGAGCTCCACGCCATCGTGGACGCCCAGGAGGCGCCGGTCGGACGCGGTCCGGACGGCGTCCGGTGTGAAGGATTGTGAAGGTGTTTGGAAGCGGATCAGTCAGGAGTGGCGAGTCATGAAGCAGGATAGAAAAGAGATGGTTTAAGAGGGAATCTTGTTTAGTGCAAATTGTGGTGCTGCTGCAAGTGAGGTGCTAGGCTATGCAGTGCAGATGGCAAAGGAGTGATCTCAACCTAATTATAGGGCTTCACCTTACGCAACCATCGATCGAATCAGCATGTGATCTGCAGCGTTGCTGCCGAAACAGCGGCCCTTTCGCGCTCACTCAAGAATATGCCAAGACACTTGCATCTATTTACTTGCTTCCTATGACAAACATTGTGTAGCACACCTCAGTTGGCCAGTGTAACATCATCCATCCGTGAAAACAGTGTCAACAACCGCATCAGGCCACGGCTTAAACGATGTTCCAATTGGGACCGGCACGTGATCCGAATTGCAGCATCCAACAGTCATCTCAAGGTGGTTCAACCAATCCACATGTGGTGCGCAAGACATGTAACAAGATGTCACCTTCCCCAACGCGGGGGCCGCTAAAAACCTCCAACGGTGCATGGGCATGTACGGACTTGTCCATGGGGCACGTCAAGAGTTGCCCCTCACTGGATCTGCTGGGATTTGCTGCCCTCACTGAGCAGGCTGCCCTCACTGAGCAGCGCCGCATCATCGAAAGCCAGAGCCGGAGCCTCACCGTCTTTTGGGAAGGATTGGACTGAAAAGAGGCCACTACCTTTGATTCAATCGCCATTCTGTTGATCTTGATCTCCTGCTTCAGGATTCATGATTTTGCGGTGAGAGGATTGTTAGAACAGCACTTGAGATGACCATGATGACCAGTTGTCAAGTGAACCCAACCTGACTCACAACTTCCAGAGTTGGAAGATCGAATATCACTGCATCAACCAATGCAAGAGCTTGAAATCCCACAGGTGCCTTGATCGAGGATTTGCATGAGCACCTCAGTGGAGCGACGGCCTCAGATGGACAGACCTGCGATCCTGGGTCGACCCGTGCGTTGAAAGCACGGAGCATTTCCTCACTGAGCCACTCCCTTTTTGGAACAAGGGCATCGCTACGAACTAGGAGCTCCTGGCATCGCTACGAACGGAGCGATCGGACGCTACGAATTCGGTGCTCCTGGCCTTACGAACGGAACAAGGTTCGCTACGAACGGGACCCTCCGTTCAGCTGCGTTTCCACCCCGGAGCACGGCAAGCCGGCTCTCAGGCGGTGCCCGAGCCGCCTGCGGAGCCGGAGGAAGGCGAGGCACCGCTGCCGCCGCCGCCGAGGAGGAGTCGGGGTGAGAGTGGGCCGAGCACAGGCGAGGAGCGCTGTTTGCGGAGTTTGGGGCCGGGGAGATGTGGAGAGAAGGAGAAGCAGAGATAAGGAGAGAAGGAGAGATAAGGAATCGGCAGGAAAAAGAGCCATTTCGATTTGGCCTTGCAATGATGTCCCTGTTTCACCACTCCCTTTCATCACTTATTCGTTTTCAATGATCCATAGGAAGAGGAATTACTGGAAGCTCCAAACTATGCGGAACAAAAGAATGATGTGAAACAAGAGTTGGGACCCATTAAAAGTGATGTCCAGCCCTTCTAAGGAAAGATGGGGAGACCTTTGTTCCGTTTTCCTTTTTTTCGGGTTCCAGGGATATCCAGCATCCGATCGGAGGCTCTGGCGCTCGTCCGAAGCGGAGCTCCCACCCAAGCACCGCTTCCGGCTATGGAAAGACGGTGGAGTCTTCTCGCGAGCAGCGCGAGCAGCGCGAGCAGCGCGAGCGTGAGCCGCCTCGGGGCTCAGGCAGCATGAGCACGCCGGGTCTTCGAAGTGGGAAGCTGGAGGTCCGCAAGGAGAAGAGCGAGCCCAATTCCAGGAGCGAGGTTGGGTGCCGGGTGACATCTTCTTTTTGGCTCACGCTGAACAACAGGCCATGCACGAAGGAGGAAGAGAAAGGAAAGAAAAAGGAGAAGGAGAAGAATGGTCCTCATTTGAATTATAGTCTTAGGAAATGGAATTATGTGCTCCTTGTTCTCCCCCAAGACAAACAAGGCAGCGGATGGTGGTTCTTATTGTGTTTCTTCCTCCTCTTGTTCTGATTGCGGAGCGTCGCGCAAGCAAGGAGGCGTTAGAGACGGGCTTGGGGGTGGAAGACCTTTTGTCTTACCCTTTGCCATGCCTGCTCTCATGTCTTTCCACTCCCGTCGTCCTCTGCAAACGGTCTGACACAGGATTGCGCCATGTATTTTAGTGCCAAACAAAGCATAACAAAGCGACAACAAAAAACACAGCACTGTCTAACCTGTCGTTGGACCCCCCTTATTACAACAACAGTAGATTTACCTCTGCTTGCTCTCATATCTTTCTGCTCCAGTCATCACATCATCTATATATTTCAATGCAAAAACCAGCAAACGAGCACACCGCCGCAGCGTCTAACTAACTTGACCTCTGACCTCCCGATAACATACTTCTAAATTTGCCTGCTCTGATGTCTTTCTTCTTTTGTTCTCCTCTGCAAAGGCTCCGAAACAGGATCGCATAGGATCGCACAATCTACAGTCTTTCAATGCAAAGAAAAGCACAAAAGAACACCACAACGCTGCCTGATTCTGACCCTCGACGGACAGATTCTGATTTGTTCTCATGTCCTTCTGCTCCCACCAGGTCCCACCACACCTCGCCACATATTCCATTGCGCGCACTCCCGCTTCTGCCGGGGTCGGCGGAGTAGGCATGAAGGTGTGGATCAAAATCACAGTAAAATCCAAAGGGCGGATCCAGTTTTCATCATTTTTTCTTTATTTGATGTTGTCAGTGGGTTTCTGTAGTTTGATCTTTGGTCACAAGACGGGCTCCATTGGCACCTTGGCCTCCAAAAAGCACAAGAGGAAAGAGTGTGGTTTTCCTCCGGAGGGTTGAAGGGAACATTACTTCTACCACTTGAGATTAAAACTATCTTCCAATATTTTCCAATCCCAGCCAACCATGGAGAATGGATCAGGCAAAACTAGTTGACCGCACCTGCATGCGTTCCTATGACATGACTGGCACCAAAATCACAGGACTGACCGAAGATCTGGTGCGGGCTGCAGCAGCGCTGGTGGCTTGGGCATCAAAGGCCCTTCCCCTCGGATGACACCTCGCAGCGCGAGTGCCTCCGATCGAAGATCTGCAGGCGGAGGTGGAGCTGGTCAAAGCGGTGCGTCTATGGCCGGGCTTCCACCCTCGTTGCCATTGCTGAGGCAAGAAGCCTAGGTGGATGGTAGACCTTTACGTAGTCCAAGGTTTGTGAGGTCTTGCCTTTGGTTTTTATTCAAAGGTTAGACCTTCCCTGTTCGGCGTGGTGCAAATGGCCACCACGCACCGAACTGTCATAGCGAATTGCAAGGCGCCTAAGGGCCTAAGAACGTCCCAGAATTCGAGTCACGGACAGAGTGAGTTGTAGATTAAGTGCACGGCTAGAATGTGTATACAGCATTAGATAGATGATCGAACTGAGCGAAGAAATCGCCGTGCCCACTGCCCCTGCCATGGAGTTGATCGTGGCCCTGCCCCTTATCTATTTGATTCGCACCTCCACTCCAGAGTTCTGGAGCCCATTTAGGTGGGCCTCTCTCAACAGGGGCTCCCAACCATGCTTTTCTGACGTCTCAAGCCGCGGGACGGGGCGCGCCGCGCGCATGGCGCATGGCGCCCCGCCCGGCGCCGCCCTCGGCGCCGGTGAAGCGCCGAAGAGCGCAGAGACCTGGGCGAGGCAATGGGGGCGCTTCGGAATGAGCAAGGCCGGAGGGATGGATGGGACAAAGGTGCAGAAGTCCTTGGAATTTCTTCAGTCTTGCATTCTTTTGTTCATTCAAATGTTTCTTTCCTTAGATGTTTGAAGATTTTTGATTTTTGTTCTGCCAGGTGCTGGCCCGATTTTGGGCACGCAGATATGGTAGAGGTCGAGGTTTCACTCCTGGTCCACCTGGTGGCCATGTCTGGAGACATGGGCTTTTCTGGCTCCTTTGGAGTTTCACCTCCGTGGCGGCCACTCCGACGGTGGTCTACGTGCGAGTCCAAGCGGCCTCGGGGGAGACCACTGTGGCGGCCAATGAGACCGTCGAGGACGTGCGGCTGGATTCAGAGGCCGGCAGACGTGCGGGGTGGACCGATTTGGACGGTAAGGAGATGTGGGTTTGACTGGATTAGTTCGAAAGAAACCATTGAGTATTGAAGAGAGTTTTGATGAGTTTTGGGATTCGTTTTCCGAGAGTGTAGCAGCCAAAACGCATTTGTTTTAGTGTCTTTGGTGCGGCTGCACTCAGCATCCCAAGCGACTTCAGATCATGGACAGAGATGTATTTGTGGCTTTTGGCTCCCCAAGAAGATGGAACAAGATGGAGGAAGGGTGTAAGTTCAGAATGCAACAGTGCTGTTCTGACTGGGCTCTAGACACAGCAAATTCCAACAATCGGAAGTTGCTGTTGCCGACAGTCGAGTCACTTCGAGGTCCGTCTCATTTTTGATGAAGATATCATCTTGCATTCTGACGGCAAGGCACCTTGTCTGAAGTTTGATTTGTAGATGTATCAGTTTCACCCTCAGAGATTTTCAAAAACAACATACCATACATAATTGCATTGAAGTCCCCAAGTTGACGGAAGAGATATGAAGATATTTGGTTCATTTTAGATGACTTTGGGATTTCATTTCAGGATGTTGTTGGACGTGTTGCAGTGGAAAACCAATTGTCAGGCAACCCTTTGGGACGGCACTAGCTACAGCAGCTACTCTCAAGGAGCTGGACTAGCCTCGGCCTGAGAGCACATGCTTGCATTTAAGACACCGTCACCCAGTATCACCCAGTAGCCCAGTCAAGCAGTGAAGAGAAGTGGGCAGCATGTTGACCTAAAAGGATTTGGTACATTGAGCTCACCCCACACCGGCTCGGCTGCAAACCCGACGGCTCGGCTTGGCTTTGGAGGTGATCCCTGCAGCAGATCCCTCTCACCTGGTGCTGAACGAAGGCAACGCGGATGCCAATTTCCTCACGGAGTTTGTGGCGTATTACCTCCGCCTGGATCCCAACACCGTGTCAGCGACCTCAGTTTTTTTTAAGACATGGCCATGAACCGGAACTCTGTGCCAAGAAACCAACCAGAAATGGGAGTGAGATGGAAGTTGCCTGTGCCTTGAATCGGTATACCGTACTTTTACATAATGTATATATGGAATCATGCAAAGCAAGATGGAATGTGTCTGGAACGCAGTGGCGGCCCAAAGAAAGGGTTGTGGGCCGGGATCCTGTGCCATGCCGGCGGCGGGCGTGGTGGGGGTCCTTTTAGAGAAAGGCTGGGAGCCGGCCAGCCTGGCATTCTTCGATGGAATGCCAAAGCGCGAAATAAAGGACTCCTACCAGGACTGGCGGATCGGAGCTCTACAGGGAGGCAAAGCGCCAGCGAAGGCGCCTGGACTGGGAGGATAATGTGTTCCTCACCCATCAGCGATTGCTGTTCGGGGACAAGAGCTTCGTGGATCGGCAGCTCGCAATGCTGCCTCAGTGGGAGGCCCATGGAGTTGGCCCGCAAATTGATGCCTAAAGGCCACTTGGACTACCAGGCTGCAGAGGATGGCATCTAAGGTCACGGGGGACAACCAGCGGGAGAAGTTGGAGCAAGCTGAACGTGATCGTTGGGTGAAGGAGTTGAACGACCTGCTGCACGAGGCCGGCTACCTGGGAAGGCAGGACAAGGAGTTTGAGGCGATGCAGTATGTGGCGACTCGCTATGCGATGGGCAGGAGGGCGGCGACCATTCGCCAACATGTCCGACACGGACGGCGGATCCAAGAGTACATGGAAGGAGTGTACGGCGTCCAGTGGCTTCGAGATCCGAAGGACTTGATGCTGTACATCAACGCCCGACTAGAAGAACCCTGCGGGCGAAGCGTACCGGGGTCATTGTTCAAGGCCCTGGTGTTCATGGAGAACGCTGCAGAGTTGCCACCGGAGAGGAAGCTGTCCACATCCATGGCCCTCCATCACTACTTGCTGGAGATCGAGAAGAGCAACTTGTGGGGTCCACGTGCAAGGCAGAAGGCCACTCGCCTGCCGCTGGAGATCGTGCGTGCATGGGAAGAAGGGGTCATGAACACCTCATTGCAGAAGTACAAGAGGACCTTCTGCTGGTTTAAGCTTGTGAAACTATGGGGAGCCCTCCATGCGCACGACGCAGAGGGGGCTCTTCCGGCTACGCTGGATCGGCCTCCAAGGAGACATCATGAGGAGCAAAACTACGGGTGCTGGGAGGCGTGTTGAAGTGGTCTCCGTGAACGCATGGATCTTTGAGAAGGACTGGTTGAGGGTTGGCTACGAGCTCTTTGTCACCATGAACAAGGATGCCAAGGATTTCATGATGGCCAGGCCCAGCGAGAACCTCCACGGGTTTGGAGGGGCGATGATGAGGTACCCGGATGCCATGGCGTACTCACGTGCGCTGCTTTCGGAGCTGCCCTCGAGCTTGTTAGCGAGGGACGGAAGGAGGCGACCTCTCATGGCGGCGGAGGGCACTGGCCACTGGTCTGAGCATTCGGAGCGGGTGACCATTATGTCTTGGGCTTTGATCGCGGAGGTGCCGAAGGAGGTCAGGCGTCGTTGGGGCAGGTGGAGTCCCAGTGTGGATGAGGACTATGCGGTCACGACCAAGAAGGTGGTGCTTGCAGCTCAGGGAGGAGTGGCGCACAAGATCAAGGGCAATTACAAGACGTCGGACTACTTGGACGACAAGGCCGTGATCAACGGGTACATCAGGTGGCTTCAGGAGAACTTTGACAAGTCCCTGGAGGAGGCGATGGACATGGCGATGCCGCTGACTCCCACTACGTGGCCGGGGCGCGACACCGGTGGGCTGGTGCTGAAGCCGGGACTCGGGGGAAGGCGAGAAGGTGAGGAAGTGCCCGCATCGCCGTCTTCGAAGCCGCCATCGCCAACCGAGGTGATCAGTGATGTGGAGGAGGAGCCAGACCACAAGCCGGAGAGCATGTACCCGAGGGGGACCTACATCTTGTCGGTGCTGGGGAGGTCTCGCAGACGAACGCTACACAGGATCGGCGAGTGCTTCAGGATTCCGGGTGTGCACTACCACAACTTCGTGGTGGTTGGGCAGGAGCGGCCAGAGATCAAGGCCTCGGAGGGAGAGAAGCTCTGTGGGGTCTGCTTTGGGGCGAAAGCCAAGATGGCGGAGATCCTCGCTGGAAACGATGACAAGGACGGCGACCCTAGCTCAGAGTCATCCTCCTCGGAGATGGAGGCCTCGGAAAGCGAGGCTTGAACTTGATGGTTCGGATTCGGTTGAGGTTCGATCCGGTGCACGGGCTCAAGAGACCTGGGACAGGGTCAGGGGCTTCCCGCAGCCATGATGGGGCTGTCGGAGGACGAGAAGATCGGGAGCCTCAACCGGGATCTACAAGGCCTGCTGGAGGCTAGGGCGGTGGCAAAGGACATCCAGGCAGGTCTCTAAATGACCTGGGGGTCACCTCTGTGGCACGCTGGCCGCCATTGCGGTCAGAGCCTGACAACTCTGGCCAAGGATGGGCTACGGCGCTCTACCTGGCCTGGCAGTCTGCAGGCAAGAGGGTTTTGGCCCAGGACGAGATGGATGCCGAGGCGACAATGCAGAAGATCCCAAAGGCGGTGCCACCTGTGGACTTGCAGCTCTATAGAAAGGAGTTCGAGAAGGCCTTCTACAAGCTTAAGGATGGAGAATGTCCTAGAAAACCCAGCTTCGAGGACCTTTGTGAGGGGGAGTTCAGGGCTATGGCGCTCCGTCACTTCGGGTCGCGAAATGAGGATGAGGAGGCGGAGACTGGAAGCCTGCTGATGGCCAAGTCAGGACAGGTGAAGATCAAGAAGGCAAGGGTTGAGACCACGAACCCAGGCAACATGGAGGAGTTCCGGACGAAGATCATGCTGATGATCAACCGCTTCATCTTCGCACGATACAGGTATCCCCACCGGAAAGTTCTGGACGGAGTCACCCCCTTTGTGGCGATCAGCTGAGCACAAACCCACTGTCCTGGGCATCCCGGGCCATGTGCCCATTCCGTACCATCTTGAATGCGCAATAGTTGTGTTGCAGAGTCTGCATGCATTATTTCGCCTGCTGACCACGGGCGGTACCAAGGCCTTTGGTACTGCGGCCCGACACGACAACGGACATATCGCCTCGCTAGCCTCTAGCCTAGCGCTTGCCCTCAGATCAGGCAGATCCACTCTAGCTGTTGCAGGAGTTTTTGGGGCAGGCAAAACGAGACCCCTCACTTTCTTGCTTGCCTGGCTGGCCCTCACTACCCATCTCAAAATCGCAGTGGTACACACAGAAAACCCTGCGGGTAGAGCTATCACTAAACTACTCACTGCCTTTGAGCTGGAACCGGATCACTAGAGATATTTTATTCGACCAGTTGGCAGGGAGGAGGCAGAAGCCAATACCGCCTGCACAGCCTGTGACCTGCGAGCCAGTGAAGCAGCCCCATACATCCCAGGCTGTCACGTCGTCATAGTCACTACTGGGCTAGTCTGGGATCAAAAAGGACAGACCGATTCGACTCTCAACACGCACATGGAAAATGTTGACCTCCTCATTAGCGAAGAGGCACAGCAAGACATGGACCTGAAATCAGCCTTCGCACCAGCAGTCCCCCGACAAGCCTTCTTTAGAATACTGCTCGGTGATCCCAAACAAAGCCCGGGAGGAGTTGCAGACGGGCAACGAGCTCATCGCACGCTTCTTCTCAAAGCCCCCATTGGGCTACGAGCCCCACATACCTGGTACATGCCGCATGAATTCCCTGGTGTGTTCCACGCGCTCCTTCATCACAGTCGAGGCTTTGGACACGCTGATCTCGAGTAGCTGCCAGCCACAGGCCGTTAGGGGGCAGTTGGTTCCGCCCGGACAAAGTCAAGGCGAGTACCTCAACCACATCTGTTCGAAGCACGTGTCGCAGCTGGAGTCGCAGAACGTTGATGGAGTGATGCTTCACAGGCCCTCGTTGAAGTTGATCATGAACTATGAGTTCCAGATGCGAAAGGAAGTCATGGAGGAGGTGAACTTCCAGGTGAACCAAGGGTCTACACTGGTGCAAGCCTTGAGGGCGATTGTCAAGAACCCGGACATTTGGGAGAGGTACTTCAGCACGCCACTGGCAGTCAGCTCGGCGGCGCAAAGCCTTCGCGAAGGTTGGGGGGCACGAGGGCGAGTACAAGAGCGGCCGCACACCTCCGACTCGCCGTATGCGAAGGGCAAGGTCGTGAAGGGCAAAGGCAAAGGGAAGAAGGGCGATCGGGCAAAGGGCAAGACAAAAGGAGCGGGGCTTCATGGTTCAACGCCGGATGGACTTCGCTTACAACAACAAGCAAGAAGGGTGCCAGGGAGGTTGTGGAAGGGTGCAGGCGTGTCGGATTTGCTTGGACCCCTCGCACCCAATGCAGGAGCGCCCGGACGCCAAGGAATGACTAGGGGCCTCAGGCCCGCAGCCGGCGGAGAAGCAGCCGGCGGAATCACCCACGGAGAAGCAGCAGTACAAGGTTCTTTACCTATTTGCCGGTCGCGAACGGGACACAGGTTTGGTGAAGCACCTTCAACAGCTCGCCTCGAAGGAGGGAGTGGAGATCCTGGCAGATGAATTCGACATTCTTAGAGACCCTCAACGCGATCTATTGCAAGATGAACTGCGTCAGAGAATTCTGACTCACTTCAAAACGGCGGCTATGATGCCATCATTATGTCACCACCCTGCGGCACTTGGTCGCGGGCGCCTTGGGCCAATGATCACGGGCCCAGGCCTTTGAGATCTTCGGTCCACCCCTGGGGTTTTGCTTGGCTATAAGGGCCGAAGCTCGACAAGGTCACTAAGAGTAACCCGATGGTTGAGCTCTGCCTGCAAGCTATCACGATTGCGCTCCAGCAGGGCATCCCATTTCTCCTGGCGCACCCGGAGGACCTGGGCAGTACGGCTCAGTGGGGGGACGATATTCGGCCAGCTTCCATTTGGCAGTCGCTCCCCATTCGAAATTGGGTTCAACAGGGCGCAGCATTTTCAGGAGCATTCTTTCAGTGCGAGCTTGGGGCACCATCTCCTAAACCTACACGGCTCCTGACAAGTATCAAATCGCTCATCGAGGGTACCTTTGTGGGTCTTCCTACGTTTTCGGCTCGCTCGCAGTACTTAGGTCCACTTCCTGCCCGCTGCCAATGCGGCCGAGTGCACACCACTCTCATCCGCAAGACCTCACAGGGCGACTTCGCCACCTCAGCGGCTCAAATGGACGCCTGGCTAGCTCTCCACCTCTTCCGTGCCCTTCTGAAGCGGGCGGCGGAGGGCCCGGCAAGGGGTGGCGCTCACCATCCTGCTGGGGACCATGGTCAAGATACCATGAGCACGAAGGTTCTCGGCGCGATCAGGGAGGCCGTCAACGCGAAGGAGAAGAGGCAAAAGGCAAGAAGCGCAAACAGGATGCTGGGTCTGCAGACCCCCCGTCAGCTCAAACGAAGTCGCGCCGAAGACTGCCTACAAGCCGGGCGGGCAAGGCCCCATGGACACCTTTGCAGGTTTGGTATAAGGGCAAGGCTCGGCGGGTGGTGGATGGCCTCGGGCTCTGTTCTCCAGGCACCAGGCCAGCAGGACATCGGGGTGATGCGCTTCAGGAGAGGGGGGAGAAGCTCAGGGAGGCCTTCTGGGAGGAGGTCGCGACCTTTGTGGATGGCATGGCGAAGAAGGAACGTCTCTCGTTGATGGCCGAGTTGGCCTTGGGTAGGCGCGCAAGCTCCCCCTTCGAGGAGAAGATTGTGGCGATTCGGAGCCGATTGGACAAGAAGGTGGGGGAGTTGGGCTTGGATCCAAAGCGCAAGGACAAGGACAGGGGCACGGAGATAGCTTTCAGGAGATTGAAGGCATGGGCAGAGTTGGTGGACGATGCTGACTGGAGGTACCTTGGAGATGTGGCCGCCACTGGAGTGCCTGTGGGGGTTAGAGGAGAGATCCCTCATTTCGGCCGTCTATGAGAAGAAGGACAAGAAGGGTCCAGACGACTACATGGACAGATGAGCGGCCAGGGGAGGAACTGAGGGAGAACTACATGTCGGCGCAAGAGCACATGAGCAAGGTCAGAGACCATGTGGAGAAGGATGTTCAGAAAGGTTGGATGTGCAGGATGGCCTTGAGCGAGGCCAGAGATCGATACGGAGATGACCTACAAGTGGCATCGCTCGGGGCGGTTCCCAAGGACGTTCCCTCAGAATGACGACGTTGAGGCGATGCTCAAGGCCTTCAGATCCCAGGCGGAGGGCCCACGTATGTTGATGGCCTTCGACATCAAGGCGGCCCATAGGTGGATTCCGGTGCACCCAGGATTGGGGCTTGCAGGCATGCAGGCTCGACAAGGAGGAGGAGATCTACGTGAATACCCGAGGGACATTCGGAGTGGCATCAGCGGCGTTCTGGTGGGGAAGGGTGGCTGGCACCATTTTCCGCGTTTTCCACAAGCTGATCCCGCGAGATGCCATCTTCTACCTCCTCTTGTTTGCGGACGATGGCTTGATCCTCTCCGGGGGCCTCGATTACCATAAGTTGATTCTGGCGCTCTTCATCTATGTGGAGGTGCTCGAGATCCCAATGTCTTGGAGCAAGACCAGAGGAGGAACCTTGATAGAGTGGATTGGGTACACGGTTGACATACGGCTTTGGCAGCTTGGCATTGGGGAGAAGAAGGTTGAGTGGCTCAAGAAGTGGTGCTCTTGGGCGGTCCACCAAGGAAGGCTCCTTGGTCGAGACTTTCGGGCTGGCCTTGGGAGGATGGGCTTCTTGGCTGGGGCTGCTCGCTTTTCACGGCCCTTTCTGGCTCCCCTCTATGCGGCCTCGTCTCGGGTTAAAGGCGGCAGTTTCTTCGAGCTTCACTTGGCCACCCGGTTGGCCATGGCATTCTTCGTGGAGATGGTGAAGGCGGCGCCCATGAGAGATCTTGGAGGTGACCCGGCTGTTCTCGGCGAGGTTTTCAGGGTCGACGCCATGGCCGACAAAGACGAGGTGGCGATTGGTGGATGGGAGACCTTTGAAACCGTCGATCCGAAGGCGGCAAGGTGGTTCCATGTGATCTTGAACCGCCGCAACGCGCCCTTCCTGTTCGTGAAAGGGGAACCCTTCAGGACTATAGCCAGCGCGGAGCTCCTGGGGGTCACGGTGGCGATATTGATATTTGGGCCGGAAGCAAAATGGAGGAATGGGGCAGGGCGCATTGGAGTCACTGGCTTCACTGACAACCTGTCTAACGCCTACCTGTTGGACAGGTTCTTGACGACGCGCTTCCCCTTGTCTCTGGTCCTCATGGAGCTGGCCAAGCAATTGGAGGATTTCGGCTTGGACCTGAACCTCTCTTGGGTCCCAAGAGAGCAGAACGAGGAAGCCGACGATTTCAGCAAAGGAAGATATGAGAAGTTCGAAACGCACAACCGCATTGTGATCGAGATGGAGAACATCCCATTCAAGATCCTTCGAAGGATGTTGGAAGCGGCGATGGAGTTTGACAACGAGATCAAGGAACGAAGGACTTCGAAGGAAACGAATTCGGCGGCTAACAAAATACCTGCCGGACAAAAGCTCCGAGTCACACAGCCATGGTGATTTCTGAAGAGGGAAGGAGACCGTGGCTGTGGACTCGCGCCAAAAGAACGAAGTGGTGACACATGGAAGCATGCAAAGCAAGATTGAATGTGTCTGGAACGCAGTGGCGGCCCAAAGAAAGGCCCAGCCCACCCGCCCAAGAAGGGAAGGAGACCGTGGCTGTGGACTCGCGCCAAAAGAACGAAGTGGTGACACATATATATATATATATATTTATTAGACTATTTATTAGTGGTGCAGGGTGCTTCAAGTGGTTCGTTGCTTGCTTTCAATCTGATCGCAGTGCGTTGACTCCGTCTTGACCCGTCTCTCGATGGCTGTGAGGCGGAGCGCCTCGGATGGATCTGCCTCCGTGACCTTCGAGTACTCCTTCTCGACTGGAGACTTTACTGCTCCAATTCTTTCGTCTGTTTCTCCTTCCTACAGCGAGCCCAGTGCCTTTGCCGAGAATTGAACTGGACCACTGACCCAACCAAGTCCTTTGTAATGCTCCGTGTCCAAGGCCTTTTTTGCTTGGGCGTCTTCCGGGAGTCACAGGTTTGGTTGGTTCGCCGCAGGTGCTCTGCCGGGCGTCGCGCCCATCCTGACCTTCTCGGAGTCCATCAGTGCAGCGGCCGATACGGCCAAGGTGCGCGCGTCGAAGCGGGAAAGACCGGGCGAGAAACATGCAAAAACAACCAAAGGAGTTCAGAGAATCAGGTGGTGATTGATAACTATATATATATATAGCTCCAGGCCTTTCCCTGCACAGACGATATTAAAGATCTTTACATGGCGGGGTAATGTTTCCGCAATGTCGCTTGATGTAGCTAGCCGGTATAGCCTCTGCATCACATATTGAAAGCCACCTACGAGGCTCGAAGGTACAGTGACCCATGTTCCAAGATATGAAGAAACCGTGACATCAGCATGCATGTGTTACAGTCAGGCTGTCAGGTTTCTTCTAGGTGCCCGTATGATATGATTCTGTTTCAAGTTGCAAGGATGCTCACGCTGATAAAGGGAGCCTGTGTGCACATATTGTGGGCTACTCTCCCAATCCTTTCCTGCTTTTTTGCTTTGAACATTCCATCGGAATGATACACACATCGAATTTGTTTATCCGTTTTTCCGGAGGAGACTCATGGCATGTGCCAGGTCATCAGTATTCAGAACCTCTACACTGGCCTAAGCTCTGTCCTCACCTGCCGAAGCAATTCAGTGGTTTGTGCCCCAGTTATTTCCTTACAATTGAGTAGCTGCTCAATGTCCTGGGAGTGTCTTGAAGGGAGGATTTCTTGCATCATTCCTGTCCCAAGAAGCAATTGTGGGGTTCAGCAAAGGAGTCCTCGCAAACCCCATTCTCTTGGGCCCGACCTCATTCTGTTGCGGAACACATGACTGTTGTGAGCGCTGAGTGTGCCCGTCATATGACCCAAAGCTGTCTTTGAGTCTTTGAGGATCCCCGCAATCTTCAATGCAGCAAGCCAGGTCATTGAAGATAGCCGAGTCAGCATCAATTCGGGTGGCTTTATTACCTATTGCCAGCGCTACGAGGCGTGTCACGCAAGCCTCAAGCGACGGGGACGTGACTGTGAGTCTCCAGTGCGTGTGGGAAGTTGTTCAGGATACTCCATCCTTTTGTACTAGTCAGTCCTTTGACCATATCCTTCTGGCACCTCCAGGTCACCTACAGTGCAGGCTGCTTTCTTGATGTGTCCCCTTCAGAAAATGCCGTGGCAGCGCTTTCCAGCGGCATCTTGGCAGATTTGAAATCAAGCGTCGATCAAAACCCGTGATGAAATGGAGTTTCCGAATCCGCAAGCGCATCAGCCGCTTGAAGACGGCTTCCGTGTTTTCTTGCTTCACAATTTCAGCGAAGAGAAAGGTTCACATCCAAGTTTTCATGCACCTCTTCTCATCTTCACAGACCAAAACGAAGGCACTTATACCTTCGAGACCTCTTGCATCACCTCGCTCAACCCTCCGAGCGATGTGGAGACCTTGGCTCTCGACGGATCCCTACAACTCACCTTCAGTGAAGCAGTTCAGCGCGGCACGGGGAGCATCATTTTGCTTCCCCTCAGCTTTGCTGATGAGTACCGAGCCATCCCAATCCATGACACGACACAGGCCAGGGGTTGGTGGTGGACTTGGTGGCCTTTTGAACACGCTACTCAAGCAAAAGGGACTGGAAGTGACTGAAGGTTCTACGAACATATTCAATATCCCTCCAGGGCAGCTCATGCAGAATTCTGTACAGAAGGTGAGTGGGGCTTCAATGATTTCAATGTGCTCCTAAGCTGGCACAGCTTTTCTGATTCTTCGCAGCTGTGCAGGTGTCCTTCGATACAGCAATGACGACGATGACCATCATACCAAATGCTGGAACCTCAGAGTCTTCCGACTCACAACCCATGGAAGTGGAACATGGCGGGAAGGACGATTTTTCGACCACAAATAGTTGCCACGTTTGGGCACTTGATGTCGGAGTGTACAGGCTGGGGTAAGCCTCCGATTTCTTAGGATCCCTTGCTTGCCTCGAGTGTGGCACAAAGCAACTGGTGTCGCATCAACGCGATGTCACTGAATGACTGCAAGGGCCAGGCTGGGCCGGGCTACATGAGATGTAGCGATAGGTTCGAACCATTGAAGTGAAGAGTGAGCTTCAAGGTGGACTTGGATGCCAACTCGTTGGGTTTTTTGATCCTACCTACTGAGCTACTGGTGAATAGAAAGCTTTTGACTAGTGCATCCAAATAACCACATGGGATGGAACTCCATCGGCACGTCTCCGCTCTCCGTCCAGACGTGGGACATCACCATCGGAAGCTCCGTCCTACAACGCGTGACACCGACCACCTTGCTGGCATCACACTCAGCGCAGGGGGGAGGAGGAGAGGCCTCACTGAACTCGGCGGCCTCACCCCAGGCGCAAGTGGATCTGCTGCAACCTCTCCAAGCTGCTGGATCAGCAGGACAGACCTATAGGGTCAGTGCCTCAAAGTCTTCTATCAAAAAGGGCGTCTCTGAAACTCTTAGACTCGACCCAAGATCTGGCCAAACTTGGAGATTTTTTGCAGTACCTGGGATGGTTTTGACCAACCTCACGTCAAATGGCCATGTCTAGTGATGCCTGCCCTGCCTGAGGTTCGAACCAAAGCAGCAGACGTGACGCCGCCAGGCCACGCCGCACGGCAGCGGTTTCCCACCGAAACCCGCTCAGTCCACTCACCCAACTAGATACGGTATGTCTTGGCACGCCCCAGAAACCTCCCGAGACATGTTCAGTGCGAACCGCACGATCGCGCCGGCGCCGGTCGCTTTGAGCGATGGAGAGTTCACGGTGCCTCACCGAGAGTGGGACGACGCAACGCCGCCAGTGATCACGATGGTCTCCACCCACGGCACCTCCGAGTCCTCGATCCGCGTGACGCTGCGCCCGGGCACCGAGAGCGGAGTTTCGGTGTGTGGCACATGGGACTGAGTCCTCCATCAGCGTGTTTTCTCGCGCCGGGTGTGCCAAGTGCAGGGCTGGATGAGAGCGGCACTTCATATTGCCAAGCCTTTCCAGTGCTCACCTCAGGTGAAGGGATGTCAAAATGATGGCTGGGAGTGGAAGATGTTGACAGCTTTAAAGCTGTACTTGGGAGAGGTTGGATGTTGAAGGGATTCAGTCAGACCTAACATCGTTCCTTTCAGGGGGGTCAGCTTCAAGGAGCTGGGTCCCCCTCTGCCCTCTGGGTGTGTCATCAGTGGTTTTCACCCGTCTTCCAAATTGACCGACACGGCGGCTACTACTAGTAGCGCCCTTGCTACTAGGAGTAATGGCCTCCAACCTACTAGCTTGTTATGGCCTCCAACTTACTTGCGATATCTTGCGATGGCCTCCACCTAATAGCTTCCTTGCTACTAGACACGACCCCATGTGGGCCTGTGTGGGTGATGGATGGGCGGAGCTGAAGGGCTTAGTGCGCACCGACCAAGGACGGCGCTGGTGGGCAGAAGCTCGGGGTGACCTTGGCAGAGATCGGAACCTCCTTTTCCAGCAGCGTGCGGGCCTTATGACTGGACAGCGGCACCTGGACCTCGTTGATGTTGAAACTGAGGCTGTTTTCAGTTCTTCTTGGGGCTATGCTGAAATGGACATTGATGCAGGGAGCTTGGAAGTGCTACAGTTTTCAATCCACAATCAGCAGAAAACTGGGAAGCTTGGAGTTCGAAGGTGACCGATCTCGTCGCAAAGACCTACTACAACGTCTTTTGCTACGCCAAGGCCGGCCCAGCTCGTCTCACTCCTTAGGCCGCCGCCGCGGTCGGACCGCGCGGAGGACCTGGAAGCGCCGGCGCCCAACGTCGTCACGGTGGGCGCGGCCCTGGCGACGCGCCAGCGGGTGCGCAGCATGGACACCACGGCGCCCAGCTCGTCGAACTGCTCCGCACAGGCGCGGCCGGAAGAAAAGAGGATGCTCAGGTTGGGAGGAAGAAGTCAAGCTACTGAGAGAAGTTACATATAATTTATCATACATGTTGCAAAATTTGCGGACCACAAGTAACACCGTACATATAACATGAATTATGAACATGATACATGTTGTAACACGTTGGGAGCGAAGTGTCTCCTTTCCTTCTTAACCTGTACTATCCTCTTTGGGGGACCATAGTCCTTGAGATCGATGACACCTCTGCGACCGCCAACAAATCCCAGTCATCAGGATTAAGCATAATTCGGAGAAAAGACTTTCTCAGTCAATCCAAGTACTGAATTCCAAGCAACGCATGGCCTGAGACAAATATTTTTTCGCACTCGCCTTTTGGAGGCCGTGGCTGGAAGGGAAGATGCCATTGAGGTGACATTGACGTTGGATGAACCGGGCACTGCCTACTGCGCTCTGGTGCGTTCAGGGCTGGTGGCGCCGAGCCACTACGTGGTAACGGCTGCAGGTCCGGAAAGACGTGAAGATGAAGTCCAAAGCGCTGGGAAGGTCGTCGTAAAAACGCACTCATTCCTGTGAACCAATGCTGCTTTGATTCGTCTTCTTCTCCAACTTTAGGCATTTTCCTACCGCTTATTTTCCACGTCTCCCCAACACAAAGATGATGTGCATTCTCCATTTAACTTGGATGACATGCAGATGAATGCGAGGTCCAGACTTTCAACTAGTCGTTGGCCGCATTCTGCCCCCTCTCACCCTGTCTACATCCGCTCTCATTTCGCTGCGTTTCGCTGCGTTGCTGTTACATCCGCGGCGCCGGTCGCTAGGCTTCAAAGCCAATACGTCCTTCTATCCACCCTACGATGCCTCCATGGTGGTGGACATGTCTTCGGGTTCTACTGGACTGGCGCCACTGACGCGCGGGACGGACTACGACATCTTCTGTCGGCCGCTGAGTTCAGCACGTTGTGGGTCATGGCACGCCAGGATCCCGACCTCCTTAGTAGGTTGACCGGCCGTTCTGGTATTTTCTTTGGTCAAAGCGTTTGGTTTTTTCGGCTTGGACCCACAGCCAAATGTGTCGAAAAGGGGGTTTAGTCTGGCCGACCTCTGAAGTGGATTTTCACTAAGGCTGGGCCCAGGATGATGAAGGCTGGTTCTCTCTATTCTGCAGTGGAATCCCATAGGAATCAATGGAATCACCCACACAGTACATCAGTACATCCCATCAATACCCCCCATTTGACATATTTGCAACTGAGTTATAACTGCCCGTTCGTGAGGCGGATTTCATTCCATACCGTCATTTTTCCAGGCAACGGGCAAGGCGTCCCGCTGCAGTGTGGTCCCCCGGGGGCGGTGGGTGTGGTCCGTACTTTGGACCTCACCCCACCCCAGATGTCCATCACTGATGTGGAGGTGCAGTTCCGATGACTGACATGTCAAGACCTGGATGAGAAAGGTTCACAGATTGGGATCTAGACCGGTGGCTGGTGGGTTTGAAACGGAGTGCATGATGTAGTGAAATGAACTGCGTGTCTAGTGCAGCAGCTGTGCTGAGACTGGTGATTCAGATCTGCTTCACACATGCTTTGGCCCATCAGATTTGGTGAGGCTCTCACATCTATGAACACACTTGAGCAATAGCCAAAACCTCCCTTGACATTCCATTAGGAATGAGTATGTCATATCAATCTGTGGCGTAAGGAACACATTGTGTTGCGAAAGGTTGCGTAAGCTCCATGTTGAACACACTTGTTGCGTAAGGTTTGCGTAAGTACTGCTCTTTACAAGAACATGAAGAGCAAAATGTATTGCTGTGAAAGCAAATCCTTTGGCGGAACCTTTCGGAATCACAATTGTGTCATGGCGTAAGCTTTGCGTAAGACTTTTGTTATCCAAGGCCTCGCGTAAGCTAAAACTGAAGTTGCGTAAGCAATGCGCAAGCACCAGCGTAAGAACTTGATACTGTACGACATAGAGGTTTAATCATACATATTGGCCGAAGCTCACTTGACTTGGGAGAGCCCCGCCAGGCAATCTCAAAAGACAAGCTACAAATACTACTTCGAGTTGATGAAGGCAGCAAGATTTGGTGTGCCGCCTGGATGTCCGAGCATCTTGGCACTCCGAGTTGGCACTCCACTCCGCGCTCTGGTCCAAATGACAGCAGATATGCAGATATGCCAAACATGATATATTTGCTTTCTTGAGAAAACCGAAGTCACTAGTGGGGAGATGTCTTTGTGGCTTTGAAGCAACCTGAAGGAACCAGAGCCAAGCTCACACCATCTCACACCATCGTCACCCCCAAAAACGTGCTGCGGCATTCTCAGGCCTGACTCCTTGTCCTCCGACTTCGAAGCGCTCATCAAAGCGCAGTCGAGCAACTGCACGGTGGGGCCCGCAAAAAAATCGTTCCGCGCGGGTCGTGTGCGCAGGTATCTGCAGGTGTTCCGGGGCCGGTAGATCTGTTCTGGAAACCTCCAGAAGGTTCTGAGGCAGGATTCACTTTGCAACTCCAAGAATTGTGACCTGAAAAGCAGTGCACTCTGAAAAGCTGCTTCCAAGATCTTTGGAGCTTCAGAGTCGTCAGGATGCAAGATTGGAGTTTTCTGGGATGATTTTTGAGTCCCGTCTTGGTTGGTCAGTCTTTTTGGAGGGACCCAGACAGCACGCATCATCATCGTCGTCGTCGTCGTCATTCCAAAAGTGCCAGGACTCTTTTGGCAACGAGTGTGGCAGCTTTTGGGTCTATGATCTGGACGACCTGGAAGACTCTGCCGCTGATGGAGTATCCACACAGGCAGATCCCCGAGTGTCCTGCAGGTGTTCTGCAGAGATTCCGTTTTCGGGGATGAGAAAGAAACAGGGAGCTGCGCTACTTTGGCTCCCCAAAGCAAGAACATAGACCAAACCCATCCCAAACCCCCTTTTAGTTGCGGGGGTCTCCCCCCTAGGCCCTAGTGCCTAGTCTACGTGGTCGTCTCGTCGTCGACTTCACCGACTTGTGAGGCGGACTTCGACCACAGCAAGTGGAAGTATCAAGAAGATGTGTCCATCCTTCTACTGAATCTGGAAGAGGTCCGTGTCTCAAAAGGTCCAGCCTTCCTTGAGCAACAGCCTTCCTAGATGAAGAAACAAGTATTATGGTGACATCGAAGTATGCAAACGCAGGCGAAATATCATATGTTGAGAAACATGAGACGCGCTGGACAACACGTTGACCACCTTTCTTCCAGCACATGAGACATTCTGGAGACCGGTGTGGAGATGTATGGAGACCGCTGGGCCGGGCGCATGGAGCGGAGAAGTCCCACGAGAGGAGTCCGTCGTTGGGCGAGCTGCCGCACCGGCAGCCGCGTGAGTCCCGGGGGCGGCCCCCTTGTCGCTGCCCCCCGCCAACGGGTGGATTAGTCTGGTACCTGTGAGGCTGCTGCCCTGGGGCTTGGTATCAGAATGTGATGAGTGCAGGTTGTGACGCTTCGGAAAGCTTTTGAGGGCGGACCCCAAAATGTGCCTCCAACGGCAGGTGCCCTTGGAAACATCGTCGAGGATAGCACGGAAAGGACGGCGTTGCTTTTTTGGGCTTGGCAGTGCATGATGGTTTAGATTTAGATGGAAACTGGTGGCGTTCCGAGTCCTTTGAGACCTAGTTCTGTGATGTGGCATGAGCCCAGTTGGGCTAAAGAGTACCTCAACATCCTTGGAGCCTTGGGCCCTTGGTGTCCAAAGCACCATACCCAGCTGTGCAATGGCCCCGAGCTTTCTCGGAGTGTAGACTCTGCAGCTTCCTCCACGGTGGGGGAGCCTGAATTTGCTAGTGACAGTGATCAAGACGTCCCCACGTCAAGGCGTCGACATCTACTTCGATGCTTGATGGAAACGTCCCATAGAAGTTCAGATGGGACTTGTCAACGAGTCAACGACAAGAATTCTCCTTCGAACATGGACGTCTCTAGCATAGGGCTTATCATAGCTCCCAGACTGGGGTACCCATATGGGAACACTCACCACTGATCCCTTTGAATCCCTTTGATCATAATTTTAAACATTTGGGGTGTTCATTGAAAAGCTCCCCAATCTCATTCGGTATTGCATGGTATTGCTTTGTCAGGTTTTGACTGTTGGCGGAAGCCCTTTGTACCAAGAAAATCGTCAGTCTTGACGATGGTCTTCTTGGTGAGGCCTTCCGCCAATGTGGACAGATTGCTTTCGCCATTTAGGGTGTCTGTTTTCATGGATGTCAGTGGCACGGCCCGACGGCCTGACAGCGTCAAGCTCAGATCGTGCGACCGTTGCGCGCGAGATGCGCTTCAAGACATGGGATTGGCCCACAGCCTGATCGGCATCTTGACCCAGCTGGGTCATCAGGGAGACTTTTGGCCGGACTTCGAAGTCTGTGCAACATCCTGCCATGCATGTTTGGCCATAGAGCTATCACCATCATCCAACATCTGTTGAGAACTGGTGAAGGACCAGCTTTCAAAAGCGGCCAAGCGGCCTGGTCAGAGTGACCTGACCTGGCAGCGTGCAGCTCCGACCTGGCCAGTCCGGTTGCAAAACGGTGGTTTTCTTCGTAGAAGTCTTTCATTATCGTTTTGCACCAGTCGTCCTGCACTGATTTCACTAGAAGCTTCTAGAACCTTCTCCATCAAGCTGATTTCACTTTGAGGCCACAGAGTATCCTTACATCTACTGTTATGCTGAAGATGATGAGGACGACGGCATCTTGGCAGTTTCATTTTTTTGTTTTGATGCCGTTGTTTTTGGTCCGCCAAGCCTATGAGGAAACAACCATAGCAGTCTTTTGATTCTCCGAGGTGTTGGATCCAATCCCAACAAGATGACCTTCAACAGCAGCGCTCCGGCCAGTCAGATCCTGGTGGTCCAAGAGAGCATTGGCAGCGTGAAGACTTTGGATCAGACGCCTCCAAGCTTCACTCTGCTGGAGATCCAGGACAGTTTCATCCGTTCATGAATGATTATATGAATGATCACAGTCTTTCACAGCTGGTTATATACACGGGTTCATTGCGCTCTTCTTGCGCTTCTGCGATGATCAACATATATCAACATCAAAGATGACACTGACCACTTGAGTCGTCCTACTTCGATCTTTTTTGGCCAAGACCCTGGACCCTCCTCCGTGTAGCATCTGCAACTGGAAGTTGCACGGACCACCTTGGCGGAGCGATCGCGACCGTCCAGGACCCCACCGCGTGGAACGACCGGATCGAGGTCACCTTCGCCCTCAACGAGCCGGGCACGGCCTACTGCTGCGCCACGCGCTCCGACTCCGGAGAGACGGCACTGGAGATGCTCCTTGGGCAGCGCATGGAGTTGGTCATGGAAATTCTGGGTCAATCTCATTCCACCTTCTGGGCCAGAGGTATGTCTTTTGGAGGGGGCCAGATGGTCCTTTTGAGTTTTCTTTGTTTCGGCGGGTGTGACGGCGAGTTCAAAGTCCAAGCAAGCTTTTTGGAGCTTTGGGGGTCCTAAAGAAGTCGGGGTACAGCATCCACCTTCGGGCTGCAAGGCACGTGAACCGGATCATTGCCGCCAACTGGGCTGCGGTCTACTCCAACAGCACTCAGCCACTTGCATTGCACCGCCCCGCGATTTCATGGGTCAAACATCTGAGAATAGCGGGGCTGCTTGGGCAACCCCGTTTGGCGGCCTGGTGATTCTTTGAAGGATCTTTAAATCTTTAAGTGTTTATCACAGCTTAGCACAACCCCAACTATAGACGTGCTTGAAGTGGAGCCTTTTGTAAAACTGGCTTGTGATGCTTTTGAATCGCCATCCAGATTCATCTTTGTTTCGAATTTGCGATGGCAAACACTCAACGTTTTCAGTGTTCTGTCCCGACGTTGAGGACCATCACCATGACCAAGTTGGACAACGTGGATCCCAGCTTAACGAATCGCCATGATGAGGATGTGTTCTTCGAAGAGGCGGATCTTTCGCACAAGACAGCCGCTGGGGGGATGTGGTGGGCAGCCAGCTGAAGTCTCCCGTATCCCTTTTTTGGTGGATTCCCGTTCTCTCTCTCTTTCATAATGATGTCCCTGTTTTCCGACTGGGAAAATCGTCGGTACTCAACGGATCAGATGGACATCTAGAGATTCACAAGGCGAGCTCGACTCACAGCTCGGGCACCAAGCTGCACAGGGTACCCACATGGTGCTGCATGGCTGGGATGCTGATATCGAAGTAAAAATCGGGTTTCGCAGTAAATGGGTCGCCTCAACGGGTCGCCTCATGCCCGGAGGGAGTGAGTGAGTGAGCGAGCGATGAGTGAGTGAGGTGTTTTTTTCTTCGCATTGGTGCAAACCGCTTCCCTAGTCCATGTGGTGAGGAAGCGCTTTGAGGTGTTATGTGTACGTCTGTGTTTCACACGAAACACACCATGGACATGCTGAAACACACCATGCTTCACACACGCGTCACCGTGGGTTGGAAATCCAGGGCTTCGACTCTGCCAGGGCACCTTGTATGACATCTATTGCTGGGCAAGAGATTCGGCCATCGACACCAAGGGCTATAGCCGGCCCAATTCCATGACTCAGGCGACAGCCGACCGCCAGACCTGTTCGCATCTGTTCATATCTGTTCACATGGTTCCATTGGCAATTCTCCGAGAAGTCCTGTTGCAGGCTGAGAGGACAGAGTACAGGGCAGAGTTACCCTTTGTACATCCCTCAAATTCCATGCCTGCTAGTGACTCGTAGTGGACGTGTTAGGAGATGTTAGAAGGTGAACTTAGGGAGTGGAAGTGTTAGGAAGGCTTCTTTTGTATTGAAGAGGGTGACTCAACGCGTTTATTGGGGCAACCTTGGAGCCATTGTTCTACAACTGCACCAACAACAACTTTTGCAGACCGCTTTGCAGGAGTATGTCGGCACTGATGTCCTTTCGGCGAGTGGCCTGGACGCACTGTCAATTTTCCTTCATAAGACTGTAGACTTGTCACATGTGCTACTCGAAAAGCTTGTCGGCGCTGTTGTAACAAGACCAAATGGAAGGACCTTCTTAACCTAGCAAGCGTCCGTCCTTTGTGTCTCTCATGAGAGTTCAGTCTGGTTCAGTCTGGTATCATTCCTGCATGAAATGCTTGCTTCTCATGGTCGTGGAATGTCGTGGATCTCCGATTCGCGCTACACTCTCATGAACGTGTCACTGTCGCTAAGGGGTTTTGACTCTTACCGATTCCCTCTTGAACCCGGTTTGTTCCAATAGTATCCAATAGTCATAATTGACCAGTTTGCAATCCCGACGGTCTGGATGACCAATGACCAATGACATCCACTGACCTTCCTCAGCTGCCGAGGTGCTCCCAGTGGTGGCCGCACAGGGCACGTCTGGGTGACAGATAGCACACCACCGCAGATGATCTTGGTCGATGCAGAAAGCTTGGACACCAGCATCCAGGTGGGCGGCGACTTGCGCCTCGCGACGAACGGTTCCGAACGGTTCGGCGACGAAAGGAGCAGCGCCTCAAAGGAGCTTTGTGGGGACCACCGAAGGTCCGGGGATATGACTTAGCTCAATGAGTCGGCTTTCAACTGAATTGTGGGGTCTCCTCGAAAGATGCCGTGCCCAAGGGTGGTCGTGAGGGTTTGAGTTCTCAGTCAAAGGACTGACACGGTCACACGGTCACATCGCCCGTGTCAGTTTGATTTGACTGCCAAGATGCTTGCCTTGACTGGCAAGATGCGAGAAGAGCTTTGGGAAGAACCTGGAGCAAAAGACGAGTGGTTGGTTCCCCTTCCAGTTTCCTGGGGTCAAACGCTTTGTGCCGTGGGCTGAACCTCTTGGGCATTGCAATGATCTCTTGGGCCTTTTTCACCTCGTGTCAACACGAATACTCAAGCAAACTCGCTTTGTTCCTTATATGTGTTATATAACGTTGCTTTCCCCTAACAAAGCAACATAACTCTTTAGATCATAATCTTTTGCAGTAGAGGCAGGCATGCAGTGTGTGTAGAAAGATCAAGACTTTTAAGGCCACGCCGTTTAAAGGATTTGGAAGGAATCAATCCTTTTGAAAGTCCGGTCTTTAACTGCTCACTTTGCAGCATGTTGCCAGTGGTTTTGAAGGCCTGCAAATTCATCCTAAGTGGTGATCCAAGAATTCGATTTTTGATCATGGGTTTTGCATGGTTTTGCCATGATTACAGTTGCCATTTGACTAGTGTGACCAGTTGAGCGAAGGAAGATTGTGTTTCAGATTTCATTGCTGCCGTTGCTTAGTGCAATCCGCCAAAGATGGGGCATTTGGGAGCCACGATTCGTGGTGAAGAAACATCAGTTCGTTGGCGAAGTGGCCGGGCTCCAACCGGGCACAGGTGACGCTGCAGCTCAATGAGCCGGGCACAGTTTGGTGCCAACTCATGAGTCTTCAGGGGCCGAACAGCTCCATTTGTGACACCTCCACCCTGCAGGCACCTCCACGCTGCAGCTCCATTTGGCTTGTAAAGGTTGAGAAACCAATCAGGATAGGAGGGAGATGAGCTTGCTATTAATACACATGAGAGTCTTCTTTGCTAGCAGTGGTTGTACCATTTTGGAGTGATAGATTGACAGCATGAAGACAGACGTTTCAAGAGCAAGCCGTGTGAGGTAAGGGAGAGAGCGAGAAAGTTAGAGAGAGAGAGAGAATCAGTCAATCGCCCTTCAAGCCACAGACTGTTTTTCTATATCAGCCAACGTGGAAGAGCGACAAGAGACCTCTTGCTTCCACAGAAACTTGACGCGAGCCGTGCAAGTCCTCACGTCCAATCAGTATATTAGTTTGTATAGGCCCTTCCTTCGCTGTCCAGGACAACGACACTGCGGCCAGCTGTTACTACGAAAGTTATATCAAAGGCTCTGCTCCCTCTGCCAAGAGCTCAGAGCTACATGGGGACCTGCGGGGCGCTCCTTTCCTCAAACATGCCAACTCCAACATGTATTCTTCTTCCCCTGCTGTGCTTCCAATGATTTTTTCCTACTCGTAACAGTGAAGAAGCCCTCACTTGAAAGTCACACCATGTACTGTGCCACATCAACTTTATTTTCCAAGAAAACATGCACGCCGTGTCTATCTCGCCGATCGCCAGACTCGGTGCACCGGCCTCTCTCATCAGCCCTCATCGCAGCGGAGGCCTTTCGTGCGGAGGTGCCACAGGCCTATCGCAACGTGCACCTGACACTGGATCGTCTCCTCGACAGCAGCTTGACGTCCAGTGGGACGCTGGTGAGTGAGACCAGCTATCAGGTGGGGCCCACGAATGGTTCGGGCGAGCGATGGTCGATGTGCTGTCGATATTAGGGGGTTCACTCTTTTCGATTCAAAAGGCAAGGCCTCAGAGATGCACAGAGATGTACAGAGCAGAAGGCAAACTATTTTTGGAAGATATTAGTCGTGGGAAGCCTGCTCAGGAAGTGTGGAAGCGGCGGATTGAACAGTGGACTTGGCAGTTCTGTTGAGCTGTGCCAAGCTCTTTCACAACGACACCGACCGTTTTCATTCGGAGCTTTTTCGGAGCTTCAGCAGTGTGGAGTTTGGGGTCGAAACATGTAGAGGCAAGAAGAGGTCCAAAGCAGGCTAGGTTGGAGGCCATCGCTAGTCGGTTCCTTTTCAAAAGCCTGGACCGAAGCGAGCTTCGAACACGTTCAGGTTCTTTGCTACGCTGAAGATGACTGGGACCTGCAGGCAGTGGACCGTCATCCAGATCCAATTGAAGTACCAAGCGAGTTATTGCCAATGTCATGCATCATATGCGTTTGTGTTGAAACAGTGAGCCAGTTCGACACCCCCGTACTTACAAGAAAGACACCGACTAAAACGAACTAATACCTAAGGACACCTGGTGGGGGTTGCTTGTTCTGATACCAAAAGTCGGTCCAACAAAAAGCCGGTCAATGCCGGAATTCTTTTGGACCCTTTTCGCGTACCCTTTTTCGCTGTCTTTCAACAGGCCGACTGCTTGTCTTGAAACAGGGCGCTTGATGTGCTTGCATGCTTTTGGGCCCCTTGGAGCTTGGAGCCATCGCTCGCGAGGCTTCGGGCCTGTCGGTGCTCGAGCGTTCGTGGCGGCCTCGGTGGCCACCCTTTTTGCACCGACGAAGGGAGCCAAAACAGTCGGGACATGAGGCCGCAGTTCGTGGCCCCTGGCGTGCCCAACCAGGCTAGTGGCCTCTGAGAATTGGTTTGGATGGTGGATTTACCTGTGAAGCACTGTAGTTAGATTCACTCTATAGATACGAAGTTATTTTTGTAACTGTAAGAGCGCTCGCTGAAGATCGCAGGGTTTCTCACTGCTCATTTCATTGAAACTTGGTACTCTATTGCGAGGTTGGGACTTCCCTCCAGTGGCGGTGTTTCGTTCGAAACCATCCAAAAACGATTCAGGACAAAAGAAACTACTAAAAACTTTGGTCAATCCGACTCACAGGCCCGCTCAAATCCTTTGGTCAGGTTTCGCTGAACGCTGTACATGTGTTGCGGGACGCTATTGGCAGCAAGACCACGCTGGATATTACAGCACCAAGTTTTACCTACTTGGCGATCGATGACCCTGGAGATGGAGCCTCTATTCTGGTGAGTTTCACCTTGAACGAGCCGGGCACGGTCTATTGTAGCTCAGCATCATGAGGTCAGGTGGTGATGGAGGAAGATCTTGGAATTTTCAAGAAGCCTCTCGGGACATAGAACTGTAGAACTGCTCGAATCGTTGTTCTGTGCAGCCAAAAGACGTGCCAGTTTTGGCCACTTCATTTTTTCATATTTTTTCTTTCACCTTCTTTCATGTTTGTATTTGGTCCAAAATACAACGGGTTCCAGGTAGTTACTGCAAAACATCCAAGGCCGAGCAACGAGATCTGACTCTGGAGAGGGAGCTGCAGACATGTGCGAGTCTCGGGGATTGCATGATAGTCGCGCTGTCCACTGGATGCACAGTTGTGCTTATAACAGTTCATCAAACCAGATTTATGCAAAAGAGCATGCCAGTTGCACTCTATCGATCACATGGTGAAAATCCTGCCTTCCCTCCTGGTGTTTCCCGTCGAAGTTTCGGTGAAGGCAGGTGATTCGCATCATGGGAGCTGGCTGGGCCAACACGCAGAACGGGAGTGAGGTGCCGTGTGGAGCCTCGGAGGAGCGGTATGGAGCGGTATGGAGCGGTGGGTGGGCATGCTGAGCTCAGCTTGTTTGAGACAAAAGGAGCCGGGAGAACACTCATGAATGAGGAGATATGAGGAGTATGCTGCTGTTTTTTTTTTTTTATATAATATATATATATAAATATCAATGATATATCATATATATATATATTCATATATCATATATCATCCCTTTACAAGTTGGATACCGATGCAGCACCAGAGAAGGGTCCGATGACAGTTTGTTGGTCAGAATCAGGCCCCCGCAAAACATAATTGTCTGCTTGTCCAGTGTTATTTGAGACCTATCTGAAGGAACCCCATCGGATCAAGTTTCTGTTCAGATCTCACACATCGGATCTTCGCCATTCAGATCTCAAGGTCGAACATCACAATGACCAAGTTGGAAAATCTGGACCCCGCCTTGACGAACAGAGATGACCTGGATATCTTTTTCGACCAGGCGCCGTGCGGAAGGGAAGGAACCGGCTCCGTCAGCTCGAAGAGGTGGAGTCGATGTCGACGTCGATGTCGACGCGCGTGGGACAATGCTGAGTGATGCCCAAGCTGCGCAAGGCTCATCAATATGATGTGTATTGCCTGGCGAAGGACTCGCTTGTGGCCTCGCTTGTTGCGGCTTTGTTTGGTGTGAAACGCAAGGTCTAGTGCAAGGAGGTCGAACATCACTTCTGCGAGAAGTCTGAAAAGCTCTGCATTCATGCCATCAAAGTGGACCAATCGAACTGGACTCGACCGGAGACTTCCATGCTGTTCCACCTGCGTTCGCTGCGTCCGCAGGACGACGCCACGAATGACGGAGGCACTCCTCGACCCAACCTGATGACCACGAACTACATTTGGTCAGATGTGGTGCAACCCACCTCCCCTCAAGGAGGGCGTACGGCAGGACCGAAAACACCGGTGTGTGATGCGCGGACCACTAGGTGGAATGAGGTGCGGATTGCTTCACGATCCGTGCGGGGATCGTGAACCAATCTTTCCACCTCATGAAACTCCTGAAACGCCAGGAGTTTGGATCGCCGACACCACACCGCCCACCATGCTGCGTCCTCAGTGCGCCCTCCACCTTCACCGGGAGAGGAGACCGCTCTTACCGGCACGCTAAGGATGTTTGTTCGGGGTGAGTCCATTGGCCAGGAGACGGTTCGGTCGGATGGGAGGGAAGAGATGGGAAGTGAGTCTGAAGAGAGTGCCGGAAAATGGAGGGTGAAACATGGTGAAACACAGTTAGCATCAGTTAGCTGTAGCTCAAACACCTACCTACTTGGCAGAGTAGCTAACATTCATTAACATTCTGACATGTTCAGCAATCAGTCAACAAGTGTGTTTTGAAAACCAGCAGAAGATACCCAAAGCAACCTGCAATCCCTTTGGTTTCACCACTGAAAGGAGGTGATCCAACTGACGTTGCAGCTGGATGAGCCTGGAACCATCTGGTGCCCCGAACGACGCGACCAGCGAAGTGAAGCAAGAAGGAAGAGACTCATGCACCAGCTCTGAAAGGCTTATTTTTGTATAATTTTGTATATCATTATTGGGCCTGTCCCAATAAACCCTGTAGCAGTCGGCAACATAAGCACATCACTGTTTCATCTTGAAAGGCCTGCAACTGAACCATCATCCACTGTTGCTGGTAATGGGAAAGACCATGAAAGACCCAATGTACTTCTGGATCCTTCTGGGGCCCATGGATGATGAGTGGAAATCCATGGCCGACCCGCATCATGCAGCACCGCTCTTCCGCCGACCGGGAGAAGCATGGCTGACCGTATCAAAGTGAGAAACCATCAGACACCTTTTTTCAACCCATTTTTCAACCCACCCCCCCACGAAAGCTTACTTTCCAGGGAGGTGGTGGGTTCAGGGGGGTTGAGACACCGACTTTAGGTTGCTTCGGTTCAATTGATCCTACCATTGACCCGTCGACGATCGGGTCGAGCTTGGGCACCTGACCTTTGAGCATCCTTCCATGAGCGGTTCGCCGCGAGAGCGGTTCGTCGAGCGGTTCGCGGATGGTTTGCAGGTGTCAGGCTGCCGACGTCGTGGTGGGGGATCTCAGGTCTTCAGGGCTTCAGACATGGTGTTTTGCTTTTTGCCCTGTGGTGCAGTGGTTTCAAGCAGCAAACTATTTGGTGCTACATACTTGAGTCATAAGTCGATTTCTGGAAACCTGGGCTGGACACCTATTTTGCATTTGAATTCTCCACACATTGACAAATCAAACAGGCGCTTGCCAACCAGGCAGACCTGACTTTCATATGGCAGGTGATGTTTTTCTCTCCATATTGCAAGAGATGATTTTGGACTCGTTCTTGCACATTGCCATCCTTATCACGCTCACCAAGGCTAGTGTCACCACAGAGAATTGTGCAGAAGATGAAGTGCAGGCCTGATGCGCAGAAGCCGATGTCGTGGCTGTAGTGGATGAAAAGGCTCTCAAGGGAAACATGTGGTCCGTGTCCACGACCACCAAGTGCAAAAACCAAAGAAATCCAAAGCAACTGCCTTTGGGGGTTTCATGTCGGAGTTTGGGACTATCAAAACGGTGCACGAACATTGACAAACCTCTTCTCGCCCCGCTAAAATCCTTTAAACTTGACTCATGTGAACTGGAGCTGCCAGATCAAGAGCTCCGAGCTCCGATGTTTATAATGGTTTTTTACCGCGACAGACCGTCCTCAGAGTGTTCTTATTTGATCGATGTCTCTTTACACGGGGCTTTGCTTTCTGCCGGCAGGACCTCTCTCCAGACAGCCCCTGCTTCTTCGAGGACTTTGTGAAAGGGCAGAATGACACCCAGTTCCGCATGGAGGCACCATGAGAACAGTTTTTTGAAGCTTTGAAGCCAAAGCAACAGTGCAGATTCTCATAAAACGCTTAAACGCTAGCCTTCCAACTTGTCGAGCACTTTCTCACTTCTTCTACCGGGCTTAGCATGAAGAGTCCAACATCCAAGGTGCATGAAGCCTTTCGCGATGTGAGCATCGACATCAACCGCATTCCAACACGCAATGCGACCAGCAGCACACCTCTGCAGCATGAGACAGCCTACACGTTCTTCTGTTTTGCAGAAGATGACTGGCCCACACAAGTCGCCGTGGGCTTAGTGCCGGCCGGTTGGGGTCAAACTACTACATCTTCACTCGTTTGCGGTTAAATCAGTTTTGAGGTGGAAGAGGTTCCTGAATGTTCAGCAATGGAGCCTCCAGGTCCTTGCAGGTCCCTGAAGACGAAACAGACCAGAGAAGAAGACGCGATTCCGCGCGAATCGCCCAGGCAGCTGCTTCCAACTCGGTGAACCTTCAAGCTCCAACAAGTCCCAACAAGGTGGATTTGGCCGCTGCCAGGATCCTTCAGTTGGCCATTGGAAACTTGACGACCTTGGATGAGGCCTTGAATTTGGAGAATGGAATTGACATTTTTGAGTTCAGATCGATGACTTTTTTGCCGTATTGTTGGTTCAGAACATTTCAGCTTCTGCATGTATATATATATATAATATAAATATTATATATATATATATGTATGTATACCAACAAGACAATGGATCTTAATTAACTCTAGTCCCTTTTTGGCGTGAATCAAGGCATCCGTTTCCGGCCACGCTGTATTCGTCAGGCCCCGCCGAGCTTCACGTCCTTGACGGCTGTGGACCCCACGGCCACGAACGATCGGATTGTGGTGACCTTCACGCTCAACGAGGCCAAGTCGTTTTTTTTCTTTTTCGGGGCTTTGTGGGGGTTCACTCGAACTGCTGCAGAGATGTCAGGTAGCCTGGTTGCCGGGCCTGGTTGGTGAAATTCTCAAGAATACGATAGGCATCGATAGGTCTACAAATACTTGTAATAATAGTAGCTACTAGACTGGACTGCTACACTATATATATATATATTCCCTTTGAAGACAGGGATTTTTCACCGATTGCTATCAACCAAAGTAATCTCAATGATCGTGCAGCAGGGATTCTATACAGCATCGCCTTGCATCTCCTTGCCGCCAGGCGGGGACCGCCTACTGCCGCCCCACGCGGCGCGACGCGGGTGCCACGCCGCTGGAGATGACCGTGGACCGGATCCTGAGCGCCGGCTGGGCGGCGACCTACGACGGCGACGAGGCGACGCTGGAGATGACGGCGACGGTGCAGGGCGGAAGCGAAGCTGTGGTGGAGGCTGGGCACTGATCCGGAGGTCCACAGGTAGTGGTAGAGGTTGTTGTAGTGGTTGTTTTGTTTCCTTTTGTTACGCTTTATCGCGTGTCCGAGAGGTTTCGAACTTTAAACCGCTCTTTTCCCACCCTCCAGGCTCAGCAGTACGACATCTATTGCTGGGCGGAAGACCGTGCCGTGGACTCCCGAGGCTACGCGCGGCCGAATTACATGACGCCGCTCGGCCGGGCACCACCGGTGCCGGAAACGTCCAGCGGCCGGGCCGGCCGGGCCGAGGCACAGCTATGCCACGACGGGCGTGGGGAACGGAAGCGTTCCAAGTGGTGGGAAGATCGCAGGGCACTTAGAGTCAGCCAGATTCTCTATGTTTGGCGCTTCAGGATTGGTGAGGCCGACTTGAACATTGCTAAGTTCTTGGTCCAAACTGAATACTCTCATGAACGTGCATGTGATGCTATCTTCATGAAAGTGAGAAAGCCACAGCCAGCAGATGCCAGTTCAGCTCAGAAGATGATCATTTCTCAGGAAGCTGTTTGGGTCACAGACAGCACGCCCCCATCCATGCTCTTTGTGGCTGCGGAAGGGGTGAAGACTGAGGAGCCGATCTTGAATGAACATGAAAGTTGAAGGAAGACATTTGGGATGTTGGTAATTACACACAATACACTGCAAGCACCACTGCAAGCACCTATTCCTCCAGCATGCCGCAATTCATAGCTCCATCCAGCATCAGATGACAGGTGCACCGGTGAAGTCGGTGTCTTCGGTCACCAGGATACCTTGCAGGTGGTCTTGCAGCTGAACGAACCTGGGACAGTGTGGTGTGCCTCGGTAGCGGACCTCATGCGAACGGCGAAAGGGTTGACACTGCATGTGCCAAGTCGATCAATTGGTTGGACCTTTCTTTTCCAACTAGCAGGAGGGATTTAAATGACCCATCATGACCACAGGTTTAGGCCTCCCAAGTTTGTGACTCGTTTTACATCGTTTGCCATCCAAATTGTTGGGATCCATGATGTGGTTGCGACCTTCGGAGTACGGATGAGGGTTCATTGGTTGCGACCTTCGGAGTGTGGTAGAAAAACTTCGAAACTTCATTGATCTGAGAAGACCTTGGCGAGAAGGGATCCACCCAAGCCATCTCAACATCTCTGCAGCCACTGAGCTTAATGAAGCCTCTTCGACTGGGATTGTTCTGAAGATCGACCAAACGGTTGGAGCTCTGTGGAGCTGCGTGGAGCCCTTGAACCAAGGCCAAGTAGCTGAACCTCTCACGGCTGCCAGCTCTGTCTACTGCCGGGAAGACGACATCTCCTCCGATCCTTCTGCTCAGTGCTATTGGGAGACCTTCATGAAAGGATCGATCATCGGGTGAAAGGGGTATGAAAAAGGCATGGAGGAACATGTGGTGTGGATGTGAAAACAATTAAGCATGTTTGAGTAAAGTACTCCACATGCACCAATCCCTGGTGCAAGATGGATTGCGGCAAACACCCAAGTGGCGTTTGTTCACACATTTTGACACAGAGAGAAAGGCCGGATCACCCTTGAGAGGATCGGTTGCGCTGGGCACCAGCTTCAGTGCAGAAGTCCCTCTGCCCTTCACCTACGTCCGCGTGGAAATGAATCGGATCTGGCAGAAGGGGCTGACCCAAGGTGATCCTCTCTTGCCGGACTGGGCGCCGCGTTTTTCCGGGTGAACGGGAAAGGGAGAACCGGTGCCTTGAAGTGTGAGGCTTCAATGACTTCTTTGGACGGATTTTTGGGAAACATGTGGCTTGAGAGAGAACGTTCATGAGAGCCAAGCAATTTGAGTGACCCTGCTCGAACAGGGATAAATAGTTTTTGCAGCATTCCTACTGCCGTCGAAGGGAGAATGGGACTTCGAAGGAGTCCCAATGTGAGCCTGACATGGGCCAGGTTGATCTGGACGGATTTTTAAAGGAATTCTTTTGCTCCAGAGGAGACGGAGTACAAGATCTTCTGCCTTGCTGAAGATGATTGGCCATCCCAAGCCCAAGCCAGTGACCTCACTTCAGTGCCTTGGCAAAGATCAATGTGCAGGGCTGGATTTAGTTGACGGTTTGCCGAAGGACAAGACATGCCAACAGACAGAGAGGGAGAGAGAGAGAGAGAGAGAGAGAGAGAAAAAGAGAGAGATAGAGAAAGAGACAACGAGAGAAAGAGAGAAAGAGAGAAAGAGAGAAAGAGAAAGAGAAGGAGAAAAAGACAGAGACAAAGAGAGGAAGAACAATAAAAAGAGAAAGATATAAAAAGAAAGAGACAAAGAGAGAAAGAGAGAGAAAGAGAGAAAGAGAAAGAGACAAAGAGAGACAGAGAGAAATAGAGAAAGAGCAAGATAAAGAGAAAAAGAAAGAGAAAGATACAAAGAGAGACAGAAAGAAACAGAACGAGAAAGAACACGAGAAAGAGAAAGAAACAGATAAAGAGACAGAAACAAAGAAAGAGACAGAGAAAGAGATACAGAGAGAAAGAGAGAAAGAGAAGGAGAAAAGTAAAGATAAAAATAGATAGATAGATAGCTAGCTAGATAGATAGATAGATAAAGAGACAAAGAGACAAAGAGAGAAAGAGAGAAAGAGACAAAGAGAGAAGGAGAGAAAGAGCAAGAGAAACAGAGAAAGAGAAAGAGAGAAAGAGAAAGAGAGAAAGAGAGAGAGAGAGAGAGAGAGTGAGTGTGTGTCGTCCTTGTTTGCTCGGTTTAACCTCTGAAAACTCACCAGTGGAGTGTGAAATACAAATACAACAAAACCACCCGAAAGCTCACCAGTGAATGATGGAATGCCACTAACAACCAAAGGTGATGTTGAGGGGGCCATGTCCAAGTCCGATCCTCCAACCACCTGGGCCCTGGGTGCAGTATCCAATCATGAACCGTTCTGTGTACTTCCGTCTTCCGTGTGTCCTCTCCAGATCTAACCTAATGGCGATGGCCTCCACCTAGTAGCTTCTAGTTATATACTAAGAAACTTCAAAGACATACTCGAAAACTTTCTTGTTCCTAGTAGCGATGGCCTCCAACCTCATAGCGATGGCCTCCACCTAGTTTCTTTCCCTTTTATTTGTCTTCCTCTGAGTCTCCAGGTCTATTTCAATGCATCTTCCTTGTCGCCGCAGCGCAGCACCTTGCCCCAAGTCGTGGCTTTCAAGGACGCGGCGGGCACCAGGAGTACCCTGGACCTGAGCCCTCCGAACCTCACCGTGACCAGCGTGGGAACCACGGAGCAGCAGATCACGGTGCTGGCGACCCTCTCCGAGCCGGGCACGGTTTCTTGACTCCAACCCGCCGGCTCCGCACGGTGAGCCTGAAACGCAGCGGGTGGCGCAAGTGGTGGAGACCCAAACCACCAAAGGAAGAGGGGTTTTACAATCCAAATGAATGAGTTTGATGAGTCAAGACTCTACAGGGCCATAGGATGTGAGGAATCGGACTTCGAAGATACTTTGTCTCCGGCCAATGGCACCGGAGTACTAAATAGACACCGGGCGGACATCCGGAGGTACCCGGACCTCATGGCTTGGCAGCAATCGATCAGGCCGAACCCACCCAATCTGCAGGCCTGGTGCCGGGCGGTGCGTCGTGGCTTCGCCATCCCCACCTTGCTGGAGATTCTGGCGGCAGATTTCAGCGTTCCTTTGCTGGTGGCGCCCTACAACGGCACTGTGACCATGACCAGTGAGTCGGGTGTGGGTGCGGCGTGGTCTGTGCCACTGGTGCGGGGCACCGACTATGAGGTGGGGTCTCTGCAGCTGTCAATATGACTCATACATCGTCGTTGGTGATGATCTTTTAAGTAGAGGGACAATGAGGGACATCTCAATTTTCTTCAACTTCTGTTTCCTTTCTTTGCTGGAAGTCTATTTTTCAATTTTGCAGGACTTGGTTGATTGGCAAGGGACTACAATGCAAACCATGTGTCAAACATCAAGCATGATCATATGTTACATGGTTTGACTTGCTATGATTCACTCCGCATCAGTGCCTTCTTCATCCTTGCCTCCGAAGGATTGAATTCTTGAAGCTGCCAGGTCTATTGCTATGCCGAAGATGACTCTTGCTCCTCAGCCCATGACTTTGGGGAGCTAAATGCAGGGCCTGAGGAAGACAAGACCGGGGGGGACATGGGTGAAGCTCCCAGTGGTTGGCCTTTGGCCAAATAAGCTTGATTCTGTTCGTGCCGCGGGAACCATTTGATACCATTTGGTTTAGGGTGGATGTCATCTTCGGCACAACCTGTTTGCTCCCAGGTTTGTACATTGGCCTTCGTTGCTCGGATCGGACGTGCACCTCCGGCTCAGTGAACCACCATGTCCACCGCCCAACACTTGCGCGACGTCTGCGGACTCTGTGCCTGAAAACGCGCCCAATGTTAGGCAGGACTCATGCGTCCCCGCTATGTCCCTGAAAGAATTGAAGTGGAACATGCCTCGACAAATAGGTGCCTGTCCACTTCCAGGATTCTTCGAATATGGCGACATGAATTCCACTGCAACTGAGGCGACCTGTGATTCGGGTGACATTTTGGAACGTGATCTGAGGCGTCGGCTGCCAACAGCCCTCCGGCATCGACACGGCCGCCATCGCTGCCACCCTGACGAGCGTCCGCACGATGGACGGGCGGGGAAATGTTTGCAGAGAAGGTCCCTGTACCTTCAGCCACACAAGAGAAACGATATTTATTACGTGGGATGAAGTTAGAAGAAAAGCTCTGGGTATCTCTGTGTTCATTCTTCAATTCCCAGTACGAGGGACAAGTAGAGCACGCCCTACTCTTGTTTTCGATGTTTCCAGCAGAGATGTAGTTCGAACAAGTCGTGTTTTTTCGATGTTTCGGTCGCAAGATGTGCGGATTTTCTGGATGTGACATGTTGTCCAACGCGAATTGCGGCCCCCCCAGACATGAAACGACGGCGAGTTCTGGTCTGTGTTCCGCGGTCAGGACACCACCCCTCCGCAGCTCACTGCGGTGGATCTTCGGTCCATCGCCCGGGACACCATTCAAGTGACCCTTCAGGCGGTGTCCCACGTGGGGAGGGCGTGGGAGGGTAGCTTCAGAGGGTAACTTCATGAGGGCTTCAGAGACTCTGTGCCAAGTCTAGCCAAGTCTCGATGTTTCGGACGGCCGACCCACACTGCCGACCCAGTCTTTGCTGTGGTCATTGATTGACCGGGCCAAGATGGGGTCGGTCTGTGGCCTCAGACTCAGAAGAATCGCTGATTTCAGACTGTGCTCCGCAGCGTGGAGGCAGACGAAGGCTCGCGAGTGTGGTGCGCCGTACGGGGCCTTGGGCGGTAGGAGCTTCGCTCAATTGAGACGATTCCTCCTGCCGAGCGTTCGACCTTCCGTTCGATCCTTGCTCCTGTGGAGGTGACAATCAAAAAGCAAGAAGTTCGCTCATGTGTGAAACCATGACAGGGTACCTCATGGTGAAGCACTGCTGTTGAAATCTTTCTTGATTGTATTCTAGATTTTTTTCCAAGCTATGCATGTTCCAGTGAACTTGTTCTTTGCCACAAACACGTTTTCTTAGGCGTGGAGCACTTTGTCAGAGAGCGACTTGAACGCCTCCAACTATGAAGCAAACATCAAGAACTGGGAAGGCTTGATCTGCTCCCTTTGTCCTTGTTTAAAATGGCAGATTTGCTATCGTTATCACCTGCACGCCTCCCGATTCTTGCCCAGCTAAGTTCTTGCCCAGCAATAAGCGCATGTCCAGAGTTTCTCATGTCAGGCACTTGCAAAGACTCTTGGGGCAGAGATTGTGGCAGCTTTTGGGTTTATGACATGGATGATTTGGAGGAGACCTGTTGACCTGGTTGAAGCTGAGCACGTGAGCAGAATTGCAAAAGTGTCTTGTCATGTCTTGTCAAGACTTTTGGCTACTTGAATACTCTTAAGCTATCTTAAGTTGGTGTTCTCTGAACTTCTTCATGCTTCATGTTCTTCCTTTTGAACCGTGACATGGACTTGGCTTCCAGCCAAGCAAGCTTGGAGTCTCTGACGCTCTCTTCGTGGACGAAACTGCTAGGACACCACGCTGGACGGCATGTCCAGCGAAGACGACTACCGGCACTATCAGACATGGAGACACCATGAGGATGTCGCTTGGCTGCTTGGGATCTGAAGAATTCCGTGCGCTCGGTCTCTCCGAGAGTCGAAGGTTTTTCCAGGAAACCGACGATAGAGGTGAGACCCAGGCGGACCGTGGATCGGCCCACAAGGGCACCGAGATGCGGATGGATTGCAGTGGAATTCTTGGTTTCAAAGTCCGAACATCACTCTCCCACTCAGTCGTTGGTCCGGAACGGAGTGAATCCAGGGATTTCTTCTCGGAGCGAAGCTGGAAGCATTGCAGGTGACCATTGTTCTCAGCGGACTTCTGGAAAGCACCGAGTACGGCTACATCTACTGCTTCGCAGAAGACGATGAGCCGGATGGTCTGGAGCCCAGTGATGATCAAGAGAGCTTACCTTAAAACGAGCTTGCTCATGAAACGGTGTGACAAAAGATCACACATGTATGGCTTTGACTCTGGTTTGACTCAAATTTTTGAGTGAACTCTTGTATTCTCCACGGCAGTGCCGTTCTGGGTGTGGTGGTTGGAACGACATTGACCCATACTTGAGCTGATCATCAACACCCAGGGTGAATGCTGATCCAATGAGCAAAGGCAACTTACAAGCAAGAATGGCAACATTGGTCCCATTCTACAGACCCATCAAAAGACCCATTAAAGTGAAAGCCTTCAAAGTCAACATCAACAGTTGATCGGAAGACCAGCTTTGCATGCGTATCATTGAGCGACCCACCCAGCTTGACATCTGGGATTTTCGGATGCATGAGGCTTTGACATTCCCTCCCATGCACGACATCAACATGAAGACAGCACACTCTTCTGACTCGTGGTGAATCCTGGCCTCAGGTGCTGGATCGGTGCCCAACAAGATGAGCTTCGATGTCGGTGTGGATGCCTCGCAAGTGTCCAAACTGCAGGAACCAAGGGGCTTCAAGGGGCCAGTGGGGCCATCGATTGCAATTGGAGTCCTCCTGAAGCACCGGTCGAACTTGATATCACAATCAAGGTTTGCCGATCTGTGATGAGACTTATGATCGAAACTCCAATATTTGGAAATCTGAACTCCATTTTGAGTCCTTTTGCATTTTTTCCAACTGTCTCTACCAGTCAAGCGATCTTCTCCTATATCTCCTAGTGTCCTCCGTCTGCACGCATCCCACCTATCCTATCCTCATCCTCAGGAGGCCTTGGGAAACGTCACCACCTTGGACGAGACGCCGCCCAGCTTCACGGAGCTCCTCATCCAGGACCCCACCGCGTGGAACGACCGGATCGAGGTCACCTTCGCCCTCAACGAGCCGGGCACGGCCTACTGCCGCGCCACGCGCTCCGACTCCGGAGAGGTGGAGGAGGACATGTGTCTTGGAGTGGAAAAGGCCTCCAACCTAAGAGCGGTGGAAAGGAATTCTTGAAGATTGTGGGATTTGTATGGATTTGTCTTATAATACTATGATTTGTATGGGATTTGTATGGATTTGTGGTACTATGATGTCTTATACCTGTGTCTCAGCCCAGGTACATTGGATGGATCCAGACAGCCCAGTGGTCCAGCGCACACGATGGATCGGCTGCGCCATCCAGCATCGTGATCACCGCGCTGGAGAACAGCGATGACTCGGCTCGGTTGAACGCGCCCATCCAGGAGGCCAGCGCGTCTATACTTATATATATATTGGCGACATGAACGCTGCCAGTCAGCTGGTTGTTTTAGGGCATTATTGGTTTATATTGATTGGTTTAATATGGCTTTCAAGGATTTCCTTTCGTATTTTTTTGTGGGCCTTCTTTGCGGGGAATGCACGCCCGAGCCCAGGGAGTCTTTCCAGCATGGCCTCCTGAGGCCCTGTCGTCCCCTCCGTTCACTGCCCTGTCGTAGAAGCGGTTTTGACCCACGACAGGCTCACCAGTACGACGTCTACTGCTGGGCATTGGACAACGCAGTGGACACGGCGGGATTTCCACGAGCCAACCTCATGCAGCAGAGCTACGTTGTCACGGAGAGCAACTCCACAAGCAGCCCTTTGGGAGGTCGATGACGAACGAAGTGGCACGATGTTGGACGATGAATGAAACGAGTGAAGTCTAGAGATCCGAAACAAATCTGAAGAAGTTCTGGAAGAGTTCTAAGTCACTTGAACCTCAATGAACATCTTGAGTACAGTGATCACAGCCGTTACATATAACCATGGTATACCACGGTCAATCCAAGCTTTACAAGATGATCCACTTCTATAAAGTTATACATGGTCATATATCATGTCTTGTTAGAGAACACCGCTAGACTGCCACCTTGCCAGGCAAGACGAAAGGAGTTTGGGTCGTAGACACAACTCCTCCGACCATGATCCTCGTCCATGCCGAGGCCTCGTGGGGTGGCGGGGGTCCCTTCGAGACGACCGAACATCGCAGCTGAGAATACACTCAGGTACACTCAGGTGCCGAACATATGGTTCAGTGGATGGCACCCCCTGTTCGTAAAGGAAAGTAGTCTTCCAAGGGACCATGCCATTGCCATCCAATTCCATGTTAGTGAGTCAGAGTGTAGTTTTTTGGTTGTGGAAAAGTCACCAACAGATACGACATGTAGGTTCAAGAGATTTTCCTCCACACACCAGTGTTGAAGACAACCTCGCACGACCAGACTTTGAAACCCAAAGTGTTAGACAACTCAGTTGTTTGCCTCTCATGGGTATCTTTGCGCTTGGTTTTACTGGTTTCAGAGATCTTCAAAATCACTTATGTATGTACCGCTCCCATCCGCAGCCACTTCGCTTCGCTGCGCTTGCGCTTCGCTTCGCTCCATGCAGGCCATCTCAGCAGTGGAGCTCCAGGTGATCCTGCAGCTGGACGAGCCAGGGACTGTCGTGGCCTGAGACGACGAACACGCTGCGCCGTTCTCGGCGAATCGAGAGACGAATCGGTTTGGAATCGAGATCCGCCCCACGAACGACTCGGAATTGGACATCAGGGCGTGGTTCAAAAATGAACCCATCCAAGAACATCTTGGGGCGTGGCCTTGTCTTTTCCATTCTTTTCCCCCCCGTTTTTGGGAGACAAGGCCTATATTGGTCCTTGTGAGCCAATTGTTTCGGTGAATTGAAAGAAGGGCGATTTGCGCGTTCCAGGTTTGGTGTCAGCCCAGTGCAGGCCTCAGTTCTGATAAGCCAAAGGCTTGACCCTGAGTTCAGAAACATTGTGAACACATCAGTCTCACTTCTCATAGCTTCTTTGATGAGGTGATATGGCTGGCATAGCCACACAATGCCAAAGCACGGACATCCAGAACGAATCCGCCAGTGCTGACTGCTATTGGCTAAACTTTATTCAAGGCAACAACTTCAGGGCCGAGGTCCATGAAGCCTTTGTGGATTACTCGATCAATATGAATCTGTTGTATCCCATTGGCAGCAATGCATCGGAAGCTCTCACCTCAGAGTCCCAGTACGAAGTCTTTTGCTATGCCGAAGATGACTGGAGCGACCAGGCCTGCTGCGTACTGGTCGGCTTGGTCGAAGCGAACGAAGGGTTGGACCCCGGCGAAGCAGGGGAACTGAGGTTCGGCGAAGCATCCTGAAGCCCTTCGTTGGTGGCTTCTTGACCCCATTTTAAAGCCCCCCCAAACAAGCACCATGTTTGGCTCCAGGGCGGGATCTGATCTCTTTAAGATCTTTAAGTGATTAAAAGACAACATTTGCTTGAACCTGATGTGTAAAGTTGTTTTGTTTTCGTCGAGAGCTTCGCACTCTTTCGGCATGGGCTTACATAGCTGTTACATGGAATGTTACACTCAAACGAATGCAGACCCTCACAAGAAAACTTGGGAAAACTGATGACTATTTCATACTATTTTATTTTATTTCCATTTCGTTCCTCTATCCAGGACAGTTGTGAGCCTTGAACTCTTTGGTTCAGTCTACGTCGCCCCTGCTCACCTCGACCGTCCACGTTCTGGACCTGCGTTCTGTCCAGGCGAATGGTGCGCCGCTGAGCTCGGTGAACTTCGTCACGCAGAGCCTGCGGAATGCGGTGAGCTTTGCAGATGCCAACGTCGTGAGGAAGTCGATTCGGGGTTTGGAAGTTGGTGCCTGAGGCATCTTCGGGTGCCGAGAATGGGAGGAATGACACATATTGTACGCCATTGTACAACCTTTGTACCACCCCCCTTGAAACCAGACTCGAACTCGAGTCTGGCTCAATTCCCAGGTCTGGTGATTTATGTCAGGCTTTGCCCCAAAATGGTGTTTTGGCATTTGATTCAAGAGTTTTTTGGGGCTGTATACATGATTAGTTTTACATGATAAACTCTTGAGATTTCACAAAACAAGGCCATTCTGAGTTGCCAAGAAGGTTCCCTCCGTCAAAAAACAACCATCAGCGCGGTACTTTAGACCCTCGGGGTGTCGGATCTGCTTGAGATGAGCAGAACGGCAGGACTTCGATCGGAGTGCAACGAACCTTGGACACCTCTCCGCCCAGCTTCACCATGCTGGCGATCGAAGATCCCACTGTGGCCAACGACAGGCACGTGTCGTTGCCGGGCGGTCGAAGAACAGTTGCAGCAAAACCAGAAAGCTTTCGAGCAGAGACAAACACCTTTGGATGTTTTTAAGTGTTTTCATGGGTGACACCAGGCTGTAAGGATAAAATATGTAGCTCGGAGGGTTTGGGGTCAGCCGCCTTCGAAAGTCTTCGGTTTTGGATGGTTTTGGCCGGTTGGGTTCTTCGTGTGTTTGGCGTTCGTTCGAAGAAAGAATGGAAGGTATTGGGGCTATCATGTGCTTGAAGTTCGTTTGTTTTTCACAGGTAGGAAGGACTAAGGACTAGAATCAGACATCCAGAAGAAGGGGCACTGACATTGACAACTACTGTAGTTGAAGGGGAATGCAATCTGGACATCAACAAGCAAACAACTTATTGCTTCTCACCTCTCCTGCTTCCAATCGCTTGGCCTTGCAGTGCCTTGCAGTGCCTTGCAGCCTGAATCAATTTGGCTGCGCAGGATCGTGGTGACCTTCACTTTGAATGAACCTGGTACAGCCTACTGTCTTCACCTCAGCTTTGTGATGAATCAACTCAAGCCACCTGAGAAAGGAACAAAAGACAATTCCGACATAGTACCGATGAATTTCTTTGCTTTTCTGACAAGACCTTGCAAGTATTTTTGTCCAAAAGAACGCATGTGTCATTTCTTTGTGAAAAGCGCGTCCTTTTCGATCCGTTTCGTAGGGCCTCCCAAAAATAGCATGTCCACCGGGGTGAGGTCGTCCCACTCGCTCCGACTCCGGGCAAACCGCGGCCGACATGACGCTGCACCGGATCCTGAGCGCCGGCTGGTTCGCGGGTCATGATGGTGGAACATCCGCCAGCAGCATCACAATCTCGAAGTTGGAGAATGCAGTGGAAGCAGTGCCCATCTATGAAGCTTCACAGTATGACATGTCTCTCGGAGATGTCAAGGATGCTCTTGTTTGGGGTGAACCAATGGGCGAGAAGCACAGATGTTGTTGTGGTGCCCGAGCGATAGCTGTTGGGAAGTTATATAGATACATGCATCATGTTATTGTTCCCCCTCTACGGACTCTGAGTGATTGTGGCTGTTGGTCCAGTTCCACATGTTTCTGACTCCGGAATCTTTCCAATGAACTCAGAACAGCATAGAACGTCTTCGTTTGCTTGGAATTGATTTCGTTGAGGGAGAGCAAATATTGGGGCAGAAGACATCCCTTGCCATTCATCTTTGCCCATACCTGAGATACTGCGCGGCCAAAGATACTGCGGTGGATTCAAAGGGCTTTGCGATCCCGAATTGGATGTCCTTCAGCTACATCGCGAATGCCGGGAGCCAAGCTATCAGAGCAGAGATGAGTTAATGGATGTTACTGCTAGTTATCAGATCGCCAAGCCAGATCTGCTAGGTATGGACGATTTTTCCTGGGTGGTTTTAGGATGCTCCAAAGGTCTTCAACAAACCACATTTCAACCTGTGTGTCGCTGTTGGACATTGGTTCTTGTAGGCGATCGGTTCTCCGAGTACACCATCTGGTGGCTTCACCTCGAACGTTTGGGTGGTGGATTCCACTCCACCGGAGCTTATTTTGGTGGACGTCTTTGCACCCAGTGAGTCTTCTCTTCAGATTCGCTTGCAGCTGAATGAGCCGGGCACAGTGTGGTTGGGCCCTCAGGCACATCGGATAACGTCGAGTCTTGATAGAAACCTCCCCCCAAATGGATGCACGGACTTGCGGACGGGGGAGGCTTTATGAATCAAGAGTCATTAGCACCCTCATCTGCCCAGGATGCCGGATGGTCTGAGTCTGTCCCGACGTGGCACTGAGGTGTGCTCCTGTCGAGGTGGAGAACTCCACGTTTTGCACGTTCGAGGACATCTCCAACGTCTCGGGCTCTCCTTGTGACTACGAGAGCTTCATCCAAGGTGATGCGATGCTACAGGCCGTCTTCTATGCAGAGGTGTCAGAAGCTCACAAAGATGTGGACATCAAGGCAAGTCGTTGATACTTCTGGGAAAGCGGTCGGTGATCCCCAACAGATCTGTCTGGTATACCGTGTGAGTCGGTAGAGTGCAATCCAAACCACGAACGAAGTGTACAGCTGTGAAGTTCCTCAGTTCTGTGAAATTCTGTCCCGATCCGTCCCAGATGGACCGCATCATGACTCGCGACGGACAACAAAGCTACCCCTTGGAGCATCAGCACCAGTACTGGATCTTTTGCTTTGCGGAGGATGACTGGCCTCTCCAGGTGGGCTAGGGCCAGTCAATACCAGTCATTATTGACAAAGGCAAATAGTAGGTTCTATTCTCAGTGGTGATCAAAGCTTTGCTACTTTGGCAGCTAGAAATTGCAGCACCCCGCAAAAGGATCGACCGCCTTTGCAGCTGACGCCTTTCGGGAAACTACTCGACCTATCCATAGCTCACTTACCCCATGATACCCCATTATACCCCAATTTTTATACGCCCTGGAAGCACTGTAGATCTGTAGACCCCTCCTTGCTCGGCAGCCTCGTCTGAGGCGGCCGCTGGAATGAACTCCTCGAACTTTGTCGCACCAGCAGAGGCCAACAGGATCTCCTTGAGACGCCTGGCTGGGTGGGGCTTCTTGTTGGAGCTGGGTGATATGGGGGCATCTGCATGGGATTTTGATTGGAAGATCAGACGAAGTGACTGAGGAACTGCTCAAGACTTTGCCAACTTGACTGGCTTGATCACTACTTTGGACCAGAGCCCTCCTAGCTTCAGCTTCTTACACATCGAGGATGTCTTCGTATGTTTTTCGACCAAGGTTGTGAGACCACAGAAGCTCCAAGCTGTTGATGTCGCCGATGCGCTCATCCAGTTCGAGTGCTTGTCTTTTTGAGATAGTTTCTGAAAGCACATCCCGGGGCAGTTGAACTGTTGAACTCATCCCAAAATGGTTCACAAAGATCTGAAAAGATTCTTTCAACAAGGTCTTCAGAGTTTTTCGGCAACCGGGAGCCCCCAAAAAATGAACCAAAACACCCCCCTCCACCAGGACCCCACCGTGGCCAACGATCGCCTCCACGTGATCTTCGCGCTCAACGAGCCGGGCACTGCCTACTGTCGGGCCGTGCGGTTGGACAGCGGGGAGACGCCCGCGGACATGAGCATCACACGGATTTTGACGGCGCAATGGATGGCCAGCAATGATGGGATGCTTGGGCATGACTCTCATGTAGACGGTTGATGAATAACATGCCCATCATCCACCCTACTTAGTTTTTACATGTGAGGGGGTTAGGTTCATCAATGGCCTATATGAACACTTTAATGGTGATGGTTACGGCATTTACAAGGAACCAAAAGAACCATTCCTAGGTACCTAGAGTTCCAAAAAGCGGATGGTTGATGATGGTTGAATGGTTGATTAGAGGGGTTCGAAACTTGCTCATGTCGGTGGTCTAAACATCAGTTGGCCTTTTCCACGAGGTTTTATGCAGCTTGATCTTGTTGCTCCAAGGATGAGCAACTCCAGCATCGAAATCACGCAGTTGGAGAATGTAGATCCCAGGCAGGGATCGGTAAAGGACGGTTTCAGGCAACATGCAGCTTCATACAGCTTCCAAATCCGGATAGGGCTGTCTATTCATCACTTTCAGACGAGGTGAGAACAAGCGGCTAACGCCTCATAGGATTTTTTTAATGATATTTTGGATTATTTTGGTACAATACCTGCACTGTTGAAGTCTTAAAAAGGGCGGGTCCAAACTGGGGCACCATGGTTGACTCCAAATGAACCGATGCCTTTCTACGATGTCAATCACTTTCTTTGATGAAGAGGCTTTGGGTGCCTCGACCCAATCTGAAGCCCCTCGACATCGGATCCCCTCGTCCCTCGCTCCGCTCCGTGGCTCGGAGCCTCCGTCTCCCTTCGCAGCGAGGTTGACGGGCCGAGACGACCAGGTGGTACCGATCGTCGAGGCCACGCAGTACGATGTGCTCCTCGGCCAAGTCGGTTTGCTGGAGGATTTTCCTCCGGCTCAGGCGAGGAAAGATGGATGGTTGATGATGGTTGGAGGTGAAAGATGTGTGGTTTTTGAGCATGGAGGAAACTCTCCAACCCATGGGTTGAAGCCTCCAACCCATGGGTTGGAGGTGAAACCCATGGGGTTTTGAGTGGGGGTTTTGAGTTCAACCCGTTCGCATGCGATCCTTGCCGGAGCGATGACGGGTTGTGTGTGGCTTCCTTAGCTTCAGCCAGGTATTGCTGGGCACAGGATACAGCTGTGGACAGCTATGGATATCCAAAGTCCAACTACATGGACATCGAGTATGTCAGTCAAGTGCTTAGCACGTTCTGATGCAGACATTTGATAGTTTGCTGTGGGTGTAGAGGAGCTTGCACTTTGGGAAGCACACACTTTGAATTGAATGTCGTAGATTGTTTTATTGCTATCTTAATTTTTATTCTATTTTTTTTATATTTCTTGAGAGTACTACTACTGCTTAAATTGAGGAAGTTGTCCAATTAGATATCATAGTTCGGGCTCATACTTGACATCGGCAGCTGGATTTCTTCATTTGCCTTAGGAACCGATGTGCAGTCTTCCACCGAGCCGCAGGGTGGTCGAAGCCCAGGACGGCGTTCCAGCTCCGGAAGGTGACTGCAGGCTGAACATGCCCCCGAACCCGTCATGATACAGAAGGGGATATTCCGGGGCGCAGAACTCAAGAGACCCTCCACTGGCTTTGTTTAAGCTTTAGTCGTTTTTGCCGGCGATTGGGACTCTGAAGATGTTCGCCAATAGCGAGGAGGAAGTAGTTTCGCTTGAGACAACTCAATGCTGGAACACCTCTATTCGTTTTGAATATTCATTTGGCAATCCAGGTTTCTTTTGGATCTGAAAGGAACATGGACGCAATACTTTGGCAACAAAAGGCCAGTTGAAGCCCTCAAGCAGTCTCATGGACATGACACCCGGCCCATCCGTTCTGTTGCTTTTCCCATAGTCCGGAAATCGAAGGTCCAAATTGAGAGAATCCATGAAACATCACCGCGAAGTCGAAGGGTGAAGTTTTCAGGCAGCCACTTCAGGCTACAGCTGTGCACAATGCAGACCCTTCGAACAAGTTGCCATTGTAATATGTTAGGCAAAGCCGCTGAAGGAACCAAAGCGGACAGCGAGACGGAGTGGAGAATTGCCCAGGGGCCTTCTACCCTGTGGATGCCTGCCATGGAGCGTCATGGCATGCCTTTGCCCTTTGAGTTCAACAGATGCTGCTGGCGCAAACCACTGGAGCCTGGGTTTTCCGAAGCTTGAGGACACACCTCAATGGGTGAGGATTGCAGAACGTAATACGCCATATAAAGCAACTGTGGACTCTGGTTTTTTTATTCCAGTTGTAATGCACGAGGCTTGGGTCACCGTCAAGAGCTTTTCACAGCCAGGACCAGAGAGGCTGACGTGCAGCCGATTATATGATCACCCAGTGCTTTCAGCCTGTCCCCAGCAGATACACCGCATCCATGGCATCATTTTCATAGCACCTACCGAACCGCTACATTCACTGCTTCTGGACTGGCGCCACGGCCAGGCCGACGTTATCAACTGAGCAGGTTTTGCGGTGACCTCTCCCATATTCTATGGCGATGCTGCGCACATCTGCTCAGAATGGCGCAAGTTCTGCTCAGAATTGCTGCAGCTGAGCCCACCTGGGGATGATTTCTTTGACATCTCCAGGTCTACGAAGCGGGTCGAGGTGCCAGAGGGTCTGATCTCCGGCAGCCGAGCTGGCCGACGCAAGGTTGGCTTCTAACCCGGCCCAAGCCGGCCTTGCGGTGGGCTAGCGGCTTGGGTGTATCTTAATAGGGACAAACCCTCAGCCTTATCGAAGAATGTTCAATAAGGCTGAGATCTGCGATGGGCCATGGTCAAAAGGCGTGCGTTTGGAATGGAACCAGCTAGCGGAGTCGCACTCGACGAACATCATATACAGAGACGTGATGATTCATGTTCATCAGACTATAGAGCTGAGTATGTCCCATGCCGAGCAATCGTTGATGCTGCCGGTTTTGGATCCACAAAGGAAATTCACTCCGTTCAATTGACGCCTTTGGGCAATCCTTTTGAAGGTGTTTTTCGAGGAACAAGTGATGGTCGGAATGGAAAGGACAGCGGCCGGCTAGGACGGGTGAACTAGCATCTCGTCGAGAAGAAAAACGGGTTGCGCAAGCCAATTCATGTGGAATCATCGTAGCGTCCTTGCTACTAGTAGTATGACCAGGAGCTACGTTCGTAACGTCCTCTCTCCTAGTAGCGATGCCCTTTTTTGTTCGTAGTAGCGCCCTTGTTACCATCAAGCTTGATCTTCGATCCCCGGTTCCAAGGATCCGAGTTTGGTTCCAAGGACACATCAAGTCCAACTCGCAGCCTCTGATTTGAACTCAATCAGCATAAGCGTTTGGACATCGGCTGAAGCAAGATTTGCTTTGTGCAGCTAGTCTAAGCTCAAGCAGGTGTGTGGCGTGGCGACAGAACACCTGTCACCAGCGATTGTCTGATCATGTTTGAGTCAATAAGTACTTTCGTCGCCTACGTGGGTGAAGTTGTCGAGTCTTTGCAGGTGCCAAAGGAGCCCTTGCCGGCAGAAGAGTTCACCGTTGAGGGGACGAACAATATGTTATTATATTTGACATATGCATTGAGCGATGATCCAAATTTTCGCCATTTCTGGCCTCACACCGTGAGCGAGGCAGATGCCGTGATAGAACAACTCCGGATGATTGCCAAAGCTGTACAATTCGGTTCCAGAAAGAACAAGGACATTGTCCAGTGTTTCGTGGACCATCAGGGGCTTCACATGCTGGTGAAGTGCCTGCTCTCTTTCCGCACGCCATTCGGTATCAGGGCACAGGGATGGCAGTCCTTGTGTTTGGTCCTCCAGAATGTACAGGACAGAGACGTGCGACATGCAGAGCCGCAGAGCCACATGCAACTCATCCATGCCAACGTGACACAAAACCCATCAAAGGTGTTAAAACCTCTTAGAGCGTCCTTAAATGTTGTTAACGCGTCTCAGGTCCCCCTACGTCTCCCTACTAGTATTTGATGAATGTCTGCATGAACCACACATACCTCGATTGTTACCCTGGAATACTCTGGATGGATGAAGACTGCAGGATGACACGTTCGATTTGCTCATCCAAGAAGAGGGTGCTGCCCTCAATCAGCTCTTCTCCGGCAAGCCGGATCTATCAGTGGAGGTGCGACTTGTGGCGAATATGTGTCAATTAGGAACACTTTGTGTCATGCTGTTGTTGAAGCCATGATGCGAATTCTCAAATTCTTTTTCAACAGGAACAGGTTCAAGCCTTTGGTAAGAACACCTCGGGCTCGTCAGGAGCACCTCCAATTCTTTGTTTCTGCCCTCAAGACGGTGTGCATGCGCACCAGCGTGGAGTACTTGCCCTATTTGATGACTGAAGATCGCGACTTGCCCGTGTTTCGACGGGCCATGACTTACACGGCCTACGATGAAGCCCTGGTCCGGACGCAGGCGCGCAGCGCCCAGCTCTGGTTTTACCCAAAGCTCAAGCAGAACCAGGAGCTGCTGTGCATTGCCTTGGACATTGCAAGATCAGAGATGCTCGGTTTGGTGATCTGTGTTTGGCTATGTTCGGTGTTGATCTTCGATTGATGATGTCAACGTGTGCAGTTGTTCCGCTTATTACGCTTAAACAGTCCTGTTGTGCGTCTCAGAATGTCTCTGATGTTTAAGGCTGCCAACGCCCCTGTGCACCTTGTTGCGGAAGAATTGGGGGACGATGGCCCAAGCGGCAAGCAAGCGTAATGATGCACTCTTCCGTGTTGGGGCGGAATGTGAAGAGGACCGTCGTTTTTTTTCTTCCATTAAAAACCTCCACGAAGTATACGGGCCAGTTTCCATGGGGGGAAGTCCGGGTAGGTAGGGACGAGTCGGGGTTGCTGGGAAGGATGTCTGGGAGTTCCTCGGTGAACTTCTTTCCTTGGAGCTGCCAGAGATGGCCGAATTGATCTCAGGGATTGTCGTTGGAAGTGTCGTGGGCGGCTTGAGCAATTTGACTTCAAGAAATGCCTCTGGCGCAAACCACTGGAGCATGCATTTTCCGAAGCTTGGAATAACGTATTTTTTTGGATGAGCATTGCCGAACGTAACAATCTATAGACTTATTGCGCCCTTTCAGTACCTGTGGACTGGTTTTATTTCAATCATAATGCCTTGGGTTGCTGTTGCGTCGCGGTTGCTTCGCGGCCAGTTCAGGAACGGAGAGACTGACGCGCGGCCGATGATGATTATCCCATCGCCCAGTGCTTTCAGTCCATCTCCTAAAAGCTACACCACGTCCACAGCATCATTTTCACAGGACCAGCCCTGCCAGATCGCTACATTTACTGCTTCTGGACTTGCAGGTGCCACAAAGGCCGACATTTTTGCAGCCCCTCAGATCTCCAGCGACCTCTCTATGGCCCTGACGTTGCGAACATTGGCCATTTACGCAAGAACCCTACGACGGCTAGGTATTGGTTGCGCACTGATGCCGGTCGTTGAGCTATTTGGACTTAAGACTTAGCTTCAACTTTATGCTTTTCTATGCTACAAGCAACTGATCTTCACCCATATCAACCTGGATTCGTTGGTGCCCAGCTTGGGGTAGCTCATGATGTTTGTTGCAAATTCCTTGGGAACGACGCGCGGAATCCGTACGGTGAGGGATTTTTGCGACGCTCCGGTGACGGCGCCGCACGGTCGCGCCCGACGGTCACGCGACGCGACGATCATGGGACAGTCACGCAGGCTGCGACCACCACACTGAGGCTCCTCCTTTTACCAAGCACGCCGTCCACAGTGATTTGCGCAATGGAGCAGCTTGGTGGAGGCTGCGTCACTGAGGCAGGGCGGCAGGGTGCTTTCAGCAGGGTGCAGGGTTTGAAGAATTGTGAGACTTGGAATATGGTAGAATTCGTTGAGTTCAGGTATCCTTGGTCGTCACAAGCGCTGCCATGATTCGATAGCGTTCGGAGATCCAGTGAACATTGTCCTTTTTGTGTCATATCTATGTCATTATATGTCCCTGTTCAATCAAGAGATCCTCACTGGATTCAGAGCGTCCATTTGTGAATCATGCAAGGTTTCCAGTGCCCTAGCACTTGAAGAAAACGCTGTCACCCAAGACTTATCGTCAGACTTTGATCAATAAGCAACCTGTCCTTGCTCACACGTGGCGATGGGCCCGGTGCTTTTGGATCGTCCTCCAGTCTACCGGAACCATTCGTCGCAGGAGGGCGCCGCGTTCGCGGAGGAGTTCGCGGCTCGGGCCATGGAGGATTTGGCTTTGAAACCACGAATCGACGAGGAGCTCTCCGAGGAGGAGAAGGAGGTTCTTTTAGAGCAAGCCAAGAAGCGGCGTGATGAGCACCGAGCCAGCAAGTGCTCGTTTCTGGTCTAACTTGCAATGCCCTTTACATCCCCTTACATTACATCCTTCCATTGCATGCTTGGAACACAATTGAATCCTGTAGAGACCGTAGTGAGGTCTAAGTGTTCCTTGTGAGTATGCCACCGTGTCAACGCCAAGTGCATCGCGTGCACAAGGTATTGGCAGAAGGAGTTGCGCACTGCTGCGATGACAGGGTGCAACATGGTGCCCAATCCCTTTCGGGAGGCCTTTCTGGCCATGCTGGATGTCACAGCTGGTGTGTCAGATTCGCTCACGTTCGGTCGCCTGGCAAAACTAAGACTGGCATTCACACATGCATTTATTGTTCTCACATGTTCCTTCGATTCTCCAAATTCAGAAGTTTCTCAAACCCGAGTTTAACAACTGACAACTAAGACTATATCCATTATATGACATCAATTAGCAGTTGTTTTCTTCTGTGTCGCCTTTCTCAGGAGCTAGCTGCAACATCAATTCTGTCCAGTCTGCTGACGGAAAAACGGCTGCCACCTTCTTGATGTCGGAGCTGAAGCTCGCGTCGCACGGATGAAGAATCAGGTCGTAACAAGAAGCTACGGTCCGGTGGAGACGATCGCTACTAGGGGCTCCTGGCATCGCTACTAGGAGCAAGAAAGCTACTAGGGGCTCCTGGCCGTACTACGACTAGGAGCATCCTTACTACTAGCAACAAGAAGCTAGTAGGTTGTGGCCGGCCTCCACCATTTGAACTCTCAGAGTTTCGCCAAAGCGACGTTGGTCCGGTGGGGTAAGTGCCCAAGTGAGCCTGAAAAACTGAGGGCCCAAGTGAGGGGTGACTGGATTCTCTGTGATCAACCAGGATGCCAGGGCTTTGACCCCCCCAAAAGTCCACAGTCCAGGAAACTCACCAAGTATATCATCCAAGTATTTTCTGCAAGGATAGATTAGATGGTTTTATGGTGTTTTGGTCATGATTTCGATGGCTTTCCGCACCGGTGCAAGTCCGCTTCGCCATGTCTTTTGGCATCTCCAGGTACCCAGGGCTTTTGGAGGATACCAAGCTCCTGGTTCACGAGGTGCCGGTCATGATTGTTGAAGAGCCAGAGGTCGTACCTCCGGGTCCGATCTCCACGATCGCAGAAGGCCTCGCCTGGCTTCTTCAGGCTGGCTGTGTATATAGTTCAATAGGGACCACCAACCATTGGGTTTTGGATGGTTTTGATTTGGTTTCCATCTTCCAGTGGTGTTTGGGGGGGTCTCCCTGTTTTAAGACTCACTAGTGTATGTTCTGCGAAATGCGGAGTTTCGATCCTTGCTCCGTGTTCTTGATCTCCATTATATGGCCTGTTTTGAGTCCCTGAGGTGGGAGGTAATGGCTGCACCTTCACATCTTTGTGAGGGGCACATGTGGCCCGCTGTCCCAAAGTTGGACCGATTGAAAGCTGCGGTGTCACACAGCTAGGCAGGCTGGGGGCGACGTGTCTGACATGGTAAAGCCACTAAAACTTAAAGCCGACTCTTATAGTAAAATGATGCAACATGATTTGAAATTTAGCCTGCAGCCAAGCCTGATGCCGTAGCCACGCGAAATGACCATCACAAATCTCAGCCTTGAGGAAAAAGGTGCCGCTTTCAATCGAAAAGCCAGTGGAATTGCGCTCGACAAACCTATGAATAGCCTTATATTTCATCGGACTTCAAGAGTATATGTCCCATCCGGATGAGCAATCCACAAAGGACATCGCACCCTTAAATTGACGCCTGCCTTCGTGGGGCAATCTTTTGAAGTTGTTTCGGGGAGGAACATGTGCTGGTCGGAATGAAAAGAAAGCTACGGGACGGGTGCACTACAGCTCGTTGATGACTTCTTGCAGCGCTTCCGGTTGAGCCAGTTCTTTCCAGCGAAAGCGTCGACTGGTCTTGTTCGACCGTTGACGGGCGCGGTGCGCGACGCAGGGAGATCCGTGGTCAGTCGTCCGCCTTACAGAGTGAAGGGCGACCAAGTGGACTCAGAGGATCAGAATAGCATATGCATGGCATTGCATGGGTATAGAACTTATAGAACTTATTAGAATAGGGAGACCCCTCTGGCCAAATGGGGCTTGCTCAATTTTCCTTCCAGGAACTTTGGGAGGTATCCCTTTTTGAGCTACACACCCAGATGGCCAAAAGGACTTCCTCACCTTCATGGTTGTTTGAGGGTAATGCTGAAAATAGCGTTTGTTATGTGGAAGAGCTGTCAGAATGCCAGAGTATACAAAGCATCCCGTTCTTCTTTTGCGCAAAGGAAGGATACTCTAAGATATACTTCCCCCCCGACCTCCTCTTGCTCGTCGCATGGGCATGAGCTCAGCCGCGCACGGAAACTCGGCTCCGCTGGCGTGAGGAGTTTGGGTGGTGGATACCACGCCTCCCAGCATGACCCTGGTGCGGGCAGAAGGCATCTCCGGGGACACGCTGCAAGTGACCTTGCAACTGGATGAGCCTGGAACCGTCTGGTGTCGGGAGCCTCAGGCAACATCAAAGGAGGATGCGTTGGGTGGTAGGCGGGATGGAAGGACCTTAAGTGAGTGGTGAATGTTCTATAGGTTCTTTTTGTGTTTTTAATAGGGCATGGTGACAAAATGGACACGCACAAAATACAGTCGTTCGAATCATTAGCGAGTTTCCTGCTGCAAACCAGTCCGACCCCACATATGTCCTGCATTCGGCAGACGGTTATCCTATAGGAAAGGGAAGAGTCGGGGCCCCTAGACAAGAATCGTGCCACTTTACACATCGACATGCTTGGAACCACTTTTTGGACGGACGAACTGATTATGACAACACGGACCAGAAGAAGAGACATACCAAATGGCTCTCGTACGTGGCTCTCGTACGACAGTGCCGGCCATCAGACCAGTCCGATCTCACATCAAAGATCGGCAAAACTCGCCTTCGCCGTCGCCACACGGTCGCCAGGTGCAGCGGTCCAAATGGGCTCCGACCCCATCTATTGCCTCCCTGGCACTGTAGCCTCTGGTGGCAGCTTCTCAGCCTCGGCCGGCCTTTGCGAGTACGAGACCCTGATCAAGGCACCGAGTGGAAGCGGCATTTCGTGCGGTCGATTTCGACCACATTCCAGTGCAACCTTGACCTTCTGGTCAGGGTGTCTGAAAGGACAAGTAGGCTTGGCAAGTACTCCGTTCATGGCCACGGCGCTGGTTTCGAGTTCCGTTCTGTTAGCCTCAAGAATGGATTCACATGGATTCACTTGCAAGTTGCTGGAGTTGTCCTTTTCGAACCATGCTGGAGGGTGTATACGGCCAATGTCCACGTTTGGCCCAGGGTGACACCAACGCCAGCTTCTCAACGGAGGTGCCTCAGGCGTCCACGGGGGGGAGGTCACGGACGTGTTGGATTTCGGATGTTTCGATGGTTTCCTAAAGAGGCGAAGCTCTTAAGAAGCGCACCTTCTTTCTTAAGAGTTCCGGAATGAAGAGATCAGCTGCGAGTTTCAGCCTTACGATCGACATGTTTCCACTCCACCACCTGAAATCGACCCACGACCCACGACCCACCTGAAATCGACTCACCGAGGCCTTTTCCTCGGTGCAAGTGGAGGTGAGCCGGATCCTTCGCAAGGATCTCTCTGCTGCCGATGCCTTGACCTCCGAAACGGCCTACCACGTCTATTGCTTCGCAGAGGACGACTGGCCCTCCGACGCCCAAGGGGCGGCCAGGCGATCGCAGTCATACGTGAGCCACCCCGCGGAGCCAAACAAAGTGACGTTGGAGGATGTGCTCAACTTCAGCTCAGCTGGCTTGTTATCAGATGGGATGTGAAACTGTTGAGGTCAAGAGATTCCATTCATTTCCTTTGAAAGCTCTGGAGAAGGCATTGAATGCTGTTCATCTTCATCAAGAAGATTCAATACATCTCAGTATTTTGAGAGTTCAAGGATGCTCAAGAGGGCATTCACAGTTTGCTTTTCTTGTGTGGACGGTGGTCATCGCGATGCCAGGCAGTACATTCTCTTCGCCCACCACTTTGGACGTGTCGCCACCCAGCTTCACGCTTCTGCAAGTACAGGAGTCTATGGAGATGGAGTGAGAGAGGGTTCGACACGTTGCCAAGTGTTTTGACGAAGCAGGATGTGTTTGATGCCCAACAGCTCTTCACCAAGTGCAGGACCCAACAGCTCTGAACACTCAGATTGAGGTGGTTTTCGCCTTGAACGAGGCCTGCAAATGCCCCATTTTCCCTGAACACCTGGCCCTTCTTTGCCTGCTTACTCTGCACTACGGCAGGCTGGTACGGCATACTGTCGACCACTGCGGAGTGATAGTGCAGAGGCGACTCGCAGAGTCGATCGGCACCAGGGGGTTTGGATGGGTCTGGGACTCCGGCTTTGCATGTTTGGAAGCCTATGCCCCTGTTTGCATGCAGCTCTGAAGCAAGAGCCTCGAGAGGCTCAGTATTCGCGAAAAAAGAAAGGATTCATTTTTACAAGACAATGATTGACCAGTTTTTGTCCTACTAGGATCTTTACCAGTCTCTGTGTCAATCTGCCAAGCATGAATGAAGGACAAAGACTTGTAGTAGAGAATCACCTCAAGCATTCGAACAGAAGCCCATGCATGGCCGTTTTTCACCAAATAGTTTGCTGTTGAGGTTCTCTCTTAGGAAAAAGACACTGGCCACAGTCAGCCACAGTCTTTGGCCGCGCCCCTGAACCCTGGTCCTCCTGTTGTCCTCTTCTTGTCCTCCTCTTGTCCTCCTATCTATGTCCTATCTATGTCCTCCTGCTGTCCTCTGGCCGCGCTGAGTCCTCCCTTGTTCCACAAAGAGTTTAGTGGCCTTGTCTGGTCCTTGTCCGGGCTTTGCCCAGGCCTTGTCCGGGTCTGTCCCGCTTGTCCGCGTTGTCGCCCCTTTTATCACCGCCTTGTCCCAGCCTTATCCCCTGCTTGGCCACGACGCTTTCCCTTTCTCCACCGCCTTGTCCGGGGGTATGTTGTCGTGTGGCTATGCATGCAACAGTGTTGCAGCGCTTGATATCATCCTCGAATTTTCTCATGGCATATATATATATATATATTCCTTCGTGTTTGCACATGTTGCCTTGGGAATAAGGAACTATTGTTTTCTAACATGTTTTGTTTGCATGCCATGCCCAATACAGACGTTACCACAAACATTGGAATTCAAGGAGTTGACGCCCCCAAAAAGTTCTGAAACTGTTTGGGGTCTATGCTGGCATATTTTAGTATCTTTTTTCAGACCCACATGGTCAGATGCGTACTCGTATGTCTCAACGACCCCATCACTCATTCTGCCTACCAGACGTCTTTGGCACGTCCTTCTCTCAGCGTCTTCAAGCGCAGGCTGCCAAAGCCATGGACCTCAATGTCATTATCAGCGCTGGCTGGTCTGCCAGACATGATCCTCTCACCAGTGAGAACAGCAGCATCATCATGACGGGCACACGGCCTCTGAAGGAGAGGGGAACGTGTAGCGAAGCAGATCACCTCATGTCTACTGTCCAGTAGATCAAGTAGCCAAAGACACCTGTGACCTGTGCGCTAGAATGTTCCCAATGTCCAGATGCAGAAAGACAACAGAAAGTCGTTGCAATGCTTTAATGAGGGTATCTCTGATGTACTGAAATGCTACTGGAGGCCCCTCCAGCTTGAAATTCACACTTGAGATGTGAGTAGAAGGTAGACAAATGTCATGGTGCTATGGGCCATGCCCATGTCTACCCTGCTGAGTGTAGCTGTGTCGGATTGAAGACATGCTCAGGAGCTGGATGAGGCCAAGCAGTATGACGTCTATTGCTGGGCTCAGGAGTCCGGAAGCTGCTTCGAAGCTCCAAGCATGTCGATTGGTTGAACAAGATGGCCACAGTCCACTCACCAAATCCAGGATCTTATCACACAAGTCCACACTCTTGATCTTCACTCGGCAGGATGAGGCGAAGACCAACTTCGGGTATCCCCGCCCGCAGTACATGACGCAGGCCTATGTCGGCCTGCACCTCAGTCGGCGCGGCCCGACGCGGCCCGACGGCGACCGCGGTGGACGACGCGGCCGACGTCTGAGGCTCGGACGTGGGAGTCGTGAACGCTCCGAGCGGAGGGAAGACCAGCAAGGCCGGATCGGCTCCAACCTGTGCAGCAAAGGTTCGGGCCGAAGAAATGCCAAGCTCGAGCCGAAAATGCCAGGAAAGTTCCGAAAGGGCTCCAAAGTACCTCTAAAAACGGCTCAGATTTGTCCAAATGAATGTCTCTCATGCATTGGTCATTGGATTTTTTCACCGACTCTTCAGCAACTCTTCACCAGGTCTGGGTTGTGGACTCCACTGCTCCACGGATGCTCTTCGCAGCGTGGGATGCGATTCGAGATGAGGAGACCCTCCAAGTGACGCTGCAGCTGGATGAGCGCCCGACTCAGTGAATGGATGAGCGCTGCATCTCATGGGACGTGTGGACTGACGAACAGTGGTGTTGGTTTTGGGTTCACCACTGAGGCCTTGCAGGTGTTTGTTGTGCAAAGTTTTCTTCTTGAACCATTGTTTTCTATTCCATTCTATTCCCTATGGTGGTTAAGCTGCATCACTGCTTGACACATTCAACAAGGCAGAACATTTGCCCCTTCAGGCCTGGCACGGTCTGGTGCCAAGCTGCTTTGAACGTCTCCACCAGCGGCTTCTGCGCCGAGACGGAGTCCGGAGCCCGGGAACTGCGGACACCGACGAGTTGTGCGAAGATCCAGTATATGAACTGGCAGCTCCTGGAGACCTACTCTCCCTGGAACTAACATGGTTACGTGGAGTTCACCACCCGTTTGTAGTGGATTTCATGGTCTTCCAAACTCGGGGCCAGGCCATCCACTTCCATGAACACCTATGGTTGGAAGAAGTTAGAACATCAAAGAACTGAGGGACATCTAGGGACTTCGGCTGAAGCTCTGAGGCTTCAAGATAGTGATCCTCAAGCGGATTGCTACTATGTCCTTTGGCAGCAAGGGCTCATGGGTTAGGTGTGCTAGATGGACAAGATTTGGCCTCCTTTCGGCAAACATGTAAAGGGCAATTGAGAAAGCCATTCCCTCAGCACATTGTAAACCAGTTCCATGTGGCCAGGGAGGACTTTTCGGCCAAAAGACACCACCTCACATCCAGCTCACATCTAATCACTATACTGTAGGTGAGACTTGCGCCCGCATTGGGAACCAACGAGATTGCGAACCCCACATTGTCCGCAAAAGGCCTGTTGACTCTCGACACCTACACCTACATGGAGAGCTTCCCATGGACCACCCCAAAGGTTTTTCCAAAAGCACCGATGAGTGGAGCTTCGTCGGGATGTGTGAATGTGCAGGGACTGTTGAAGTGCATTTCGACCGTTTCGGGCAGCAAAACGCGCAACAATCGCAACAAGGAAAGCTACATCAAAGGGAACTCCACCGCAGTCTTCCGCAAGGAGGCGCGTTTATTTTTTGGCGTCTTCTTCCGTCATCTTCAGTGCTCATTCGACTCGATGTGAAGACTCCGTGAAGACTTCGAGGTGCCGGAAGCTTTCCGGGACGTGGAGGTGGAGGCGCATGGCAGTGCACTGGTGCACGCAGATGACGTGTTTTGGGAGGTCAAGGATTGGGAGTTCGATTTGGGAGACCTATCTACGTCTATCCGAATTTTGGGAGACTATTCATGACAATTCACGACATGTGTTCACTTCGTGGAGGGCCAATTCGATCCAATTCTGGACATGTCCTGATGTTTGAGCCAAACCTATACTTAGAACATCTTATTGAATCTTATAAATCTATAAATTACAATCTAAAGATGGCAAGTCCACCCTGTTCTACCTCAACGCGCTTCTTTTCGATGGGCGATGCGATATGGCACCTGAAGATGCAAGTCCGTCCTGACAGATCCTGACGGTTGACGACGTCCGATGAGTGGTTCACTTAAGGTGACTCTGGGGTAGTAGCATAGCCCCTTCTCGATCGCCCAAACCTTCACTTGGTGACTCTGGGGCTTTGCTTGAGACCAGCTCGTCCTTCTTTTATACAGCAGTTGTTCTGCAAGAAGAAGGACGAAGGATGGTCTGAAGCCGTCATCTGCCGTCTTCGTTCGCGAGGCTGAACCGCCAGCGAAACCGGGAAACGCACCGGCTCCCCGTCGCGCCGAACGCCCCCCCGCGCCGCCCCGAACCCTCGGGTCGCGCCGCCAGGTGAACCGATTGCCCTCACGAGACGGATCCTTTGCTCCAGTACCGTTGGAGCCCAAGACAGGCCAGATCCGAAGCTGAGCTTTCCAAGCACGGTCTTGAGGTGTCGAAGATAGCAGTAGCACCTCCACGGACCGCAACTTTCGATCTCACACTGGCATTGACGTGGTACGCGCGTTGACATGGTGGTGACATGGTACATCTCCTGTTGTTCCTGGACGTGTTCCACCTCATGGTACGAGAGCTTCATGCATGGTACCATGGTACGTTCCTGGGTTCAATAGTGTTCAATCCGAGGACGCCCCCTTTTCTCTCCATCCTTCAGATGTCTTCAGCAACATGGGGAGAAAAACATGTTTTTTTTTTTTTTTAAACCTGTTCAAACTGCTCAATGAACACCGTGATGGCTTGTGACAGCTTCAGACAGCTTTGATTGGGAGTTCCAATGGCTAATCAGTGCCAATCAGTTTCAGTGGATAAATTATGATAAATGTCGATAATCCATATTCCATATTCAGTACAGACATGTATAGACGCATTTATATTGAATAGTGGATTTTGGACGTTGCCCACAGCTTTTGGCCAGGCTACAAGATCGTTTGCTTTGCTGAAGACGATTGGGTCGAGGAGGTCCAGACTGATGAAACCAGACGGGAGAAAGTGGGAGACGATTTGGTAGGCGCTCGAGCGAAGGGTCCTATAGAGCCTTTCAAGTACTTTGAATGTCCATGATTTTCCTGTGTCTTGTTTCTCTCTCTCTCTCTCTATATATATATATTCTACGGTCAATCTCAACGGCATCTTGTGCACTTCTGAGTTGCCAAATTTTGTTACAGGTCGAAACACACAGATATAATTACAAAGATAAATGTAGACTCTTGATTTAGAAGAGACATTATTCATGTAGGCTCTTGATTTAAGAAAGACAATATGAAGAGGCTTTGCTCCGAATTCTACCGCTCGATGTTCGATGTCCCGTCCGCGAAGCGCGGTGTTTCTTGCGGCGACTTCACTCGGGTTCAGGCTCAGAGCGGTTCGATCAACTTCGTGGCTCCGCTGGTGGCCAACAAGGCTTTCATGAATGCGAGGGGGGAAAGAGCTTGAAAAAGAAAAGCAAAGGACTTTGCTTGTAGGATCTTGTAGGCAAGAGAACATGATCAACATGCAGGCATTAGAAAAATAACAACAACTTGTTTTGGCTTTGGAGCTTTGCGTTGGCACGTGGATGCAAGTGGCGTGGGAGTGTATCCTTTAATGGACGGATTGATTTTGCAATATGATGTGCTTGGGGTCTCTTGGTAGTTTTTACATGGTCACTACCATAGTGTGTAGTACTGCATACTGTATATTTCTGTATCATTCGGAGGATAATTTGGCTGTTTGTATAGATCCAGCCAGCTAGATAGTAAGCAGTTAGACAGACTTCTCTGCGTATACCTTGAATGGCTTCGGGCGGTTTCAAGGCCATTCCCTCACATGCTTTTATCATCATGATGCTTGGTCTTGGTCTTGGTCTTGGTCTTGGTCTTCTTCTTCTTCTTCTTCTTCTTCTTGTTCCTTGCAAATCACCTTCCAGGGTTTTTGCAACTCACCATGGCAGGTGAGTTTGGGCACAGTTCTTCTCTTCACCGAAAGCATCGGCATGGCAACAACGTCTGCTCCTGATGCCTTGACGTATCGCAGGACTCTGCTTGGCACAAGACCATGCAGGTGGAGTATTGTGATCTGAGTATGGTGATTTGGAGTACGGAGATCCTGGCAAGGAGATGTGGGTATAGGAAGCTGATTGTACCCTTTCGCCTCAAGGTATCAACAAAACTTGATTCCCTTCAGCATCCTTCAATCTTACTCTTACTATACAAAGAAATGATCAAACTTTTCTAAATGCATTCATTGGACACGGTTTTCTTCGTTTCCAGCCTGTTGGGTGACCAAACCAACAGGTCGTCCAGGTCGACGGAAATGGGAGCCGGTCGCTGAGGCTGGATCTGACAGCACCAAACCTCACGATCCATAGCACCGCCACCACCGAGGCGGTTGGGGGCGGTTGGGCGGCGAGGTCATTGGCAGAAGCACATTCGGTTGGGTCAAGGTGGTGGCTTTATCAACCCATCAGAGAAGTTAGAGGAAAGAAGTCCTTTTTGATAGGTGAGTCAAGTGAGTCAGTGAGTAAGAGGATAAGAGGTGTGGGCTATCCTCAAGTTCGTGACCATGGGTATCTTCCAAGTCATACAAGTAGTTCATGTTGCGACATTATCCCACCAAATGGCGACCAATGGGCTATCGTTTGGATATTCCATGACGGGGTCATCTTGGTGAACTCATCTCTTTGCCCAAGAGAGCTAGACCTCAAGAGGCTGAGGCCGCGTCTGAGAGCAGCTTCGCGTTCCTCAATCATGCTCACCTCCGACCTCCCAACGCTTATACAATTTCCTCATTTTATTCACGACAAACAAAGGGTCTCGTTCAAAACGTCTCTTTCCTCACCTCCCAACGTTTTATTCCGACCTCCCATGCATTTGAAGCGCTTTTGGAGGGTCCCAAACTTGACTACACACTCACCATCCGAAACCCTCGAGGATGTCATCATGGTCTCCGTCTCCTTGGATGAAGCGGGCACCGTGTGGTGTCGAGCCTTGCGGAAGAACTCTCGAAGTGCATACGAGGCGCGAGTCGTTCGGGCGCGCGCCGCACGCGGGCGCAGGTTGGGCTGGGTGGCCTAGTACCAGGGTGGGATTCAGTTCCAAAAGGTCTTCCAAGCTTAGAATCCCAAGGATTTTTGAAACATGTCTATAGTTGGGATTAAAAGCAACGGAATTGCTACACTCTGCACTCCCTAATCATGGAAATGGATGGCATGACCCCTTGGTTGACCATTTTCCTGTACAAACAGGTGGTTGTCCACTTCCACGTTTCAAGGAGTGTAGATCCAGAAAGGCCTTCGTTGCGCTTTGATTGGAAGGTATATCGGATATCGGTTCATTCAAGCATCCAACTGAACAAAGAGTGCCAAAGACCCATTCTTCTCAAAGACCATTACTTTTGATAGAACCTTTCAAACCTCAAAACTCATCATCATCATCATCATCATCATCATCTCCATTCTCATCTCACCGTTTTCCAGGCAACGGCATTCTCAACTCCATGACTCCAGGCACCGGAAATCGTGGCCACCGGCTTTCTGGTCGAAGTGCAATCCGGCTCAGTGGACCAGGTGGTGTCGCCACGTCGCCGCGTGGGACGGAGTGACACCGGTGTCAGTTGCTGTGAACATCACTGCTGGGATCCTTTTCAGACATGCAAACACACTGTTGGCGAAACGGGGAACATGGACTGAAAAGCAGAATGTTGGAAAACAGTTGCCTGAGAACTGACAGGGGAAGTTGGGACTGGCAGGTGAACATCACTGCTGAGAATGTGAAGGGGGATGCTCTGGCAAGAGGTACCGACTATGAGGCAAGCCGCTACTTCGCCGTCACAACATTTCAGTGGCGTTCGCTGGACGGGGTGGCGCATGCACAGGTTCGCCGATGAAATCGCTTTAGCATCCAGCCACTTTCTTGTGGGATTGAAGGGAGACACCTGGCAAAACAATTGGCCAAAGTCCGATGCATGATACCCGAATTTGGAATGCTTTTTGTTCTCATGAGAGAATACTGAAAGACATATTCAATTCGGGTACGGTCGTCATATTGGATATCACCTTCAGACGTCAGCCGCACTCATCTGGGCGGAGGTCTATTGCTTTGCAAGAGATGTCCTTTGCCTCGGTTGCGATGCTCCCTCTGGATCCAGCACACAGGCAAGGACATGCCGGGCCCAGTTTGGGTGACATGTGGCAAGGTCCGTAGAGCGTTGGAATTGAATACGCAGTTCATCCAGAAATCCAGACACTCTCCGCGAACAAGAAAGCAGCAGTTCCTCTCTGTTTGCTGGTTGTTTCATGATTTTCCCATGTTGGCGGGAAGCGGTGAAGGAACCATGGGCCTATAAATCTTTGGATGTTGGAGAGTCCGGTAGGTAAACCTCCCCCTGTGAGAAGAAAAACATGTGATGTGTTCATGAAGAGCACGATTAGGAACGGTCTTCTTTCAAGCTTTAGCTTTGCTTTAGCTTTGCTTTCACGTGGTTTGATACCCCCAAACATCCTGCAGACATGGTTGAGGGCCGATCTTCGATTGCTGAGGCCATCCAGGCTTCACGGACCTTCGTGCGCACGGCCGACGTCGGGAACCTCGAGCCTCTCGCGCCCTCCGCGTCGCGGCAGCTGCGCCCACCTGCGCCCCCCCGCGGTGCGCGGTCCGAGGCCACTCCACCACGGATCTATGTCATGTACGCCGAGTCCATCAGCCACGACACCATCCAGCCCGAAAGCCCACCATGTCGGTGAAAAAGAGGAGCCTTTTCAAGTTCTATGGGGTCCATCTCAGGGCCTCAGGGTGGCTTACACCAAGCATATGTCGTGTGGAAAAGGTGTTTGCCGTTTGCAGCAAATCAATCTGCTCATGGTTGAGAAATGTTGAGTAGTATAGTACTGATGTGTACTGCTCGACTTACAGACTATAGCCGATGAACGTCTAGCTGCATGGCGCATCCGGCATCTAAGCCCATGTATCGATGAAGTCAACTAGATCATTGGAACCCCGCCCTGCCCGCCCTGCCGTCTTCCCTGCGGGGCGCCATCGCCTTCGCCGACTCGGCGACCCAGGTTGACCCTCCAAATGGACGAGGGCTCCAAGTTGTGGTGTGGGGTGGAGTCCTCAGACCCCACCGGTGGAGCCCGAGACTCCTGAGACCACGTGTGTGGTGGGGTTGGTGTGGTTTGGGTTTGGCTGATCCGTTTTGATTCGAAAAGAACGGGGTCACTGGGGAATCCTCTCCAAACCCCCTGGGGTAGAGTGTGTTTGCAATTTGTACAGGCAAGCATTTGACCGAGCGAGGCTTGGGAAGCGGAGCCGACAGGCGTGTGGGGGAGCGAGCAGGTCAACGTGGGAAGCAGTTGGACCTTAGGAAGGGTCAGAGGATCCAACAATGACACCTTCTGAAAGCTGTTTTTCATGCCTCACCCACTGCGGGAATCTGAAAGATAAGATCTCTTGGCACAGATTCTGATGGTTGGTACAGATCACAATGGGTCATGATCTTCCAGCTTCTGGCCATAGATCTCGGTCCCCCTTCTTGTTGAAAAAAAACGCATGTCCCTGTCCTTGTGGCCACCCACCCGCCCGCGAGGCATGTCCACAGACTTCGAGTCGCTCATCAAAGAGGCGAACTGCAGCGAGAGCCGTGCAGCGAGGCCCTGTGGCAGCTTTTGGATCTACGACTTGGACGATGTCGAGGACGGCGGACGGCGGATGGGTTGCCTGTCTTTGGGAGAAACATGGCACGTGCAGAAGACGCGGCAAATTCTGCTCTGCGTTCCACCGTCATGTTCCACGGCTCCCCGTCATGTATGTGACGTTTGATTGTGTTTGGACGGAATGAAATCATTCCTGGCCGGTGGCCATTCAAGCAGGGCGGGTCATGACATGGAGGGGCACACCGTATTTGCCATTCAAGACATGCATTCGCCTGGAAAGCTCTGCAGAGAGCTAGCGTAGCGGCGTAGCTCTTTCTTTCAGACAGCCATGGTACTGGTTGCCTTCTAAGTTGGTCCATCTGGGAGATCTTTCACTCTACTCCGAATTTATGAACACGTGGAGGGCCGAGTGGATTTGCTCAAATCGAAGTCTGAAGGTGTGTGGTTTTGCTTGCTAATGAACGAAAAGCAGCCTCCCAGTAGGCAACCCGGCAACCCTCATCCAAAATGGTCACTGCATTTAGGTTTGATGTAGATGCCCCGACTCTTGTTACTGCAGTACTCACCAACAGCGCGCCACTGGGTCCACTGGTCCCCATTGGCCCTCCCATCTCCAGGTGTCTTGGGCACAAAGGCTCCATCCATCGAACTCGGCAGGACACCGCTTTGGATGGTGTATCCAGCCTCTCAGACTATGCGGACGCCTATCGGATTGGCCATGATGTAACCTGGCTGTCTGAGCGTGACCACATGTGACAAACGGTGGTTGGAACCGTGCTGATGCAGAATCCGGGAGTTCTTATGTCTGTGAGGAGAAAACGTATGGTTTGGGTCGGAATTTCCTTGTTGCTTCTAGAATGGAAAGAGGTTCCAGGGTCTATCTCCCCATCTCCCGTCCCCTAAATCAGTCCCTCGGTCACCAGAGATTTGGATCATTCACCTGTCTCAACATCTGTTTGGTCATACGATCCACCTTGAACAGGGATCCCTGAGATTTTCCGCCACTGAACCAGGATCAGGCGGCCGACGTGGTTGTTTAGGACGGCCATGTGTTGTTCATTTTCTTTATTGCCGTGGGTGTAGTTCTTTTGTCCATGGTCCATAGCTGCTTGACACTGTGTTTGTGCTGTAGACCCTGAAACCTGGCTGTGTGCAGATGGCTGTAGCAACAAGTTGGTGTGGGGCTTGCGTCACTTCCCAAGTTTTGATATGTTTTGATACGCTGTAACAGTCAGCAACATGTATCCTTCGTGGATCCTTGTGGCAAGGTTCAACTCTCCATCACGGGGCTCAAGGAAAAGACTGACTATGCTTACATCTACTGCTTCGCGGAGGATGATGAAACAGATGGCAGCAGCCCTAGGTTCCAGAGAGACCGTCTGCAGCGGGCAGGGGCAGATCAACTCACTCATGGTCGCGTCACTTCCCAGTGGCCAAAGAAGGAAGCAGATGCCTCACGGACGTCACAGCTATCCCCTCCCACCTGAAACAACCCTAAACCCCGCTTACGCCCTAAGCAAGTCGTGGAGACGTTTTCACTGGTTGCCGTGCTTGCTTGCATTTCTTCGGGACAACAGCCGTGCGCATCACAGGGCGCTCGACCCAGCGACGGTCGCCAGGCCTGGGTTCCTCGCCCAACAAGATGTCCTTCGACGCGACGTCGGCAGCGACGACCGACGCCCGGAGCCTGGTCGCCAGCGTGTCCACGGCCATCGGCGCCGTGCAGACGCTGGACGAGACGCCGCCCAGCTTCACGGAGCTCTCCGTGGTGGATCCCACTGCCGGGGAGCTCGGATGGAAGGACGGGAAGGACGAGGAAGATGGAGGAAGGGAGGAAGTGTAGGGGGGGGGGCAAATGGGGAGGGCGAAGATTAAGACCACTTGGTAGGGAAGTTCTTGACGTCTGAACTTCAGAACTGAGAGGTTTCAACAGGTATAGTTCTAATTCGTGGTAGTTCTAATTGGTGGAGCCGAAATGACAAGATGATAGAGGATGTAAGGAGGTGCTTGACGTCCCAACTTTTGAAGCTTCGCCCGGACCGGGCAGATTCACCTCCTTTCTTCAGCTTCGCTGCCCAAGGCATCCGAAGGAGTCATCGTGGTGAGTTTTGCATTGAATGAGCCGGGGACGGCGTATTGTCGTGCCACGAGGCCGGGAGGGAAGAGATGGGAATGATCGAAGCTGGATCTCGACATACGCGGAGTTCATCCGAACCGAACCGGGGCAACCGCCTCAGCGACTCTCGTTCTTCTCTTTGCCACGATGTCGGCCCCTACATCGAAGCCATCTATCTCGCTTGACCAGGTCGGACTCCGGAGAGACCGGCAGCGAGATGCATCCGAACCGGATCATCGCCGCCGGCTGGTCCGCGGCACAGGGAGGCCCTGGATTCCCGACGGCTAACATCAGCCTGACGCAGCTCCGCAGCGATGTGCCCTACGACGTGCAGCCGGTGGAGATCTACTCATCCACGCAGTATGACGTTTATTGTTGGGCAAAGGCCAAGCGTGGGAAGTTCGGTGTACTTGTGAAGGAATTTGTAGTGGGTGTGAATGGGTGTGATGATTTTGGATAGTTGGGGTTTTGGCTGCGAAGCCTTCGCAATATTTCTTGCATCAATGTAATGTTTTGACATCCCTCGTAAGGTCCCTCGTAGTATTTGGAGTGTTGATACATACGGACACAGATGCGGGTCATTTGATGGCAACACACTTGCATGTGTTGTAATATCAATTCTCAAACACTTGATAATCTTGATAGCAACTCAGCAACTCGATCTGGGGTCAATCCAAATTTTACAAAAAGAGATCGATCCGATTCGAGATCGATCGTTGTTGTGGTTCAGGATGACGCCACCACCACTGCTGGCTTTGATCGCCGGAACTACATGTCACAGAGCTACGTCAGCACCGCAGTAGGAGATCCCATGCTACCCCTGGGAGGCGGGGACGTCATTGATGGGTGGTGGGGCTGGGAAGAAGAACAGTGGAATCTTCGGCTTCTTGGAAAAGTCATGTGGACTCATTGATGATATTTCATGATATTTCACCCCGCAGGCCTGAAGAGGTTTTTCAATTGGTTATTAATCAAGAGTCTACATTAGGGTCCAATTCCAACCAGTGAGCCAGTCGCTGACACTGAACTTCAGGAGCAACACTTGGTGTGTGGGTTGATGACAGCACACCACCTACAATGCGCTTCATATCGGCTGAAGCCATCTCGCGCGATACCATCCAAGTGACGCTGCAACTGGATGAGCCTGGCACCATCTGGCCGCTTGACATCACGCGAAACGGGCAACGCGATGTCTTTTTTCATTCCTTTGAGACTTGGTGTCCATGTCCCAGATCTGATGTCCAGATATCTGATCTTTGGAGCCGCGTGTTCTACGCGGCTCCAGAACCTTGGTTTCGTGGAGGTTTTTTCATGTTTTTTCCCTCTGCCCTTTGGCCCATGCCCCAAGTCTTTCGGCGCCCCTCTGTCTCGATCGGTCGCAGCTCCAAGGTGTGCGGCGGCTGAGCTGGATTCGAGCTCCGAGTTGCAGAACTGCCGAGAGAGCGAGGTGCAGGCGAACGGTGGCTTTTTGGAGAAAGGCGGTGAAGGAGGTTTGGGAGGAAAATGCAAGTCCTGCTAGTAGTGTAGTGACTGTAGTGAGTGATAGTGAGTGTTTGTTTGCGTAGCAGGAAAGTTCTCATCTCTGTTGTGGGGCTAGGGGACTTACATGTTACATGCAACTTTGGTTGCATACAGACTGAAAAGACCTATAATATAGACTCCTGCAGAAAGTGATGCGATGAAACGAAAAGGCCTAACGGATACATTTGATGATTGCCTGCCTGGCACAAAGTTCCACCAGCCTGCAGCAGTCGCCCCCGGAGCCCCTGCAATGGAGTGCTCCAAGCGGGTTTTGTTCACCACTTTTCAGGACACCGAGCCCAACGATGCGATCACGCCGTGCTACTATGAGACCTTCATCAAGGGCAGCTCCAGTGAAAACGTGGTCTTCAGCCATGAAGTACACGACGCTTTCAGAGATGTTGACATTGAAGTGAACAGGAGCACCTTCTTTCCAACCGGCTTCTGAGCATCTGATCTGCTTTGCCACACGACATATTTTTCTTTTGATGATGTTTCAATCTGTTTTTTAATCCGTTTGTGGCAGGGGGTCAACCTTTTGTAGCCTCAATGGTAAAGGACACCTGACTAGAACCTGCGGAACCCTGCGCCTGGTATTTTGACCCATATCCAAGATTTGTGCACGCATGACGAGGGATTCAAGCCTCAGAAACGCCTTGGTGGAAACCTTTTCAGAATGTCTATATATAGTTCGCTCTTTTTCTGAAGCCACGCCACTCGCGCAGGATCTGGCAGCGCGACCGAAATGGCAGCAGCACGCTGCTGTGGCCTGGTTGCCATTAAACTTAAACCATCGAAGCATCGTCGCCGTTGCCGATGGCTGTTGAAAGGAAGTCAATCGGGATGAAGTGGCACATCGAACGTTACAGGGTGACTCATCCTCGTCACACGTCCAGTCGAAACCACAAGTTGTTGGTGACCCTTTTTGTTTCACGCCAAGGCCTGAAACATCATACCGAATCTTCTGCTTTGCAGAGGATAACTGGGTTCGCCTGGCCTGCTTATGAGCGGCACCCAGCTTGCCAAGTTAAAAAGATCACAAACGATCAAATAGCTCAGGTGTGTCTTGTACAAAGAACAAGGGATCGACCCCACTCAGGCGTCGCGCGTTTTCGAGGTCGAAATGTGCTCGAAATGCAGGTTTCAGAGCATTTTCAATAAACGCGCGGCAAATCTCGTTCCACATCTCAAGTTTTTGGCATCACCTTTTCGGGAAGTCGAGCAACGCTTTTGCCAAGTGTTCCACCGGCTCACGCTTTGGCAGATTTCTGTACTGCCAGCTCCTGACACATTGCATCAGGCATGTTTGCAAGTACAAGTAACGTCATCATACACCATCCCAACTACCTTTGGATGATACGTTTTAGGCGACCGTCTGCGACGCCCTCGCGGGGCGGTACCCAAAAACACGCCAAATGTCCATGAGATCCACTGATGCTTGACCATCATTCCTTTCAACCAACCAAAGACTGCCTTGGCAGAACTCATTGTTTTTTTTATCTCCACCTCCAAAAGAACTGCTTAGGGCACGCGAGATGACCGCTTGGGCATCACCGGCATGTCCACCTCCGCCAGGTGTTGAAGACCACCGCCTCAGTGGTGAGTCCCAACTTCGTGGCGCCGAGTTTACCCAACAAGTCGCCAGGGAGCCTGTGGGATCCCGTTTTCAGAGGGTGATCGCGGGGGAGGAGTGGGGTGGGGGAGGAGGTATGAGGTGGAAGTGAAGGTATGGGACCCCAAAAAAAACCCAAAGGACCCTTGGTGGCACGGCCTGGGTTTTTGAAGTTAGGGAGCACATGGCACTCGATGGGATCCACTGAATCTCGGGTGTTGACCACACGGAGAGTCCAGCAATGTCAATTAGGCCATTCAATTCGGAGGACGGTGCGCTGTGCTGTCACGCCTTTTACTGCTTTTGATCCAACACATGTCCTCTTCGGTCTTGAAGTCTAGTGCAGAAGGAAAGCTACGCTCCATTGGCGTCTGTCCAAATCAAGGTGGACGTCTCGTTCAGATCGTAGGAATGGATCGAAGAGGATTGAAGGCTTGGCTTAGGCTCCTGCAGTTTGGAGCATCGGACTTGCTTTGCCTGCCAGCTTAGGCCTTTTTCACAGGTCCAGGAGCTGACAGCAGCAATTGGCACCCGGTGCTGAGCTCAGAGAGTGGCTTCGGGCCAACGAGACGTGCTCGAAGTGTAGCCTCCAACCTAATCCCAATGGTCTCCATCCAAATAGAGATGGCCTCTTGATGCCCGAGGAAGGTCGCGGCCATCATCCACTGTTCAAGAGTAATCGATAGATTGGACCCGCACAAAACAGGTATCCTTGTGGAAAGTCTACGAGGCAGATTGATTCCTGGGATTCTAACATATTTTAACTATACCATGCACCTGTCTACGAGACTATGAGATCGGCTGATGGAATGTCTGGCCACCGGCTATTTTCCCTTCGACGATGAACCGGGTACCCCCATGACGGCATGGCTCCGCCATGCTCCGCCATGCTCCGCCCAGGACGACGCTGGACGAAGATCCTCCAAGCTTCACCTCACTGACCATCCCGTGCCTCGCCGCAAGCGCGAGCCGACAGGGAGGGGGCGTATGTTGGCATTCTTCTAGAGTACATTCCTGATGAATTCTGTATGGTGCCAACTCTGTTTTTCATAGCGCAACATCCTTGATGCCACCTGGTTCAGTATTATAGCATTCCCCAACCTCAACCAACCAATATTTGCAGCTGTTGCCACCTTCGTCATGGTTTTCGGCCATTCTGTCACATGGCTCACATGACTGCAGGCTTCCAAAAGATCGACGAGAAAGCAAAAAAAAACAGAAGGGCGGGTCATGGGGGGTGGGTTTTTGGGTTTTTGCTTTTAGGAATTTTTAGAAGTTTGAAGGAAAGTCTGCTCCAAATAACAGAAGGAAACTACACTTCTGCTCTGTCTACTTCTCTGCTCTGTCTGGTACAAACGTCTGCTTTCTACTTACTCTGGCTGCGTCAAGACCAAAAAAACCAAAAAAACCAAAAAAAACAAAAAAGCCAATCTCTGCCCCAAGATTGTCTGGTCTGCTGTCTTTTGGTTATTCTTTGTTTTTTTTGTTTTTTTTGCTTTCCTGTCTTACACTCCTCTCATCTACATGTATCTGCAAACGCATGGACATGCATTGTCAGCATTATGTCTGTCTTACCTCTCACGCCTTCCGGGGCCACAGTAGTATGCCGACAAGTTGCAGCTAGTTGCAATGTATCTCGCCCTGTCACACTTGCACATGCCCTTGTCCTTCTTTGATACTTGTAGCTTTTGCCGTCCGACCCAGTCCACAGGGTGTCTGAAGCAGCAGCTGAGTACCTCACAGATGCCGGTAAGCAAGCCTATGGTCGCTTCAAGGCCGGAAATCTCGAATTGCCGGAAGACTTTGCTTCACAAGTGCAGATTGAGCAAGACTGGGTGTCTGCACTCATGAAGAAGCGCATTGCTGAACCCGTGCACAACAAAGAAGGATAGGGAAGAGGAGACATGTAGGAAGCGCATTCGTGAGCAGCTCTTTGGTGACACGGAACCCGAGCCCAAACCTTGCATAGCCAAGTTTGTGGAAGTGAAGCAAGAGAAGTTTGAAGACAACCAAAGGAAGTTTTTTGAAAAGTCAGCCAGTTTCAGCCAGAGCCTCAAAAAAAGCACAGGGGTCATTGATTTGGATTCACCCCCCCGCCCATCACCATGCAGGGCAGCCAGTTTGTCACACCAAGCTTTGTCTGCTGATGACCATGATGGCTTTCCACGTGTTGGTGAGCAGGATGACTTGTCTGTGGGCGTGGAGGGTGACATGGAGGTGATGGGTGAAGACGTGGCGAATGACCTTTAAGATCTTCAGCTGCCGCCTTGCGATGTGTCGTGCCGCAGGACTTCTGAGAGCTCTGGTGTACAGGCCTGTTGGGGGACAATTGTCTGCAATTGCTGTATGTGTAGGCCGGTACGGAACAGTGTCTGCTTGATGAGAAAAGATACAGGTGCATGAGTTTTGCAATCTGCAATGTCTACAGTTTGTAACTCCTCTGTTCTTCTTTGCCCCAAATACAGGTATGTAAGCTCCACCTCTTCCATGTTTAAACAACTTCAGTTTGAAGCCTGTGTGTTCCTCTTTGCTGCTGACATGTGGGATGTCAATGCTAGCTTCTGCATGTGTAGCATTTCAGGTTCGTAGGTCTTGTGCTTCAAGTCTTTGCGCATTAGCATGCCGGCCCAGCTCATGAAGAAGATATGCGGCAGTGTGTTTGTGGCCACCGCTCCTTTTCGCTTGGTCATGAGATCGATGCAGTGGTCTACACCTTGGCTGGCTCATCCTCTGTGACAGTGAAAACTATGAGGTGCAATGGTTTTGGTTGCCGAACCACATTTGGCCCAAATTTCTTCATCGACCAAGGGAAGAAGGTGAACACGGCTTGCCCCGACGATGTGGCAGAGGTGCTCTTTATCAGTCCTAAGGTTGGCTTCCACATCGATTACCTCAAGTACCATGCGGGTCTTCAATTCCGCGGCTTTTTGACAGACAGAGCCGTTGAAGATGTGTACAGTGACACTTTCGGTCATGAACATCACTCTGGCTGGTTCCGCGAAATGCATGCAGATGCCATTCTGTATTGGCTTGCGTTATGTGAGCTTCACCCTCTGGGGCTTCATGAAGGTCTCATTATTGGTGCGGAGATTTCCGAGGATGCTTTGAAGAAGTATGACGAGTACCTCCACAAGCATGTCTTTCCACCTCGCAAAAAGTCGTCCATCACAGAGCTGGTGGGCGATGGTCATGCAAAGGTGCACTTGAAATGTGGGCAGGGATATACGCACCAAGGTCGGCCCAGGAAAGATGGCAAGGAGAAGCCGTACGGCCACGGATGGTTCATGCTTGTGAACCCCAAGAACCTATGCATTGTCAGCGTGGCTCCCATGCACAAGCCAGAGAACGGCGCCGTTGTGGAAACATCCTTGTTGAAGGTACTTCCTACCTACCCAAAGCTCGATGGCTTTGTCATGGACCGTGTGTGCGGCTTCAAGCTATCTTCCAAGGGAGCTGCCGCATGCACACAGATCAAGTACTGGGCCGTTGATAAATTCCACGCATATGGGCACAAGAAATCGTGCAAATGCAATCCACGCTTTGTCAAGAGGCTTTCCAGGAGGTTTGCTAAGACCAACACTGCCGCCTGTAAACAGGTCTTTTCGTGGTTCAGAAACTATGCACGAGTACTCAATGAGAGTCGCCCATGTCGGCACCAGTTCAAGGTCTTGCTGTATGCTAAGATGCACAATGAGGCGATCACACGCAAGAAGGCATCCTACCTGAACAAGTTCACCGTCCAAACGAAAGTCAAGGGCAAATCCTATGCGTGCACCAAGAAGCCGGCTGCCAAGAAGTGACCTGCGCTACTTCATGCTTTGGTAAGCAATGGGAGGTCCAGTCTGAAAGAGCTCCGGTGTAGTATAGCCTGGCTATCCTTTGGGTAGAAACTATGTGTAGTTCTGGTCTGGATAGACTGTGCGCTGTATAGCAGAAGATTGACTGAAAAGATTGCTGCTTTGTTGGCTCTCTGTGTTTCCTGCAACTTCAACATCCACATACACACACATAGGCCCATCTGCTTTAATACTTCTGCAACTTCTTCCTGAACCTCTAGTGCTGCAAGTACTGTCTGCTCATTATTTAGCCTCTGAGTCCTGCCGCACAACTTCATGGGAATGCTATCTGGAGAGTCTTTCTGCAATGCCATACTTCACATCATCAAATACACCTTTCATCACAATCCTCAAAAACCCACCCCCCCCTCACCCGCCGCTCTCAAAAAATAAGGTGTTGACCAGCCAAACCAACTGTCTATCAAATATAGTCTTTTTCCCGCTATGGTTGGCATCATGGGATCATATTGGATCATATAATAATTGGAATTAATTGGAGCTATATGCATCTATGGTTTTCTATCCCTGACATTCATCCCTGCCAATTCTCGACCTCACACTCAGCCAGGAACCCAACGGCCTCCAACGATCGTATCCTGGTGATCTTTGCACTCAACGAGCCGGGCACTGCCTACTGCCGCGCCCGCCGGGTGGACGTGGAGCCGGGAGAAAGCATGCACATCCCGGACATTCTGGCGGCCGGATGGCGGCGCGGCTGCTGTTTTGGGTGGCCTCTGAAATTAAGGAGGAATGGTGAGGCTGTTTGCTATATTGTTGTTGGTTTGGGCCTACAGAAATCAGATAGACCATTATGGACCCGCTCATTTGAGTGACGTAAAGCAGGGACATCTATATATTTGCTAGGAGTGAACACCTCACCCTCTTGATCAAAGACCTTTTGTAGCAGAGAGCCCAGTCCGACGGCACTGCAACTCAAAAAGCATTGTGATTATACGCCGGAGGCGGTTTCTGTGCTTGGAATCATTCAGTCAGTAGACTATCCCCCCAAATTGGGCCAACATGAAAGTGGACGCTTGTAAAGTCATCTTTCAAGGGACCATGTCCACTTCCATGTCGAGTCAGAGTGGACAGTTGTCCTAGTGATCCAAGGTGGGCTTCGTATGATTCCGGCTTGCAGAACATCACCATGACACAGATTTCCAGGCGCTTCTTTTCCCATCTTCGGGGCCAGACGATGTCTTTTGGTTTGTGTTCAACAACTGGGGAGACCGAGACGCGGCCGCGCGGATTGAAGCCTTCAAGCTTTGTCAAGACGTGGAGGCGAACTTTGGTCTCCCAAACAACAGCTGCTACCAAAAGACAGCAGTGGGAACATGGACCTGCAAAGAAAGGCTTGGTCGTTTCCCCCTATTGTGCCCCCCTTTTTTCTCCATGTGAGCCCCACTCAAAGCCTCCGGTATAGAGTCTTGGAGGTAGAAAAGCTGCATCCCACAAGAGGTTTGGGACCGGCAAAGTGGATATCCTTTACATCTACAAGCTTTGGCAGTCTTTACGTCTTCTGCATCGTCTTCTGCATCGTTGAGGCGTAGACGCCACGTGCCAGGCCCGACCCTTCCATTGGTGCTTTGGAGGACGAGACGGCTCCCTTCGATGAACAGCAACAATATGATGTCTTTTGCTGGGCCGATGCCTCAACGACTGGAGCATCCTCCAGGACCTCAGAAAGGGAGATCTGCCTATAGGGAGATCTTCCAAAGACCCCTGGAAGAAGATGAAGAAGGGAAATAGTCCTGAGTCCTAACCCATTGGTTAGAGGTCTCCCTATTAAATTGCACACACAAATCCTCTTCACATCTGGAGAAGCAGGACGAATGGACGGAAACAGAACATGAACGAAGTCTCACCATGGCCCAGTCTTTCAAGGTTCACTGTCCACGTATCTTCTCTGCAAACGTACATTTGCTTCAAGGCCCATGATGACGCCGTCAATGGAAGGGGCTTGCCGCGCAGAAACGGGCAGACGGAGGACTATGCCAGGGCCTCAGAGGATCAAAGGGGCTTGCTTGCCGTGGCAGACTCAAAGAAGCGCCTCTGTTGACTTGTGGAGTTTTCATGGGGAAGCATTGAACAAATGCCTGAGGGAGCTAGGTTCATGCCCTTATGAAGCATTTGCAGCATTTGGATGCTTTTGGTTGACCAGCACCTAGAAGGACTGAGCAAGTCCTTGAAATCAGTCCCTGTGGGGAGAAGGACTGCAGCGAGATTCAGTGGATCGAAGGGTGTTGCTTGTCGCTGGAGTCGCTTGAGCCGCTTGTCGCTGGAGCCGCTGAAGGTCAACCATGCTGTCGGTCAGACGAAGACTTCGAACAGCTCTTTGCCGGGCGGAAAGACTTCAGGACAGGGGATCAGAGCTCTGATGCGGTGCGCAATGACCAGTCTCAAAGGCGTAGCATTCATTGTTCCAAAGCAGAATTGCGCTGGAATTGGATGAGGGTACGCGCAGTTTCATTCCCTCAACATGTCCTCCAACCCGTAGTGGAGGAACACCACAGTTCAGAACCACCGACAGTTTGGACCACCGAGGTTTCAAGACATCCGAAATCCGAAATGGCATTTGTTTCCATTTGTTATTCTGCCTGAAGAGGTGTATGGGTGGTTGACATCACTCCGCCCAGCCTCTTGCTCGTGCAAGCCGAAGCCTTGAGTCGGGCGCTTGGTCTGCTGACTGCTTTGAGTCTTGAAGCTGTTCACTGAAGTCATTTCAAGGACCCAAGGATCTCTCGCTGGTAGCTTTTCAGGTGGGTGCAGTACCACAGCGAAAGGAAGCAAGGAACAATGCACCCACACTTTTGAGCATGAAGACGGGCAAGCCGTTATCCTCCTCGAAAGGATATCCTTCGGCACTTGGTATACCCTTGAATCAAGACAGATGGTCGACCACACTGGGGTTAAAGTGGAACTTTTCCGTGACCAAGTGCACAGAGGTTTTCCTTCACTGGGCATTGAAGGGTTCTCAGAAGAAAGCTGAGGTCCTGGAACCCTCCAGGCACCGGTGGCACGTTCGGGGAAAGCCTTCGGACGGAGACATGTCTTCAGGGTTTGGGGCTTGGTGGGGCATCCTGGGGCACCAGCCTCTTGGCCAATGTTTCCCTGTGAGCCCTGGGTGTTGATGTCACATAAGGGCGCACAACCAGGGGACCGTTCCAAAGCGGTGTGGGACGAAACTCCTGCGGTTTCTGCAAGGTTGTGGCGAGCAACGCCTTTTTTGTGCCCGCTGTGCTGATCACATCTCACGAAAAGCCAAATTTCACCGATCTGGAGCACAGTTTTGTTTTTTGAGATGTGTGAGATGTGTGAGACGTGTGATGGAGAGGGCGCCTGTGCTCACCCATCACAGTTTCTTGTTCTTTCATGTCCTTCTTTCCTCTCCTTCTTTTCACAGGTGCGCCTGCAGCTGGACGAGCCTGGCACCGTCTGGTGTGCCGCGACAGAGGTGCTGTCAGGCACTGTGAACTGCCAAGACAGCGAGCTACAAGAGAACAATCCATTGGCAGCCTGCTACTTCCAGGACAGATGGGTGAATTTTGATGAATTTTGGGAACAGGCAATCTGTTACTATGTTGGAAGTGTTCCTAACTCCTGACCCACCAAATTCATCCAAATTCCATTTTTGACCGAGGGTATCTTGGTCAGTTTGGCGCCCCTGGACAGAGAAAGAATCCCCGGAAGCCTTGTCTACAATTTTCCACTATAAGGGGTGGGGTGCAGTGGCAACTGGATTTTGCATAAACTACTTTGTAGTTTACTTTGTATAATGCAAACTGCGCAGCTTCGACCTCCTCTTTAAGTGCAACAGTTTTTGCAAAAGGTGATTGTTTTTTTCCGGGAGACTCATGGGCCCCCCCCAACCAACTACAGGAGACTCAGGAGACTCATCGACAATATGTTTTGATTTCAACGTCAAACAGACATGCCAAAGACCACTGGTGAGCAAGTATCAGCTGTGTCTCGTGAAGAATTCGGAACTGGACCCGGGACGACCCGGGACCTGCTTTGTGCTGGAGGACTACATCAAAGGCAATCTGAGTTCCAGCTTCCAAGTGGAGGTGCACGAGGTGTGGAAGCGGAGTTGTACCGGCAAGTTGAAGGGCATTGGATGTGTTCACTATGGGACTTGGAACAACCAGAGTGAATTGTGGGGATGGGATGAGCTTTATGGGCTTGGATTTCCTACATTTTCTACTCTTGGAATCATTTACCCAAATGGATGAAGGCTTCGATTGTTCCTTTTGCTTGCTGTCCATGTTTCAAGGATGTTTGATCTGCATGATGCTGTCCGTAGTCTTGGGGAGAAGAACAACATTGCCAAAATGAAGCACTCTGATGCGCTTTGAGATATTTACAACACCTCGGCTTCTCGATTCATGCTTACAAGCGCTGCCAGGCTTTTCAGGATGTTGACGTCGAGGTCAACAGGATCTTGCAGAAAGATATGGCTGGCGATGCCCCGTTAGAGTTGCAGACGACTTACCAAGTCTTTTGCTATGCAGAAGATGATTGGAAGATCCAGGCCGCGCCTTGCAACACGTGGTGTCTGGTGTCTATGAACACGTTCGGACAGCGCAGAACTGCCCAGGCGGACAGTGCAAGCAACTCTGCGGACTATGTGTCTCCAGCAGGCCTGTCTGCAACTAGCAACCCTCACTCCACTAAGTGGGTATGAATTTTGGATTGCACATGCATGCACATAACGCCCGAAGCTTTGCTGGTAGATCAAGGAACCTATGCTGAGAGACAAGCAGTACGAAGTACGAAGAGTGTCCACAACTGGCGACTGCCCAGCCTGGTCAGGTCCACAGGGTAGCAGCCTGCAATCCGTCCAGTCTTTCGCGCAAAGCATGGGACAGTTGTCCACATTGGACGAGGCAGGGCGGGACCTCGCCACCGTCACAAAGGTTTTTTTTGCAGAAGGCTTTTGGTGGGATGCCAGGAGGAAAGAAGATGAAGAACAAAACATCCTGGAATCTCCTATTTAACATCTATACAAATATCAACCTCTTTTTGTGGAACCTTTCTTTTCATGTTCGGTTCCTTTTTGTGAAACCTCAAAGAAAAGATGGATCCTCCCAGCTGTCCAACTCTCCAGCCTAAAGCCCCTCTCTTGGAATCCGTCTGTTTTGCGAAGACGTCACCGTCCGCCGCAGGCGCCTCCCAGCTTCACCGTCCTTGAGATTCAGGACCCCACCGCAGCCGAAGGCATCCTGGTGATTTCCTTCGCGCTCAACGAGGTGGGCGGTGCCCACCATGGTCATTGGGCGTTGCCCTGGTAGCTAGCATTCTTCCCTTGTTACTAGTAGCTTCTTGTTACTAGTAATGCCAGGAGACTAGTAGCTTCTTGCTCCTGGTAGCGATGCCCTTTGTTACCAATAGCGATGCCCTTTTTGGTGTTGAAACGCCTCGTTTCATGCAGGTTGGGACCGCATATTGCAGGGTCACGCGAAGTGATTCTGGTGAGACGGCGGCTGACATGCAGATCAACAGGCGGGGTAGGTCGGGACATTCCTTCCCCGGCGGATTGTGCATGTTTGCCAGGGTTTTGACGGCCAACTGGAACGCAGTCTACGACGGAAGCAGCAACGCGACGATTACCATGAACAACTTGGAGAACGTCAATCCGCTTCTCACGAATCGAGAAGACGAGGTAGCACCCCTGGTTCCAGGGCAGCAGTACGATGTGTATTGTTGGGGAAAGGACCCGCATGTGGGATGTCGCTGGGGATTTTGCAGCCTTTGACGCTACGAGTTGAGGATCGATCTTCAAATCCTTGTGTTTCTTAGTGCATGTTAAGCGGTCACTGGACCTACATCCGATAGGGTGGCTAGTGATGGCTAGTGGATGCTAGTGGTAAAGGATTTGCAACATACCGTACCTTTGCAGAAAGTAAAGAATCCCTGAAACACTCCAGATTCACTGTCTTTGCATTTATCATGAAGCTCCACATAGCATGATCAATGGAGCATCATATTGGAGCATATTGGAGCGTTCTCGGAACGTACCGGATACTTTCATGTAATCTGTGTGTTGCTTCGTCTACTCGTTCTTCTTGGCACGTCTCACTCCTGCGCTTCATCGAACGCCCACACGTGGACCAGTTTTCGCAGCGACAGGACTCAGCGAACACGACCTTCGGGTACTCACGACCGAACTATATGACCTCGGCCTATGTGAGCACGGCCGTGACGTCGCCCACAGCGCCACTGGGGGGATACACCAAAGGCGTTTGGATTGCTGATACGACGCCGCCCAGCATGCTCTTGACCTCCTTGGATGCGCTCTCTGATGCGACTTGGACCAACAAGCTGTTGAAGGGCAAGAGGTTTGGAACACCTGAGTAGCAGCGCAAAGTGGAGCGAAGTTCCACAGATGGTTTCAGAGGTGTTCAGACTATTCTACACTTGTTGCAGTGCTTGTTTGATCCATCCGCACGTACCCATTCCCCGAGCTTTGATTTCACGGCTCAACTCCTTCAATAGCCAAGCTATTGAAGTCCCAGTTGAAGTCCCTTTTACATCCTTTTACATCACTGTAATTCTTTCATGCGACAGATTGAATGATAGGGCTCTTGCAGAACCGTGCAGTTCCGAAGCCGACGACCGGCCGAGGGAAACCCGTGGAAACCGCGGAAACCGATAGGCCACTGGCAGGACCCACCTTTCCTCCCCGGCTGCATGAAGCAAAACAAGCTACACAAAGCAGCTCAGACATCAGGAAGTTTACCATATGCTTTATATACCTATTTGTCGTTGACCTACTATATTTATATTATGAGTCAACATCGCGGCCGCCCCAAAGTTCCGCACTCAGACGCAAATCCTGGTGACCTTACAGCTCGACGAGCCGGGCACCGCCGGAGGCCCCAGAAATGGTGGAGGGATCAGACATAAGATCCACCGATTCCAGGGAAGGATGGAATCATGCTATAAAAAAACATCTTACATCTGTGATCATGCTACGATAGTGAGGTATTCCTTGGGGAGATTCTTCTCCCCTTTCGCCTTCCCAGACCTGCGTCGCCTTCCACCGCCGTGAGGTGACCCTGACAGCTGAGGTCTGGTGTGCTGCAACGGTACCTGACAGTGGCTCCTCCTCCTATTGCCGCCCCAGCGACCTACAGGACACCGACAACACGGCGCAGTGTTACTACGAGGATTACATCAAAGGCCCAACGCGGCGGAGCCTGAACCGTTCGGGCCGACCCCTCGGACGGAGCAGAGTCGACGACACGTCGAACGACGGGAGGCACGGCAGCAGGAGAGGTAGCAAGGAACTTAGGTAAAGATTGAGACATCAATGCCAAAGTATGCAAAGCTACCCTTCTGTGTTTCTGAACGGATGGAATCGGTGTTCTTTCATGTTCTTTCTCATTGTGAATCCAGTGAATCTTGGTAAACCCCCCTGTAGGATTCGGAGGGAGAGATTTGAAGCTCATGTTTGCACAAGTACAGAAATGATGTCACTTAGTTTTTTCCCACAGCTAGATGACCATCCAAGCCGCAGGCAACATTCACCGACCCTGTTTGTCTCATGGCCACTGGGTGTCACCTTTCTCGTGGCCTTGCCGGTGCAGGTTCGGTGGCGCAGGGAACCCGCTTTGAGACACAAGTGCCACAGGCTTATGTGGATGCCGGGCACTCAGAGAGCTGCTGAAAGCTCTGCCAAAAGCTCTGCTCCGCTCTGCCGTTCTTCTACGCCGTTCCTTCGGGGGTCAGAGATGGAGATCGTTGAGATATATTGAGATCATTCCTTTTGGTATTTGTTTGCTTTCGGATTTCTGCGGCGATGAAGGTCGAGGACCAACCATGGCATTTGTGTAACATGTGAGGAAGATTTCAACAAAAATACGGCTGCAACACATGGCACGGAGATTGGTACTCTCACCAAACCAAGATGGCTCAATCTAGAATCCCATTTCCCCTGCCGGGGACCACGTTTGAGAGCCGCCGAACGCGAGGTTTATGTGGAGGTGAACCGCATCGCGCTGGCGACCGGCACCGGGTCGCCACTCCCTGCGGAGTCCTGGCCCCAGAAGAGGCGAAGAGATACACAAGTGAAGCAATGCTAGATGCCAGTGGATGGACATCTGGAACACCAAGGTCAACTGTGTCCATTCTTCTCAGTGCTGCTCACTAGAGTCGATATTTCTTTGGCGTTTGATAAGCATTTCTTTGGCTAGACTTACTTGGGCGACCTAAAGAAGGACCTTGTGCATTTGGCAAGTTGATCGAGCTTCCCAGTTCCAAACTCTACTGCCCGGAAACATGGATCAAGTCTTCAGGCACCGGTCTAACCAGCACCGGCTAAGGACGCAGTTCGTGATGCTGTGTTTTGCCCAAGACAATTGGGACCTCCGTACCCAAGCGGCCTACGCGAATGGTGCTGCCGACAAACTTGAGCTCAGCCGGCTCAGCTGTGGCAATGAAACCCAGGTTTCTGCACGATAATTCTATTCACTTGGGTGTAGCCCATTGCCAGGAACAGTCAGTAAACACATATCACTATTTTAGAGAAAGGTCCACTGTTACTGGTAATGGGATAGACCGAAAGTAGTACGTACCCAAAGTCTACTTTTGTCTAGAAAACCAACCATTTTGTGTGTTCAAGGACCGAGCAATGGATGGAACTGAACTTCACCTCCAGATCCGTTGTGAAGGAAAGAAATTGAAGTTGTCCTTCACATGATGCAGTAAACTGAAGTCAGACCTCACCGGCTTGTTCGCCTTTCTCAATGACATGCCATATGGGATACTTTCCCACGGAGACTCAGCACCTTGGACATGCCTGTTTGAGCGTCCAGGAAGCAAGATGAAGAATACGGTTATTTTTAGCTTTTTGGGGGGTGAACGAACTGAACCAGTGGCAAAAAACCCAGATGAAGCAATTCACTTCTTTTGCTTGCTTGGACCCCCAACTTGGTGTGTCCAGATGTGTTGTTCGTCTTCGTTGTTTCGTGGATGCTCATCGAACGTGGCAGACTGCCAGGTGATGGCTCACCGAACTTTGTAGCTCCTCTGCCAAACAAGGTCACCCTGGCGGAGGCTGGGCGGGCGAAACCGAGCGGTGGCGCGACGTGTTGGGTAAAAGAGCAGGTTTGAGAAGAACGAGAGCCTGGGGCCTGGGAGGGGTGTTGAATTCGTCCAACACGCTCATATCATGCCATATTATTATGGCCTTTGTTTGCCTGAGTTGACTCAGTTAGAGGAGAACAATCCCCAGAATATTGGGTAATTAGGTGATCCCTGATTGTTTCTGCACTTGTTCCGAATCCAACGCTTGAAGGAGTTTGCCAGACCTCCTTTCATCGTCATCTCTGCCGAGGTGAACAGTTTCATCGCAGCCACCGTGGCCTCGGGACAATCGGCCCTGACGTTGGACCTGACTGCGTCCGGGCGCTTAGAAAGGTCAGAAAGATCACTGATTCTGCAGAATGCTTCTTTCTACACACATGTGCATACTTGTGTAGGAGTTGAAGAAAAATGAGCTGAGCTGATCCAGCTGAGCTGATTAATCACACCTTCTTTGCTGGCTTCTACTGTACCAGTAAGGACTGCTTGCGCTTTGTTTAGAGAGAAGTCTCACTATTGCTTTGAGTTGTGTCACAAGAGAAATAGACAGGTGCAGCAACTGGGGGACCAAATCCCAATTGCATCGTTATTAACCACACTAAACACTTTTCCACGCTTTGCATGACACTAATGCAGAACTATGATAGTACATATATTACGCACAGTACGACAAAATCTCTACACTCCCTCTGGAGCGCCCTTCTCAACAATGGCTGCCCTGCTGGCCTCCTGCCAAGGCCAACGGCGACCGCGCGGTCCCTCTACGCACCAACCAGCTCCGAATCGAGCTTGGAAGTGCTCTTCTCCGTGGACGAGGCGTGCTCGGAAGCGATCCGAGGCCGAAGGCGGCAAGTCCCGCAATCAGAGCGGAGGGTCTTTTTGGCATAGCATCGAGTGGAAGATTGATCCATCTTATGTCATCTTATGTCCGCGAAGCAAACATGCATGGCCATCCGCCACTCCACCTGCCCGTCTTACCGTCCTATTCTGTCCCAAGCCAGTTCCTCTGGTGACCCTCCACGCTGAAGGCTTCTACGCTCTACTGTTTGGCGGTGTTCAGTGGCCTCCGACTCAGCCAGAGAGGGCGAAAAAGAAGCGGAGGGACGTGTTGTCTGGATGGATGAGGCCAGCAGGTGTTCATCTCATGCATCTCAATGGATTGAATGGATGGATAGATGGAGATGGATGGATGATCAATCATCCAACTCAATGTGTCAATTGTTTTTCAAATTCGGGGCCCCACGACTTCCAAGTGTGCTTTTTAGCACTCGTGAAAATGTCCGGGCTAGACTCATCCCAAGTACCTATTAACAAACACTCTCCTATTAAAAAGGCACCATGTCGGAAACCCCTAAATTACGGTTTATAGGTGTTTTATTTACCGCCCTTTCAAACCGCTACTAAACGACCAACATGGCCGATTTTGGTGTATTTTTTTCAGAAACAACCCCAACTGCCCACCTCTGTCCACCCTGTCTATCCACCATGACCTTATAAAGGATTTTATACAAAATTATCCTGGGTGACTTTTTGGTTAATCAATTATTCAAGGATCCTCCCACTGACCCTATATTGGACATCCCCAATTTCAGGGACCCCCTATTTAAAAAGAATACACCCGAGTTTTTGTTAATAGGGGGGCCCGTGTTTTTTAGGTGGAGAAGAGTATTTATCCGACTGTGTATACTGTACTATGTTGTACTTAATGAGTTATTCAGATGATCTCCAATGATCCAATGAGGGCGAACCAGATGCGTTTGTTTGAACCTGTCATTCCTTTTCTGGGTTCAGCCTATGAGTCTCCGGCGTTGACTTTTGGAGAACTGGGTGCCCTTAGTGTTTTGAGAATCAGGAACGAAATCATGCATGTCTTAAACTTCTGGATCTTGATGTTGACTGGCACCGGTCCGGAAAGACATTCCATTTGTTTCCATAATGATCATATACCTAGAACCTGATTGACCCTTGTTTTGGAGCCGAAAAATTGTCTTTTCCTTTCAAAACAGAGGTCAAATGGGCTCTAGGTAGTTATTGTATGTTATTAGTCAACTATTCAACAAAGATCCACGTGTGTTTCCAATGTGTGTCACGTGTGTGCGCCCAGGCGAAGCTACACCACACGTGAGCACCGTGGCCATCGAAGGGCAATCGCAAAACTGTCCGGGATACTCGGTGATCGGTGGTGTGGGGACTGGCAGCGATCGGTCTTCGTCACGTCGACACGCATCAGACTCTGTGAGCTTGCGGTGCGGATCATGAACTTTGCGCCACTTGGGTGAAGCAGAAAAGTACCAAGATTCATAAGGGTTAGATCCATCTATTCACGTCCTTTTTTTGAGGCACGAGCCCAAAACCCTCTTTGATGACTTTTTGAGCCTGAAACCCTGCTGGAAGTCCAGGAACACTAGGACCTGTTTCATGTTCAAACAGGCTAGCATGTCAATGAAAGATCAGGAACACCTATGAAAGCCTGTTTCCACCTCTCGAGCAGCAACTATAAGAACATGCAACTGAAGAGGTTCTCGGAGAATGGTCTTCACTCACCTTGCTGAAGGGTTTGACTGTTTAACTCCCTCTGTATCAGTGGCGTGCCACTCGCTCTCACCAGAGGCTCTGCAGCCTCCTTCGATGCTGGAGCTTGCCATTTCCTTATTCTCAGTCTGGCTGAAGCAGACAAAAGAAACTGGAAATCATGGAGGAAGGTGTCAGGTCTTTATTCTTTTGCTTGGCTCGGATGTTTGCCTAGATGCTTCCATTTCCATTACTCGAACTCCATTATGGACATGATTCTCGAGATGCATTCACTGCCAGACTTCTCCAGACTCCCAGACTGCCAGACTTCTGCCATACTCAAAAGACTGTCAAAGAACCCACCAAAGGCGGTCTCCCGCGGTCTCCGGAGAGCTGAGGTTCCGGTCTGATCTTGACACTTCCTGACTTGCTTCGTGGCCAGTCCTACGACGTACATTGTCACTTGGAGGAGAGCTCTCGGACGTCGAGATCCCCGTCTTGCCGTCTTGCGTGAGCTTGACCTCCCTCGTCCGGTGAAGGTCAGTGCTAAGGCACCAAGGAGCGGAGCTACCCCTCTTGGTAGAGGAAAGTCGTCTTCCGAACTCGGAGCCATGCCATCCAGGTAACCATGATTGTTTCAGGGAGTGTGGCTTGAAGAAAGGGACAGTGGAAAGAGGCTCTGTTGTCGATGCTTTATGGGGGGAACTCACTGCAGTCCCCCTTGCAATATCTTCAGATATTAACCGACTCAAGCGCAGAGTCAAAACAGTTCGACTTCTCGTTTCACTCCTTTCGCAGCACTTTTATCGTTTCATGATCCTCACATCGTGCAGGATGACAATATCTATCCTTTGCCCGACGCTCAGTGAGACCCAAAAACGCACACAGACCGCTGCCTTCATCCGACCCTTTCAGCCGGTCAGGGTACCGAACCGGAACGTCCTGCCGCTCCTCACGGCGCAAGTGAACGACCTGACGCCGCCGCAGCTCTCGGTGGTGCGCGCCAGCGCCGCGGAGCCGAATCAGATCACCGTGCAGGGCGGCCCAGGTGGAGAATTGGTCGGGTTTTCTTCAGAATTTCGAACTCAGGACACTTCAAATGGATGAACCAGGTGGGGAGTCCGATGTCTCAAGCACACCGTCACATGTTGTTGCTGTGGCACTCACTTTTGTGGCACTCACTTATGTACAGTGCGCCAGCTGGTCAACGACTTTGGCCAACTGTGTCTTCAGGCACTGTTTGGTGCTTTTCTCCAACAGCCATTGGCCAACTGGTGAGTTCCAGCTGGGTGCGCCGGATCCGGACCTTGAAGACCAGACGCGTCGGTTCGGGACCTGGGTCGGCGTGGGCCTCGGCACGTGGTTGCCTTGGGCGAGGTATTTACTCATGGTGCGGCCTCTAAGACGCTGGTGGGTGACATGGACGTCAACAAGAACTTTGAGGCGAGTGGTTTGGGGTTGGTTTGGGGACGACAAGAGCAAGCAGTTGAGGAATGATGAGATATTCATTTGTGACTTCTGCAAAGTTTCCTTCAGGCACCAAGCCCAAGCACACTGAAGATTTGCCTGTGACTGTCAGGTGTCAGTTGCAGTGCGTGGTACATTGGAACTGCCACTGGATTCAGCACTTCCGGCGAGCTTGGAATCCAGTCAAGCTTGTCAAGCTGGACAGACACTTTCCCTGGAGCATGGATGGGGTTGAATCCCTTTACCCTAGTAGCGTCCTTGCTCCTAGTAGCGATGCCCTTTGCTCCTAGTAGCGTCCTTGCTCCTAGTAGTAAGGCCAGGAGCCCCTAGTAGCTTCCGTTGGATTGGTGAGGCTTGGCTCTTTGCTACAGGTGACCATGAAGGATATTTCTTCATCAAAAAGCTCCCCAAAAGCGCTAAAAACACTTCTTTTCTGAACAATGACCAAGGACCAAAAACGAATTCTCCCCTCTTCACATTCGTGCTCACCATCTTCCTCCTTTTGCAGAAAAAAAAGGGCAGATCCATCCCAAGTTCCGCCATCGCCAGGAGACGGCCTACGAAACCTACTGCGGCGCCGAGGACCGCGCGACGAATCCCGACTGCACCGGCTGCACGGTGCCGAACGTCAATACGCCCGGGCGGCCCAGTGGAGTGGGGCGTCAATCATTGGCACAAGAGCTAGCTTTTCTTTGCTTAATTACAACTAAATGTTCAATGATATATAGTAGTATGAGTATTTGTCACAGCATCTATATATACCCTATGTAAAACAATTTGTAATGACATATAGTATGACATATATACAGGAGGATTGTATGAGAGAGGAGTTCTGCAATGCTGCTTGCTGAGGCTCACTGAAATGGGAGCAGTGAGGGATTCCATCGGTCAGATCATCACTCGTGACGTCGACGCACCAATCTTCGATGTCTTGGGAGTGCCTTGGTCTGAACTGGTTGAAATGGTACGGAAAACAAACAAGACAATTTGTTCTGAAAACGATAGTGCCTTGGTTGCTCTGATTTGTTCTGAATTCAGGCATCAATCATACATCTGACGACATCATTTGATATTGTTCCATGTTTTTCAATATTGCTCTATATACTCGTACTGTCGAACCTCCAAAGAACAAGATTGAATTTGTTCAAACACTTACTCCAACGCAGAAAAGCTTCGTGTTTGCTGTACTATCTGCAGCGATTGATCTATGCCATGAAGAAGTCGGATGAAGAGATGACTGAGCACAGCAGCTGCCAGGTTCGAGGCGTCAGCGATAGTATGCTGACGGTCACCCTGCAACTCAACGAGCCGGGGACGGCCTACTGCGTGGCGCTCAGTCGCGGTCAAGCATGGCGGTGCGAAAAGGTAAGCTCTCTCAGAGAGAGAGAGAGAGAGAGCGGATGAGTGTTCCAGTGGGCCCCCAAATAGATGTGAGCCTCAGAGGAGCTGTGTCCGTCTGAAGGTCGAGCCACACGCACCGATTCCGGTTCCACACATTTGGATGTGTCGCTCATTGTTCAAGCGGGCTACTTGACAGAGAACGACGTGGCAGCCCCAGCACGTCCAGCATTTAGTAAAGCCATCCTGAAGTAGACATAGGCCACTTGGCAAATCCTAATTGATGTGTCTCCATGTTCTTCCTTTCAAACTCTTTGGACCAGTGTTCTTTTCGAAGTCCTTTTCATCCGAAAGATGGACAGTAAAAACGCAATGACTCCGTATATCGGATCCTGCTCCTTTTTAGCCTGAGGGCTCGTCCACCTCATCCATCGACATCAACAAGCTTCGCAATCATGTGGATGAGCCACTCTTGACGGAGGGCACGGCCTACGATGTCTACTGCTGGGCCAAGGTCGGCGCGCATGGCGGAAGAAATGAACATGCTGGAGATATCCGGATGTTGGATGGTGGGTCTGAACTTTGGGAGTTGATCCAGATGTCATTGTCTCGTTTGCAAGGTCGGGTTAGAATTTGGAGTAGAATGGAATGTAGGAACATGGCACATGGCACTATACAATTGACCGATTTTTGTTGAATGTGTATTGGAATCGAAAGATGTCATTGCTATGGGACGTCCTCATTCACCAATTGAGTGGTTGCCAAACCCAGGACAGTGCACAAGTGCACGCCTGTCGTCCCAGCGGATCCTCTGTGGCTTGCAGCTTCGAGGCTTCTTCGCACGTGTTGACGCGGGTACTTCGATGCACTTCGACGATCGTTCATTGTACTTCACCGATCGAGCAATTTATGACGCAACATTTTCAACAAGGTTGATCACCCACATAAGACCCTTAAGTATGGTTTGTTCTGGTTGCACCTGCTCACACTATCCGTTTTCGATGGCCTTTTTCTAGATGCTGTTGGGGGCTCCGTGACATGCAATTGTGAATTTTCTTTCCTTGAACAATTATCTCAGACGCTGTTGTTTCAGGCAAAAAGAACGCAATTGCATCGGACATTGGGCATACAAAGCTTCCACCTCCACCATGCACCTTTTAGATGAGAGGCATGTACCAGCTCACTTTAGTCGCGACTCCTGGGGCGAAGCGGCCTTGGTTTCAACAGACGTCAGCTAGTCTGAGCGAAGACAGCGCCGGCCATCACCATGTTGCCAGATTGCTTTCGTTGAACCCTCGAGGTCATTTCAAGGCTCTCTGACGCTGATGTTTGTCCACACTCTTTTGGATCAGGGAAGACTTGAAGCCATCCGAAACCTTAAACCAAGACCCCATCAGAGGATTTGCATCTCTTGGTCTTCTGGTGTCAGCATCAAACCATCCAGAACCTGTGATTCCAACCTTGGGCGTCGCAGGATGCTCCGAACTACATGGCCCGGTACCTCAGAATTCCTCCAGAGACGCTGGAGGTCTCACAAAATTCGGCAAAGACTGGCACAGAGAGACTGTGTGCAGCACACCGTCTCCCTATGGGAGGTCCAGAGCTACGTGGAGACCCGCTTCGCGGAGCTGGTGCATGCACCAGATCTCGCTAGCGTGGCCAATGGTGGCCTGGTGGACATGGCCGGGAAGCTCAGGATGCCACTGGGTGTAAGAATCTAGTACGACCACCTCCAAAAAGGGCCTATTCTGAGTCGTTCTGAGTCTGGTGGACGTGTGCGAATCACACCTGGAATTCAGACGTGGGAGGTGAATATCCAATTTTTTTGCCCATTACATCACATACTTTCCCTTCTACTTGGTCCCCCTCTTCTAAGGCAAGCGCAACTGGAGATGGACGTTTTTCCCAACACAACCGGTGGTGAACTGGGTCCATGTTCGCTTCGGGGGTTGACTTTTTTGGCAGTTCTGGGAGGCTGTGGTGTCTCAACTTACCGAGTGTGTAAGCAGCAGCCACAAAGGATGGTAGTAGTCGACAAAACAGCATAGACCCATAGAAACACTGCTCATTCATGTAGTGGGGACTGGAATCCATCGTGTTATACATATATGGTATATAATATAGAGTTGCGTACACACAGTGCTAATGTCGTAGCCCAAGAGTTTGAGTCGTAGCATCGAATGAAAGGATGGTGTTGTGAAAATCGGCAGCAAGGCACCATGTCGTCAGGGGGGAACGATCGGCGAACGATGCACACAGACACTTCATCCATCTGCATCCAAGGCGAGCGTGATAGAAACATTTGGAGAAGATCCTCCATTAACATCCCACATCTGGATAAGTTGTTGTATCCAGATGCTCAGAGGTTGTTATCTTCATCCATCTTCATCCAAGTATCATCACTTGGAGACCCTTTTCCCAGAGCTGCCCTTGCCGATCGTATCTGTCACTTTCGCCACCATCACTTCTCGTCGTGTCATGTGGCCGTGAGGTTCGGACCTGGGACATCACGCCACCAGTCTTGGCGGTCATTGAGGTGGAGAGTCGCAGCGAGGACGGAGTCGACGACATCCTTAGGCTTCGGCGCCCAGCGTTGGTTTTATAGTACATACTGAAGAGCCGTTGTTTTACTTGGGATTCTGCACTACAACACCAGCTCAACCTTTTTGAAAAGGGTCTTTGACGGCTAGGGTACTGGTAGGATTTGCTAGACATACCAGGTGTGGTTTCAGGACTATATATTTTGGATGGTGCAGGCGTTCTTCAGTAGAGTGCCAAAGGTGAGTACAGTAGATGAAACTAGCTGAACTACCTCGCTGTTCAGGATTACTGGTTTATGGGCTACTTAGTGTTCATATGTTTTCACTGCTCGGTAGATACCTCAGGCAGTGGAACACGGCCAAACAAGGCTGCTCATGTCTTAGCTCGTGCAAGGACTCCATCACTGTGACCTTGCAGCTGGACGAGCCGGGCACTGCGTATTGTTCCTTGGGCCAATGACATGGGACGGGGTTGCAAGAATCAGGGGCCTCCTATTTAACTATTGTTTCTTTTTTCCAGCACGGGATCAACGATGGGGAAACGCACAACAACAGAAAACCGTTGAGATTAGGAAACTTCCTATAAATCTAGATGAGCGAAGAACATCACTGGACCACTTTCAGTATTTAAATGTACCATCTCTTTAAACATATCGTTTGAATTCCTACTTTGGCCAAGTGAGGAACGTCTTTTTGACAATCGTTCATGATTCTCAGCGAAGTAGCCGGTTGCTTCGTAGGGATCCATTCCTTTTCTAACAAGCCGCACTATTTGAGGTCTGAGGTTCCTCATCCTTCTCAATCCTCAGTATAAAAGAGTTTCTTCTGATCTTGGCCTCAAAACTCATGCCAGTTTTGCTGGAGGTGCTGCATATCAGGTGGACCCTGGAGCCAACGTCACCTTCGCCGATGTCTTCGCTGCGACGGGCGGACCCTTTAGGCAGGTGGGACCGGGGTGGCACCGGGGTGGCACCGGGGTGGCCGGGTGGAGAGGAGAAGGTTTGGTGAGTTCATCTGCGTGGAAATGGGGCACAGGTCATTCTCCTTGGGAGAGCACATGTTCTCCTAGACAGTGAAACGTCTTCTGGTGTGTATATATATATATAACTGGTAGCTGACTACCTGGTGATGAACTGACACGATATGCCGATGTTTTGGAAGTCACATGATACCTGCATCATCCTGCATCCCCCCTTCCCTCCACGTCTTGCTGTCCCCATCTTCCCTGCCTTCGAACCGACCGCGCCCAGCTTCGACATCCCCTCGGACTCGGCGCTGCGGAGCTTCTCGGCGTCGGCCTTCCGGAACTTTCAGATCACGGTCACCGGCCTGGCGCGCGAGGCGCGCGCAGCGCCCGGGGATCGCGCCGGCACCCGGCGGTGTTTCGTTTGGCGTCTGGATCCACATGTGCGCTGACAAGGTGATTGGAGACACTGTTATGTAGGTTTGGAGGGTCCAAGTTACATTTCGAGAATGTACTTGGATCCCTACTAGGGTGTTTTTTTCCTCGTGACCCGACGTGTATCGGGGGGGGTCGGTGTGGGTACCTGGTGGCCCCGTTTGGTGGGGGCTGGTGTTCAGGCGTTGCGCGAGTATGTGCCATTTCTCTCTTCCAGTGCTACTTCGTTTTGAAGTCCACCAAAATTATGCGGCGTGAAGGGTAGAGTTGGGGACTTGAGCCGCAAGTGCAGAGGTCCAAGTGGTTCAGGTGCTTTGCAGGAGGCTTACCTCATTATTAACTGGCAGGAACCGACTTGTTGGAGCAATCGATTCTCAGATGATTCCTCGTATGCCTGCACTCACCCATTTCACGAACAACATCAGACCGTCGAACTCCATACCCCGACACTCCAGTCATAATATGGCATGTTCACGTTACATTGGGGTGGCTTCAAGATCTTCAAGGGATCAATGTAACTTTTGCGCATGATTGTCAAACAAATCTATTTCTTTTTCTTCCGATATACATATGAGTCTTTGGGACTCATGTTGCTCCCAAAGGGTCCACCCACTTCCACCCCCTTTCTTCGACGCGCGACGCGAGGTGCTGTACTACGTCTACTGCGCAGCGGAGGACGATGAGTTCGAAGACGGCTGCTTCCAGCGGAACAGCACCGAAAGTCCCACCTGCGGCAACAACGAGGCGAGACTCCAGTCAAGTCGAGCGAGACGTGATAGAGTGGGTCGCGCGAGGAGCTGGATGCTGACTTCACACCGTAATTAGGTTGGGATAGAGATGGATAGAGTCATATTATATAGTAGGTAGAAAAACCAGCTCAGCACGCTGAATGTGATCTGAAGTTTCTTTAGAGCATGTTAGAGCAGTTCAGCGTGTTTGCCTTCGATGAGGCACCTGCATCTCCAGTTATGTCAAGTTATGCCGCCTGATGCGAAATTGAACACACGGACCCAGTGAAGCTCCAAAGCCGTACTCCCATCGCCAACCCAGATCGACGTGTTCGAACAGAATTGAATCCTATACTTGTAGAGGATGAAGAGTCAACATCAGCGAACAAAGTTAGTTGGTCCATGACTCTTTATCCATTCAAATTCACAACGCTCATATGATTAGATGATATTACTAGTACGTTGGTCCATTGTTGCTTCCCCTCTGCCATATTCAATTCAAAAACCGGTCGACCGGGGTTCACTGTTTTGGCGATCGTGACCAGGGCAGCCCGGTGCTCACTGAAGCCACTGGCAGGCACTCTGATTTTTTCACCTGACGTACACGTGATAGTACTTGTGCATGAATGTCTCAGGTGATATTGCACTCTTTTTGAAGCAGGAAGTGTGCATAGACATCCCAATAATCATCCAGTCTTTGAGACATGTCTCCACTGAGTTCGAATCCCCTTCTTCCCTTTTTTTGGAAGACTACAGAAGACTAGATCCTACCGTATTTCTACAAGGGATACAGGATACCGTATTTGTCTTCTATATGTGATTCTTGTTGATTCATGACCAAATTTCAGGAACCCTCAAACCAAAACCACAGCTCCCTTTGAAATCGGGGACCAGGTTCGATCATGTCTTTGATCTGTTTTTAATGACGCTGTCCAGCACGCGAAGAACCCGAAAGCCCACAGCCGGCTCGAAAACCGTTGTGCAGGGAGGGAAGGGATGCACATCCATCGCAAGTTGGGTCCATTCCCATCGGAAAGGGAACAAAATTCCACTCCCACACTTGGACATGACATTTAGCACGGCCAAGGCCCATCGATCGAAGATCGCATCAATCAGCACAAATGGAAACACCCGGCCAGGTACACCTTGGATTTGACCCCACCAAGCATCACCGTGGTGGATGCGGTGTCCTATACCCAGGCCTGGCCATTGTCCGATCCTTTCGCAGTAGAAGAACACGGCGAGCTGATGTCTGTTTCGATGGCTCCAACGAGTTCGATGCTCTTCTTTTTCGGTGAAGCGACCTGTCAGCCAGGTCCTGGTATTCATTGGTATTCGGATTATTTGGTTTCTACTACCTAACGTTTGACCATGTCTGGTCAACATTCTAGTTGCGATATCAGGATTCTGTGACCGTGACTGTGTCCATGGACGAGGCTGGGTACGTGTGTTTTCTGGGCTAAAGAAGTCATGCAAAATTCCCAGAGTTTTTAAATCTAGTGTGTTTCTTTGGTTATGACCGTGTAAAGCACGTGAGTGTCCAATGCGGCCATGTGTGCGAAGGACATATAATTATTTTGATACAACTTGATGTATAGGGGACACAAACTCAACAGCAGACAGATAAAGCCGTGTTGGTTGCATGATGATGAGTTTGCTTCAGAACAAGAGGTGTCTTGAACGCAAGCCTTAGAGACATCCACTAACAGTGTGCATTGATCTCTTTCAGGCCGGAACCGTGTGGTGTACGGCGGTCCTGGACTTGCAACCACCGCCAAGCATCAGCCAAATCGTGACATGGCAGAATCGCATGCTTCGCTTAGCAGCAACAGGCATGGCATGGTCTAAAGGGAAGAACGGTGAAAACGAGAAAGACGTGGTGGATTGGCCGGATGTCCCACTTGACATGATAGACAGGCACTCAGTCCCAAAAAACCTGGATGTTGTTGCCACTGATGATGTTCTGTTTGCCAGTTTCATCAGAAACAACATTGCGCGTTGCCACAAGTGCAATGCCCGAGGTAGCCTTGGGCTTCAAGTCCCCAGCACTTGCAGGGCTCCTAGTTCGAGGGCCGTTTTGCCAAGATGTTCTATCACTTTGCAGAAGAACCCCACAACTGGAGTCAAGCACTTTAAGCAGTGTACCGTGTCACAGCCATTAGCAGAAATTGAAAAGAAGTTCTTGATAACTCTTCACAGAAAGGCGATACTGACAGATGAATACCTACAGTTACTGAGAGAAAAGGTACACTCCCACAAACACATCACATGGACGTGGAGTTCACCCTCTGCTTGTAGAGCTATATCAATGAGTCTTTCTGGGGCCTATGCCATCCACTTCCATGTTAGTGGGTCAGTGTACCCAATCGCTTGGGTAGTTCCTGAGAATCACTCCAGAATCGGCTGCGGCGCGAGGCCGGATCCACCGATGTGGTCATTCAGGGGCTCAACAGGCGAAGGGAACCAGGAAAAAGATGTCATTCTGACGGTTTTGGGGTCAAGTGTACATCACCTGATACCGCAGGGACACGGAGTATGACGTCTATTGCTTCGTTCAGAACTGAGAACGTTCGGGAGCTGTGTGAGCTTCCTTTAGATTGCGGTGTGCTTCGTCTTTGAACGACAGGGTTCAAGTGGCAAGCACGAGATTCATCCCTAGTCTCCATGAACAGCTGTTCCTTCAACTTTTGGCATTCAACATAGTATACAGCCGCAATTACAGGGATATTGCAGATAAACAGTGTCTTTTGGGATGGATGATCCGTCTTATGTATTAAGGCACAAGACGATGGTACCATGTCTGCTCAGAACAGCAGCTTGGAAGTCCGATTGTCGAAGAAGAACGCCATTGGGTGACCCGGCATGAAGTGGAATTTCCACTTGCAGGGTTGATGCAGCCACTGGGGGGCACATGGTCCTAGAGTGCTGGGATTCCATGGATCTATGGAATGAAATTGGACATGTCAGTTCATGTCCTTCTCCCTAGACCCTAGGAAATTGGAAATATTCGGAATGAAATCGGACATGTCCTAGTTTGCAGTTCATGTCCAGCTCCCTAGACTGAGCCAATAGGGAATCCAGGATGCGAATTGGCCTTCACGGAGCAACGAACTGTCGGATCAAGTGGATGTCTCGCTACTGCTCTAGTCACCGTATTCGGCGAACATGGATAGTTCTATACATTAGTCTCATACACTGCTTACATCAGTCAGGTAGTCCACTAGGCACTGCAGTTGCTTTTGCCATCAGAGTCTCCATGCGTTCTTGCAACATGCTGGCAAGGAGCACTTGATGTCACCTCACCCCCACTCCCACTTCTAAATGTGCCAGGTACACAGAGATGGTGGCCACCAAAATGGATGCGCACGTGATCTACGATTCAACTGCACCACTTCTGGTGAGCACCACTCCAGTTCACAATGCAGCTGGCGTGTGTGCCTGAGTGCCATGAGCTCCAAAACGCACGCACGCACGTGAACGCACGCTCATCACCGATGGGATGTGCTTTCCCACCTCTTCACACCACCACCGCGCCCAGCCCGTTGCGTTGCGTAGAGTTGAGCACTAAGACCGTTCTTCGTCCCCAGGTGGCCGAGCTGGTGAACATCTCCCTGACCTTCGATGAAGACATCCAGGAGCGACCTGAGCGAGCGTCAGATGGTTCGGACATCGGGTGCCTGATCCTTGACGGTTACGGGCCGGACGACTCAAAGCCAAACCCATTTGGCCAATTATGATCAATTACGGTTTGGATGACAACTGCAACATGGCGCAACATGTATCTGTATCAAGTCAGTGTGTGTCAATAACGTAAAATGCTACCGACGTTCGTTGCCAGTGCAATTCATACTAGGAGACGCCATATTCGATGTTCTTGTGTTACATTCAGCAGATTGATTAACACAGACCAGGAACAAGAAGCTACCAGGAACAGAGGGCATCGCTACTAGGAGCAAGAAGCTACTAGTAGCTCCTGGCACTACTACTAGTAGCAAGAATGCTACTAGTAGCACATCTCCATACGACCCGTGGAGATGGCAGCCGTCTCGTGGTGACGTGCCAGGCCGGAAATGGCACTGTGCAGATCCTGGGCACTGGAACTGTCCGGGGGCCCCGTTGGGTGCGGTGTTTGACCAGCTTGAGATAGCTTGGGTAGAAATCCATCTTATTTGCAGTTTCCATTCCAAGATATGACAGAGTGGAGCCTCAAATTCTGAGAAATGAAGGGAGAGATTGCATGTCAGTTGGAGGAAAGCGCTCTGAACAGTTCTTGTTATCAGACAGCCTAAAGGATCTCCCCAATCTCCTGGTATGTTATGTTGCTGTGTTTTGCATATTCCAGATGCCGCTGATGCTGCATGTCTTTCTTGAGCAGTCATCGGATTTCCGTGCCTTTTCCATCCCCAGATGTGAAAGTGTGAGCCAAAAACACCGGCCCGGTGCGTTTGACAGGTTTTGAACTCCCGAACTGGTGCCCAATAAGTGGTTGAAACAATAGCTTCTTGGACCACAAACAATTTATGTGATGTTGGATGCTCTGATGCTCTATTTGAGCCGGTGGGTCCAAACCCGGATTGTCTATTAGACCTCCCTCCAGTTGTCTATTCTGTTTGGTTTCTGTGATCAACCAAGGTCCCCCCGGGAAGGACTCAACCTGCAAGGTCTCCATCGATGTCTCCGAGCTGGTCATCTGGAACAACGTGGCCAGCATCGTGCGGCGCCGAGTACGCTCGGAGATGTTCACTGTATGGGGCTGAAGTGGATGGGAAGATGTAGAGTCTAGAGTCTAGAGCATATATATATATATATGTTTGTTTTAAAGCATATTCTGTGACTGACTATGGGATCTATGCTGGGTCTTGAGCAGGTGCTTGGGGTGGGTTTTGAAAGTCAAGCTCACGGCAAGAGGATCTAATCACATTACGGGAAGACGTTCATGAGGACGTTCAAGCCAGATTCCTAAGCGTTGGATTGGGTCCAGAAAGGTTACTGCTTTCGGGTGTGTTGGTGTGATGCAACGCATCTACCCATCGCAGCTTGGACCGACCAATCGGACCAATCCCCGAGAAACAACACACAAACACCGAGCCCATCAAGAACCACCTGGGACTTTTGTTCTGCTCTTTCTGGGCTCCCAAACCCAATGTCCTCTCAGGATTTCTAGACGTTTTAGACCTCCAAGAATCACCCACCGGGGTCCCTGCCTGCTCGGCTCAGCCTGGCTCGGTGCACGGCGGCCTCAGCAGCGGATCCTGGCGGATCTCGGTGCCGTCGGGCGCTCTGCAAGACCTCGCAGGCGCGCAAGCCGCGGGAAACCGCCCCACAGCAGCGGCACATGGAGGGACCTACTGAGTCTTTGTATGCCTTCGTGTATGTAATTCATGTATAGTAATTCTTGGTTGACTGTGCCTTGAATCAGGTGAAAGCGGTTTGAGAGGATTGGTTTTTAGGGAGTCTTGATGAACTTAGTGAACGACGCAAGCTTGTGTGAGATTTTGATGGCTGTGCATGTAACGCCGGCACCATCGGTGGTGAGTGATGACCTCTCCCAACTTCCCTCTTAAGCCATCTGCGCCTGGCACCTGCGGATTTTCACCCCCAAGGAATTTTTGACTCCACAGTTTTTTCGTGAAAAAAGCTAACTGCGCAGTTTTTGGACGTCGACGCAGATCAGCCTGCCTGATCAAATTGGCGACACGGGGAGCGGCACACGGGAACACCGCCTCCTGTGCTCAGGCAATTCCTTCGCAGGCATTCCAGACGGATCATATAGCTTGCAGGTGTGAGATCACAAACTTGTGCGAGGACCCAGTGAGGACCCAGTTTCTGCATTCTAAAAGTGGGGTGGGGGTCAAGATTTGAAGCAACGTAGTAGTTGGTCATTTGCAATTAGACATCGGGACAATCACTTAACTACTGTAATTAGCGTTGCATAGCGTTACTGGTTGCAAAAAAGGGGAAGACCCATGTCCTTTCATCATTGCTCGACTCAAGTGCCAACGCATATTTCAACTTGAGCTTCTGAGGTAGGTGACGATGACGAAGAACGATACACAGACGAGGAGACCGACTTATATCGATTATAACCGCTCTGCCGGCATGTAGGTCTTTGCAAGTGGTCATGCGCGTGGTAGTTATACAAGATATCACAAGACCTACTTTTGTGTGGCTCCCTATGGGGCAAAATGACAAGATAGTGCTCTTGAACTGTTTTTTTTGTTTTCGACGCCCCCCACGTTCCATTGTCCGCCGAACCCGCAGGGATGACGAGGGGGGACCACTTTGTCACAAGGAGGCAATGGAGTTGTGCAGTGCAGGGAAGTTGCTTCATGTCATGTCTCCCAGCGATGGTTTTATGGATAATCTGCAGGAAACCCACAGTTTGGTGAAAACAAGCAGGTGTTTCCCTTGCACGAATCGATTGAATGTCTCTTTTGAGACTATGGATTGCATTAGCTTGAGCTGTTCTTGCGTCACCGGATGGTCTTTTAGGCCAGGATTTGGGAAGAAGAAACAAGGATTGCATTACTGGCTTTGTAAAAACAGTAATATCATCTCAGCACTCTCACTGCTGCTCCATCCAAGAGATTCAGTTGTTCTCCTAGTCTCCTCATCAACTATTAATAGATTAACTGTTTGGACTCAGATGACTTCACCAATAAGGGAAACCCTTGACCCAATCAAAAGCCAGAGGTCCGATACGTCCAGTGGCAGTTCATTCGGTCAAGAAACTGGAGCTTTTCAACTACAGAACTTATAACTTATAGTAATATAGACTTGTATGTACCAGCTTCTTCAAAGTGACCTTTGATTTCCTAAGTGACCCTTAAACAGGGCCTAAGCCACCGAACCAACTGGGAGCTCAGTGTGGGTCACTTTGAAGAACCCCATGATTTCCCATCCCCAGTCGGCCCAGAGACCGGGGGGTCTTGTTCCGAATTCGTTCCGAAAAGGCCGTGGAGGACACGAAGATCGCAGAACAGCTGAGCTCGCGGAGGGCCCGTGTGGCCAATTGCTTCATGTTGTCTCTCTCGGCGTGTCGCTCGAAAAGAGGCGGACGCCTTAAGGATCGGCAAAGAGACGCGAGACAAAATCGGTGCTGCTGCCGCTGTGACAGTCAGTCTCTATAGATGAAGGTTGTGGAGGTGAACCGTGTTGGAGAAGTATTTAAATCAACGCATGCAAGACCATGTAAGTCACCAGAGCAAATCAGTGCTTGTGTTTGAGAACTGCCCAAACATCCCGCAAGTTCGGATCTTTTGATTCCACAGACCAGCCTCAAACACTTTCAGTTGTTATGCCTCAGTTGGGCTCAACCCGGGAGTATTAACTCATGGTGTGAACGTTGTACCGGGCCGGACTTCGATCCGGCCCCCCCGCGCGGAACCGGCACAGGGGACGATGCAGGGATACCTGCCAGTGCCGATGGTCCCCATCGTGCCCATGCAGGTGCCAGGGCAGGTGCCGCAGATGGTGCCGCAGATGGTGCCGATGCAGGTGCCGCAGATGGTGCCGCAGGTGGTGCCGCAGGTGGTGCCGCAGGTGGTGCCCATGAGCGAGGAAGCCTTGCGAGAAGCCGTGCTCTTGGAGACCTTAGCGAGACTTTTGAGGGAGAAGATTGGCACAGCAGGTGGGAGTTATGTGGATCGTTTGGAGATGATCTCATTCTGTTGTTGTGAAAGAAACAGTTCTGAAGCACAAAGGTACCCTAGAGGCCCACCCGATGTCTAGACCAAACCACAGCAGCATTTGACACATCATTAGATGCAACATGATGCAACTTGCTAGAATTGATCCTCTCATTCGATGTTTTGGATTCGCATCCCTGGCTTCCGACAGGGCAGCCGGCTTCAACGCCTCAGCTCGCGTTGCCCGCACCCGTCGACGCGGACTCCAGCGCGGACTCCGGCGCGTTGCCTCCCTGGCGGCAGAAGCCAGAGGATCTACCACCGTCTTCGGTGGAGAAAGTGGAAGCACCGCTGGAAAAGTTCATCCGGGTCTTTAAACTGGATGAGCTGGCGGCGAAATGCCTTTTAAAGCTACAAGATGATGAAGCTGCCTTTGTCATTGAGCCCTGAGCCTAGTGGTTGAAGCACAAGGTTGCATGCTTTGGATGCAAATGTGCTTGGCTTGGCAAAGTCACGGGCCAGTTGATGTTCATGTTCAACGTTAACTTCTTTTGAACCGACCTGACTTGCGGCATACGGCATACGTTCGAATTCAAGCGACCAGCTGATGTGAGCATTCAAACATTGATGGCTGAGGTCATGCCAACATCGGCTGAAGCACGCCAAGAACCCTTCTGCTGTGGTGATGATTGCCATCAAAGGAGTCGCGGCCAAGGTGGGCCGCAGATACTATGGCAGTCGCGAGACGGCCGAAGCTGGTCAAACACAAGCCTCTTCCGAGCTGAAGATGCCTCTCAGCCCGGTGTTCAGGTCGAAGCTTTTGACCAAAAAGAATCCCAAACCGCCTGCTTTTAATGTTCTGTATTCACCCATGTTGTCAACATCAACACGCGACCCAACCCTTGTCACTTCTTCATCATTCTTCACCTCTTCGTAGAAGAATTCCCACGTGACTGGATTCCCATGGATTCCCATGGATCTCTCCATTTCGTCCATGCCATCCGTCTCCACGTTGTCTCTCAGGATCGGCGGTTCGCCCGAGGACGAGCTCGCAGACGAGGACGTGGTCCAGGGCCTCAGACCGATGGTCACCGTCCGAGGTCCGTCCGCCCGGTCGTGGGCCGGTGGCGGTGGTTGTTTTGAGGCGCAGAGTGATCCCTACCTGATGGTGGCGGATGAGGAGGAAGAAGAGGAAGAGGAAAAGGTGGTGGATCAAGAGGCCTGGTTAGCTGGCCTGACGAATCTGTCAAAAATCATGCTTAAGATCCACTTAATTAGGCTCTCATTTCCCATGTTTGCTGTTCTGGAAGTTAACGTCATTTTGGGACTTTGATTTGGGAAGGCGTGCTATGCCGTGCTCATGTTTCTTACGCCTTGAGAGATTGATTATGGATGATTTCTTGCCTCCTGTTTGTGACGAAGTATTTCCCATCCAGCACACGTCCAGCAGTGTATCACAACAACTCGAGCTTCCAGTAGTCAGATGCAGCCAGTATATAGTCTTCACCAGCTATATATATATATATTTGCTTATCGTTTGAACATCTTCAGCTCAAGCCGAATCACAGAAGCCGAAGGATGTCGCGTGCTCCACGGCTCCACACGCCATGCTCGCTCTTGGCGCTGCTCGCTTTGGCGCAGACGCTCGGCTCAGCTCCCAGAAGCTCCGTGCCACCGACCTGGTGGCGACGTGGATGGCCCAGACCACGCGTCGACAGCGTGGCGGAGGCGCAGCTGTTGTCTCATTTGGCCGTGCTGTTGATGCCAAGCACACCGATAGGCGAGCTTTTTCGAAGCTTTCCCTCCCCACCAGGGTGGGGTGGACACTACTTGGAGCCAGATTTGACAGCTTATGGAGTGCTGAAGGATCCGAATGCGGCCTTGTTTGTTGAATATGATGGATACTGGCGCCATGGGGAAAGGGATGGCATGGCCAGGGACCACATCAAGAGCAAAGCTTTGTTGGCATATGGGCCACCAGGGTCTTGTGTTCTTCGCATTACTCACACACACAGCAGCCAACTAAAAGATCAGGTTCTCTTGATCAGCGTACGGAATTGGTATGGCAAGAATCGGGGGTCACTGCACCGAACTCTGACAGAAGTCTTGAAAAAGACATCGCTGGGGCTTGACCAGGTTCTGTTACCTGAAGTGGTGGAGTGTTGGGGCCTTCAGGACACTGCACGCTTGACGAGAATGTCAGCACGAGCAGACACATTCATTCAAAAGGCTGTAGCTTTGAGGACTGGGAACACAACAGAGGAGATTTTGCACTACCTGGAAGCTGAAGGTTTCAGCCAAAAAGAACTCAAGAGTATAGATGAGCGCGTGTCCTTGAGTGGAACATCCATCAGTGGCACGCTGCAACCAAAACTGCAGTATTTTTACAACATTGGGCTCAGCAACGCCCAAGTTGCGAAGGCAATTGCATCGTCTCCTCCAAT